GTCTTCTTCTTCTTCTTCTTCTTCTTCTTCTTCTTCTTCTTTTTCTTCTTGTCTTCGTCTTCGCATTCCGATCTGCCCAGCCCGGCCCAGCCCAGCCCGCAGCCAGCCAGCCAGCCAGCCCCAGATCAGCTTCTAACGCTCCCTGCTCCCTACCCGACATACACATAATAGTAGTACGATCCGGGACCACAGGGACGATCGGATACCACCAGCCAGCCGCGCAACTACTTTCGCAAGGCGTTCTTCGCCCCGCCCAGGCTTCTAGCAGGTGGTGCCCGAAACGGGCAGCCGGACACCCGACCAGCAACACGGGATCGACACAAAGAAATGATAAACGAATAAAATAAAAAGACAATGCAGCAGCCTAGGGCCGATCCTCCGCAAAAAGGATCAGCGAGAGCAATATGGGGAGCTAGGCTGACTACGGAGTTAGGCAACTAGTTTTTTTAATTTTTTTTTTTTTTTTTTATAGCTGGTGTGGAGAGATAGACTAGATAGCAGCAGGATGACGGCGTACGTAAGAAGAGAAGACGATCTTCGAGATAAGGCTAGCTGAGCTGAGCGTGTAACTAACTAACTAGCTATCTTGTGTATGTCTGCGTACTCCGTATGTATGGAACGATCTCTGCTGTTATCAAGCCGAAAGCTGCCGTGTTTTGCGACGCGATGATAGGCGGGGAGAAGTTCACGCCGGCTCAGCCACACGGAGTCAGCGTGCCGCCCCTTTCTCTCTCTTTTCTTTTTTTAATTCTCATTCTTATTCTTTCTGCTTTTCACAATCTCGAAACGAGAATAGAAAGGATCCAAAAAAAGACGCAAGATCCGGAACCGGCTGTCCGTTCGGACGTGGCATGTGCCGGAGCATACTGGTGCTAGATTGTCTTAATAATAATCATTCCCCGTCTTCCCCGTAGTTTAGTTAGTCAGTTGGATTTGCAAAAATGCGGAGGATGCTCCGTGCCTAGCATCAATATTAATTTTAAAAGGGAAAATAATAGAAAAGAAAAAAAAAAAAAAAAAAACAATACAATAATAAATAAAAATCAGCTATTCACACAAGCTTCTATATCCCACCCATTATTACTATTATTATTATTAGGATCCTGGGGAGCAGCAGGTTCCAGGCCCGCGCCGCCGCCGCGGCAGCCAGCAAGGAGCTCATTACGTAGACGTCGCGGCGTGTTGTGCACTCCGTATGTATGTAGCTCTCGAGTGTTCTGCTCAGGCCTCCTTTTTTTCGTCATACCGGGAGGCTGTTGAAGACTTAGATGGGGGGGCGGAGGGGCCACCTTGGGGAATTCGCCGGTCGGACCGCCACTGAGGCAGTTTTTTGCCATATGTTTTCCAGGGGAGGGATGCAGTGGCAAGACGCTGTATGTATGTATGTATGTATGTATGTATGTATGACGGTGCTTCAAAGTGCGCTGCTTCTCGGCAGAGCAACAGAGATGAATGAATGCCTTGTTGGGCACGCAAGGCAGAGCGCGGGCGCTTGGCGGATGATACTTCGGAGTCCTTCATCGCGACAGCCAAATAATAAGACGAAAGCGAGAGGGCGGGCCCATGCCAGGTAACTACCTAGTTAACCTACGCAACAATCCAGACCGTCACCCCAGAACTTGGCCCCGGCGACGGCAAAGCGATCTGAGCGCGCGGGAGGGAGCTCGTTGTGCACATGTCCAGGGCACTGCTGCTACTGCTACTACATAGTTGCTGGCTTTGTCGCTGTGCTGGTTGTTGGCGGTTGATCTGCGCGACGCGCGAGAGTCATTATTCTCATCCTACCTCCCAACAGAGGGGGGCTGTGGCCTCCGAGGTGGCTCGTCCGGACAGCATGTTAGGCCCCCAAACACGGGAACATGGGTAAACTGACTAACTGGATGATGTGGGAAAATAGAATACTGTTGGGTGTCTGTGAACGGGCGAGAAAAGAATGCTCTGCGATAATGAGCCTGAGAAGGCTGGCAATGCGGGTGCTACACTCAAGCCAGGATAAAGTCGTGAGACATGTCTCCCACCGTCTTGACTCACGACAAACATCAAACACACAATATACCCCATGTTTCCTGCCCGGCATCGCGTTCGAGCAATACTCGGCAAACACCACAGCACGGAGTCCTGTACTCCGTCCTCCGTACAGATACTCCATCCATCCTTACTCCCGCCTGCGACGTTCCCCTGACCGCTGCCCACGCTCGCAGGTGGCGGCGGTTACTTCGGGCAGGAGTAAGCGCCGATCGCCTGGTTGAGTCGTGATCCTGCGATAGGAGCGCGACCGACTGGCATCGACGCGACAGGCGATGATGATGACGATGATGATCTGTGGGGAACCGGTTTTCTGCTGTGCCTTTTTGCTTTTCCCTTTTGGCGGTTTTTTTCCCGGATCAACGAACTAACTAACTAGATGGCTACCTAGTTACCTCACGGTGAGCCTTGCGCGTTCGATGGCGCCGCTGTGGGCCTGTTGAATCCTGTCCCGACGTGATTTCGATATGATGCTACTTGGGCCCTTCCCCACGTATATCCAAGTAACTCCGGAGTACCTGAAGAGAAATTATCCGCGCGTTACACAGAGAGTCAGCCTGTACCATGATGATTACGGTCTTTGTTTGTCCCGATGCCCACTCAAAGGGACTCTGTACTCCCACTGACTTACTAGTTAGTTCGTTGGGCCAAAAAGGCCGGAGGAATTAGAGACCCCAGTGGCACCAACACTTCAAAGGTCCCCAACATTATTTCAATAAGCGCATGAAACCCAAGTGCTGATGAAGCACTGCGAATGGCCGATTGATTCTAGGGATTTTTGTCTCTTGTTCTCAACCCGCCCACCCTCTTCCACGATCCTTCATGCAAAGCCATTACGAAAAAGATACTACATGGAGTGAAAATCATGCCCTGCTTAGCTTTCCTGCAATGGAACTATTGGCCTGACGATGATGGTGATGGTGAGGATCGATAAGGTGCCGCGACGGCGGCGGCGGCGGCGGCACACGCGCGCTTCGTCGCTTGGCCGTCGTAAAGGGCACGCGAGCAACCGACATCCTCCTTAAACCAGAACATGTGGAGTAGATTAGCACGGTTTGCTGCTGAGTCGCAAGCAAATAATAGTACTCCTGCCGGTAAGGATCGTAACGCTCGCTTGTCACCGTCTGTCTCGATGGAAAGATTACTCGCCTGTTACAGACTTACATGTTGGGAAACATGGAGAGGGGGGCAAAGAGATGACATCCTCCACCAGGAAGCAAAGGAGAAATCCAAACGGAGCCACTACTGAGAAGAGGGATGTTCCACCCCAACAGCTATTCAACATTTCCTCCCCCCGTATGGATAAGATGCCGATTTCTATATTTGGTCCCCCCAAAAGGATTCTCCCTCGTGGCATGGACCAACGGGAAGTAAAAGAAGAAGAAAAAAAAAAAAAAAGAACTGGAACATGTCGAGCGTAGATCCAATTGACAACAACAGCCTACGCACCTCCCCTCCCCCCAATTAAGAATTATTGCTCGAGAGCCAGTAAAGAATGGAAACGTATACCTCCCGTAGCAGTACATACATCGTACCGCAAAGCAGGATTTTTTTTTTCCCAGCGGGTCCCCCCTTCCCTCCTCCAGGCCCCCCGGCCCCCAAGCCGGTAGGCCAGCAACAAGCGGCAAAGCTATCATTCGCCGCCGCCTGTGCCAAGTCGGTTTCAGGTTCGACCTCGGATCAAGATCCGGGACGGCATGATGTGATAGCCTGGAGCCGAAAAAAAAACAAAGGGGGGGGGGCAGCCTGGGCAAGATCTCGGGTTATCCCCTTGTTGCCCGCTAGGTGGGCTTTGTTGCTATGCGCTTGTAGAGTGGTATAAGAGTGTGGTGTTCGGTTGCGGGAAGGATTTCATCCTTTCTATTCTTCTTCTTCTTCTTCTTCTCCTTTTTTTTGTATTTTTTCATCCTCCAATTACTATTAGCTACTAACTAGCGGTGGCCACACCCTCAAGCAAGGCTTGCAATTTGAGTTGCGGAGAGAGGAAGGACAGCAAGATAGAAAAAGCCAGGTTCAAAACAAACAACCATCCCCCTATATTATTATTATTATTGCGGAGCACCAACGAACCCACGGGAGACCCCGGCGGGATTCGCAGCGCGGTCCGCGGCAAGCGTACCAAACTACGAAGGTCTAGTTAAGTCCTATAAGTAAGCAGCACCGCCGAAGGGAAGAAGCATGTGCGTGGCAACCAGGAAATCCAGGCCCTCGCTCTGCCAACAAATCTGGGGTTTCGAAGTGGGAAGGGATGGGGATGGGAACCAGTCGGGTCCTGGAAACGACTTCGCACACACACACACACACACACACACACCCCCTCTTCTCTCGTATCATTAGTTGGATTCTCTTACAATCCACGATTATTTCCGAGAACAGGATATTATCGTAGTTCTCTGGTAAATGATGTGCAGGATTGGCTTGGTTCAACCAGTTAGTTAATTAGTGAGTCAACCAAGCTTCCGCCACCACCAGCCACATGCCGGGGACTTTAAAACGTGAAGCACCGCAAGCAAGCGTTTTTTTTGGGGGGGGGGGGGGGGGGGGGGATGTTGGGGCGCAAACGCCACCGTCGGGCCAGGGGAGAATAGGGCCCGGCGGCAGAGGCGCGACGCTGGCTGGCTGGCCTGGGCTTCGGCATGTGACGCGGTGTGTGTTGGAGAGACGATGGGCGGAGATTGCGCGAGATAGGAGGAAGGGAAGGGTGTATCATTATGGCGGGCTTTTAACAGTGTTATATTATTGCTTGCAGATGCATAGAGACGCAAGAGAAATTATTGGATAGAAGGGGTGAGGGTTGCAAATAGTTACTAGAAAAGAAAGAGAGAAAATATACCCTCTTGTGAGCCTATCTGTGTAGACTCGAAATGTCCCTAAAATGTTGAACAGGAGAAAGTGCAGGCCCACAAAAAAACCGTACAGTACCGAGGTTTGCCCAATATAACATCGTGAATTGAGATAGGATAAATTATCCTCGCTCAAGCAGCTAGGTAAATATGCTCGCCTCTTTCTAACACCTCAATCTCATCGCCCACATGAAGTACAAACTCTAGAGCACCACCCCAGGTTAGTATGACCACTCTCCAGCACAAAAAACGAATGAAGAAAAGCCACTCACTCTTGGAAACAGGAACCAGCATCATCCCCAGACACCCTTTGCCCACTGCACCAGCGTCGATATCCCTCGTCGTTCTCAGCGTCTTGTCCGGCTCGACCGCATGTCTCTCGCCCGTTTCAGGGTCGACATTGGGCAACCGGCAGCGCACCGTGTGGCACGACACGAACATATCCACGCTTTTCTCCCGCTCGCCGCCCCTGTCCCCCGCCAGCGAGACCCGGCTCTCGCGGCCGGGCGTCACGCGGATGCGCTTCCAGTCGTCTTCGGCATACGCCTCGGCGCCCTCGAGCACGATATTCGGGCGGAAGCGGCGCACGGTGAAGCGCGGGATGGCGTAGTTGACGCGCTCGCCCATGTTGCGGATGCTGGCGATGTTCTGCAGCTGCAGCGGGTACTCGTCCGGGAAGCCCATGGTGGGCTTGAACCCCAGCACGTCCGCCGGCGGCGCGTTGCCGCGCACCGGTCGAGGGAAGTTGGCGTCCGAGCGGAAGAGCGAGAGCGGCTTGGTGCTGCCCAGGAGCGTGGAGAGCGAGGCCGGTACGTGCGCGCCGTAGTTGTACGCGTGGGGGGTGTCGGAGAAGATGCGGATGGGGATGGACGGGTATGAGCCGTCTTTGGGTGGGTGAAGTGGTACCTGGAATGATTCGTCCGAGGCGCAGAGGCCCAGTTTCATCCCCAGGTTGGTGAAAAAGCTGTCCGTGATGCGAGGATATCGGATCACTAGAACACCCTGAGACTGAACTTCAGGCAGCCTGGGAGAGAATGCTGGCGAGGAGGGATCTGGGATCCAGATTTCGGATCGGATGAGCGCCATCTTGCTGAACTTGCCGTCCCTGAGCGTCCGGCAATCCCAGCGGCCATTCGCGGCGCCTGTCTCATCGCCGTCGGCCTTCTTCTTGTTTTCAATGAATTCCGCAAAGCAGAATTGGCGATCATACGCGAATCCCGTGTTGACGGCATCGATGAAGTTGAATTCCACCCCCGCGCAGCTCTTGATTGGGTATGTGATCAGTGCCTTGATTTTGATCTTTTTCTCCTTGTCGCCCACGCCATTGGTGGCCCGCTTATGGAAGCCCTGCTGGTCGTAGTCGTGCTCATCCGCGATATTCGAGACATTCTGCAGTCCTAGCCGGCGACATCCTCTGGGGTTGGCTCGAGCTTGTCGCTTTGCAAGTTCGACGTAGAGCAGCACGAGTATCGGCGTGAGGCAGATGGCGTACACGACGAAGAGCGACACGGGGACGGGGAGGTTGAGGCGGGGTACGAGGCCCGTTAGCCGAAGCATCGTGAGCAGTCAGTCGGGTGTAGGAGCCGTGGTTGTGGCAGAAGCACTCGGCGTCGTAGACAGACAGGCCTCTCTGCGAGAGCTGGTCCTGATATTCCCAGCAGCTTTACTCTTAACCCAAGCGGTTCGTAGAGCCCGGAGGTCGTCCAAACTGCTCTGGCTGCGGATGTAGATTCGAAACGGAGTCGTCCTAAACTTCGGCAATCAAGAAGCTTTTCAAGGAAGTTCTCTGGGAGTCAGCAACGGGGTCTGGAACCCGCCGGCTAAGAAGCCCACCAGAGTTCAGCCGCCAGGCCACACCCACCACCGTGTTGCGGCCAAACCGCCGGCGTTCATTAGCTGGCCGAGCCGACAACATCGCAAGGGGGGGCTCACGGATACTACGGTGCGCGCAGCTGGTCCGTCGAACGACGATGACTCCGCGTCTTTTTGGCTCGCTTAGCGGCTGCGGGGAATTCGGCTGGTCTCGCGCTGATAGGCCGTGGCACGCCGGATCGCGCAGACGGTTGGCTGTCCTGGGTAGGTCCTTGCGAGGCTCTCCACCCCGCGGCGGCTAAGCGGCAGAGGCTCCGAGTCCTTAATTAATTATTTTGGCATGAGGACGAGACGGCAGGGCGCGGTGGGATGAGCTAGCACGAACGAACCTAGTTTGCGGGTTAGTAAAGTCAACGAACAGCTGGCTAGGATTTCCTTTTCACAAAATGACATACGGAGATCAATGGGCCGGATTAGCTATGAATTATAGTAAAATACACAGTTGACTTTGCTGTGTGATTGACCCTATGAAAGTATGCGATTTCGTCTCATTATATCACTCAGCACATGCCGCCTGTTGGATTTTGCAATAAGAGATGAATGGTTAAGATTCTATTACTTTTACTTCTCTGACTGCCATTTCTGGAAGAGAAGATGTGAAGTGAGATTGAATAATGAAGTAGGCGTCGTCAATTGCAGTTTATGATCGCTTTTGAACTAACCGAAAAAGAGATATATCACTGAGGAAACCACTATTCCTATTCCATACACTGACAACTACTACTAAAGTATTGATAACTCGAGCATCATCTCAATCCTAGACGAGGAACGGGGTCATGCAGCTCTAGTTTAGATGTTTGTTCCTCCACCATGGCTTCTGAATTAAGACTTTCTAAAAGCTCCTAAGAAAATATCCTCCATTGGGTATCTTGGGGCAATGGGCAGCTTTGTTTTGAGCAGTCATATTAGAAATCCACCTGTCACAACCCAGATGAAGAACCTTTGACAAAACATTGTCAGCATTTGCCCAGTATTCAAGATCACTTGATTTATTTGGGCCTTTTAGCACCCTAATGCTTCTCAAACATCTACCGAAATTTTTTTGTTCTCTGATAGTTACTACGCTGGCAGAAATGGCAGTAAAGAGTGTGGACACACGGAAGTCCAAGCTTGATATCATTGCCAAAAAGGGTGAGGGGTATAGATTATATAAGAAAGAGTGATAAGATGGGTATATAAGCTAAGCTTATTTGACAACCACCACAGCAGATGAATTACTTCGGCTAGAGATGACCTTTAGAGGGAGATAAGAATTTTCGAAGCAAGATAATAAGCTCTTAGCAAGGACCCAAAAGACATGTTTTTGACATGCAAACCCCTAGATACCCCAGTCTCTGTGTAAATTGCAATCTTATAATGGGTGTCTAGTGATTGATAAAGAAAATACGAATGAATCCATAATGTTAAAGAAAGAAAAGAATTTATTGCGATGGATGGATCTTGTTTTAGTGGCTGACTAATCCCTTCAAGTCAATTTGCACTGCACATGCAAATCTCATTTCCAAGCCCGTTATATATCATGGATTTCATGATTCTTTAAGTTGACTAAAAAGTAGCAGGATGCTATGTAAAGCTTTATGGCCAGCCATCGTTATATATAACTCTTTTTTTGTGAAGCCGGTGTGCCTGTTTCGGACTTTGGGCGATGATAACGAGTCCAAGCTCTGGATGGAAAGTAGTTAGCTAGTCGATGGACGTGCCGTAGCTCCTTTCGCCATGACCACAGAGGATATCGCCAAATTCTCCAGCTTTGATGACTGTAAGGGTCAACCTGATACCCTCAAACCACTAGTCGCTAACTTCTACCATAGCCCACCAACGACTATCTGGAGAAGCATCACACTCTAAGTTCGGTCTCTCCCCGGCGCCTCGGAACCATGGTCACGTCATCTCGACGGGTCTGCAGCGTCTAGACGCTGCTCTGAGCCTGCCTGTAGAACTACGGTCATCACCGTGGGGATTGGCTCCAAGTCAGAGCATCTATGGCCCCGGTGTGCCGGAGGATGAGCGTACGACGGGGGTGCAGAGAGGCGCGGTGACAGAGATTGTTGGGCCTAGGGGTACTGGCAAGACTGTGCTAGGGTGAGTTGTTCGAAGCAATTGTTCTCATGGCCGGCTGGTATGACGTAGATATAGAACGGTTGTGACATATGAAAGCGGTAATGGCTGATGTGAGTGTATCTGATAGGCTGAGTTTGGCCGCTGAGGTTTTGTGGATGCAACAAAATGTTGTATGGATTGGTATGTTGCTAATTCCTGAAATCATTGTGCAAACCGGTTTACCTACTTCATCCCTTTACATCGTCCCTTACCAATGTCTATCCCCTAGATACTGCCGGCCCAATGTGTTCAGCCCGTCTAGACGCCGTGCTGGAAGGCAAAATCAATGGATCAGGAACTGGGTCGTCTTCGATACCCATAAGCAAAGAAGACTGCCTAACACGACTCTTGCATTTCCATCCTCCATCTATCGCACATCTAATGGCCTTGATAACTCGACCTCCTCCTGGTTTTCCACCCAAGAATACTGGCCTCATAGTGGTTGATTCTATATCGTGCCTGTTCGCTGCGGAATTCCCCCCGAGACTACCTAAGCATCTGCGCAAAAAGATGCCCCGCAAGCAAAAGGCCAAATTAGACGATGATTCGGATTTTTACTTCAACATCATCGGAACCTTGGTGTCGAGCCTGCGCAAGCTTGCTATACGGCTCAACTGTGCGGTCGTAGCTATCAACGAGATGGCTTCACGATTTCAGCCGAAACGCACGCCGATGCTCCATGAAATGATTACGGGCTTTACTTGGGATGCTGGTGTAGCTTCGAGTATTCTTTTATACTGGCATTGGCTACCCTTGGAGATGCGAGAGCGCGAAGGAATGAAAAGTGTTCGTATCGCAGAGGTGCGGAAGGTCGATAGTATAGGCCCTTTAGAAAGGTCAACGAAAAGGATTGTTCCATTTATAATCGAGAACGTGAGTCTTACCCAGAAAATGCCTATTGGAAAGAGGCAAGAATTACTCACTGTATTGCCTAGACCCGACTGCGAGAATTTTTGGATGAGGACTCGATATCTGTATCCTCCGACATTCTGGGCTCAACGCCTCTTTCTGGAACCGCGAAGAGGAAGCTCGAAGAGGTCGACAGCTCCGCGGATGACCACAACGTGAAAATGAAGCCAACCGTGGAGGTCAACAGCGCAGATGAGGACTACGACGATGACGATGAGATCCTTGATCCGCTTCCTAACGTGAACGACAAGGAGTACGAAGTTCCAGATAGCGAAAGTGACCTCGCTGTGTCTGACATGCAATCCCCTCATTCAGACATTCCACTAGAGGAGCTAGATAGGGACATGGATGAATTCGTGCACAAAGATTTGTACGACGATTCATATCTCTATTGCTGACGAGGTCTGCCCAACTAAATTCCTCGGTTGATATGCAATAAAAACCGTTGAGCCTAACGACAGAAGGTCCTACTTGCATGATCGCCGATATTCCGAGACATTCCATCAGCGGATATCTGGCAAAAACACACAACGGTTAATTGGGATTATGCAAGTCAAAATATGGCCAACAATTAATGCCTATTGCATGAATGGACGCTTGTTATGGCATACGGGTCATGTACGCCGTACTGGAAATACATACTCCATACTCGCCTTGATCCTTTACCCCACAATTATTGGAGGCGGTGTCTTCAGCAGCTTGGGAAGACTGAAACCCACCACCAGGATTGTTGAACAACAATAAACCTCAACCCTCGTAGCCCCAAGCAGCAAAACAACGGGGGCAACAGTCCATACCGACCAATCGGGGGGCACTTGGGGCTCTGGATGCTTCTACACGCCATTTTAGCCCCCGATTTGAAAGGAATAGATATCCGTGATCTCCGTGGTGGTGATATGTTTTGGTAGGATGTCCCGCTAGCAGAGGATTGTGAGCGCGCACATGCAGGCATTTATATTGAAGTTGGGTTACTCATGGTGCCGAGCAAGCTGATCTCCAACCAAGCCTTTGGATATCCCGTGGAATGTGCACGCGACGTTGTTCAAGTCCGCCGCATCGATATGTATGTGTGCCGTTCCCAATAGCAGTTCGCGTCTGACCACGCGACATAAATGTGACATATTTTGGTAGCGCATCTATGAGGTAGCTGCATCTGTCATGCACCGATATGAGAGAGGGTGACTCTCTCGGTACTATTTGTATATATGTATTTAGGTAAACAAACACTTTGTGCATGTGGATGGTGTCCTTGAGGAGCATGGCCCGTTCCCGGCATTTCCTGTTTCCGAGGCGCGCACACCAGCGTGAACCGGGAACGTGACGGGTGTTGATACTGATGATCGACAGGACGGCGGCTGTTTGTTGTGTTTGGTTTGACCTGCAGTCGTATTCGTATTGCCCAGACACATGGAATGCAAGGGCCACCAATCAGCAGTCGCCGAAATGCAGGTGGCCCAACCGAGGTCGCGCGAACCTTAAAGCCCACTGGGCCCCACGAGCATAATGCACCAGCCAATGGGCAGCCGGCGTGCGGTGGGGCCGGCGATTCTGTTGGGGAAGCCAAAATCGGCGCCGCGACTGCGACATCAACGCGCGGTGCGGAGAGCGTGGCGGGCGGCATTATTACAGCCAGCAGCATTCGTGAAGTCGCCAGGAAACCTGTTGCCAGAAGGCCTGAACCAGGCCCGACGCAGCGTGGGCAAGAATCGGAGAACTGTGCGCAAGAGGTCGCGCCACACCGTGCCTGCTTGTCGCCGTTCCATGGGTTGTTGGGAGGGCGGTTATGTCACTGCAGAGTTAGTACAGAGAGGTACGGCATGCCAGTACCGGCCTTGTATTCATGTTGTCCTCCACCACCTTCGCGTGCTGCGCTCCGTGTGGCCACCAGAGCACGCCGCAGGCTCTCTGCTGAAACCGGCCGAGCTGCCCATTGTAGGGTGTGTCTCCGGTCAACGCAGCACAGGATGGGACAGCGAAGGCAGGCCTGTCTGCTGCTCCGGAGGCACGCCCTCGGAGCCGCCAAAATTACCGGGAGCTAGTAACGCAGTCTCAGCGCGCGCCCCAACAAGACCAACAAAGCCAGGCTCGACAAAGTTGAGCGAGAACAAGAAGGCCTCCATGACACCACCGCGTCCGGCTGTGGCATGTGTCCTCCTTGCCTGCTCCCGAAGCTTCCTAGCGGCAACTCCCCCCGGCCGGTTATTTCTTCCAAATAAATCTTGATCTGCCCGCTCTTCTCCTCCCCCATCATTATTTTCCTCTCTGTCCCTCCAGCTCCTAGACTGTTAGCCCACCCCCACGGCCTGCCTACCTTGACCATTTCCTTAGGCCCTATCTACCACCTACCAGGAGACACGTCCTATCGCCATGGCTTCCCACGAAGCCGTGGTTGCGGAGTCGTCGAAGCAGGCGGGCGCTGCTCCCGCTGAGACTCAGCAACCCCAGACCACAGATCCTAATGTGAAGTCACACATCACAGATACACCCATGACGTTGTCGAATTGGTACCAACATGTCCACTGGTTGAACGTCGTTCTGATCCTCGCTGTTCCTATGTACGGATGTTACCAGGCCTTCTATACGCCCCTTCAGCTGAAGACTGCCATCTGGACAACCATGTATTATTACATGACTGGAATTGGTATCACTGCGGGTATGTTATCCACTTGCCCCTGTTGTATGCCTTCTGTTCCTTTGTGATGCTGACTCGCACGTAGGTTACCATCGACTATGGGCTCACTGCTCGTATTCTGCCACGCTCCCATTGAGAATTTATCTGGCCGCTGTTGGAGGTGGTGCCGTCGAAGGGTCAATCCGATGGTGGGCTCGTGACCATCGTGCTCACCACAGATACACAGATACCGATAAAGACCCATACTCCGTCCGCAAAGGCCTCATCTACTCTCATATCGGCTGGATGCTGATGAAGCAAAACCCAAAGCGTATCGGCCGCACAGATATTACTGATTTGAACGAGGACCCTGTCGTCGTCTGGCAACATAAGAATTATATTAAGGTTGTCATCTTCATGGGCATAATCTTCCCAACACTTGTTAGTGGACTTGGCTGGGGAGACTGGTGGGGCGGCTTCATCTATGCTGGTATCCTTCGAGTCTTTTTCGTCCAGCAGGCCACTTTCTGTGTCAACTCTTTGGCCCACTGGATCGGAGAACAGCCGTTTGATGACCGCAACTCCCCGCGTGACCACGTCCTGACAGCTCTGATCACCATGGGTGAAGGTTACCACAACTTCCATCATGAATTTCCTTCCGATTATCGTAACGCTATCGAATGGCACCAGTATGATCCCACCAAGTGGATTATCTGGGTATGGAAGCAATGCAGACTTGCATACGACTTGAAGCAATTCCGTGCCAATGAGATCGAAAAGGGACGTATCCAGCAGCTGCAGAAGAAGATCGACCAGAAGCGTGCTGCTCTTGATTGGGGTATCCCTCTTGAGCAGTTGCCAGTTATGGAATGGGACCAGTATGTCGAAGAAGCCAAGGGTGGCCGTGGCCTTGTCGCCATCGCCGGTGTCGTCCACGATGTCAGCGACTTCATTAAGGATCACCCAGGTGGCAGAGCCATGATCAATGCCGGTATTGGCAAAGACGCTACTGCTATGTTTAACGGTGGCATCTACAACCACTCCAATGCTGCCCATAACCTGCTATCGACAATGCGAGTGGGTGTCATCCGCGGCGGCTGCGAAGTCGAAATCTGGAAGCGAATCCAACTCGATCACAACAAGTCTCTCGGATTCCGTGACGATGCGGGACAGAGAATCATCCGGGCGGGCCAGCAAGTGACCAGGGTACCCGAGCATGTCCTTAGCGCTGGCGCTGCATAAGTCAACTGTATTTTTTCGACATAATACGACCTTTTCCTCGATTTATTTCTTTAGACAACGTGACCGAACAACTTTATTATTCCCATCGGTCCCGGTCCACTACTTTAACGACGTTGTCACGAAAGGTTCTTCCCCAGAGGCGGTCCGACGAGAACTCCTTTTGTAAAAACTGAAAAATTATCATGATATGGCGTTATCGTTGGTGACCGCTTTTCTATTTCCCTTGTTTTATCTTTTATTTTTGTTTTTCGTGGAGTTAATCGGGCTTCACTTGGGCGGAACGGGGTGCCTTGTATTCATGGACGGTTAGATTGGTCTTGATTCTGCGAGTGGAAAATGCTTTTCCTACATATGAACTATGAGATTTTAATATTCTTATACGACCTTTTTTGTGCTGTAGAAACGTAGTCTGATGAAGAGTGCGAAGAATTCGATGGACGTCGTGCAGAGTTGCTATTTCGGGAATAGTGCTGAGGTGAGGCCAAGACGAGCCGGACTCCGTTGCCATCAGGATCCAAGAACGAAATACGGAGTATCAAAACCGCAATTTCGAAGGACATGATGGAACGGAATTTGTACGATACGGTCTATCACTCTCCAGGGAACTGTATCATCTAGATCCAAAAACTCATCCATAGACTGCTCGTTTACTAAATCCACCATTCTCTGTGGTAGTTACATACATATAAGTAGTATCCTCAGTGGCAAGGCAGAGCCATTCAGGCAAGGTACGATGCTATATTTAATGACAAAGGTGCCAATATACTTGCAATATGTTATCTCCAGCCGGGTGTGATTTGTCTGCAATATATCAGAGCTTAATACAATAGTAGGTACAACATCGGGTGCAAGATTGAGTGTTTGGTAGCCTGTATATCATAGCCAGAAGCTATTTTATGCGTAGGAAAGATGTACTCCATACGGAGTACGGAGTACATATTGCCTGTTAAAATTCCCTGCTACAAGCCACTGTGAGCTTAAAGGCCCTGAAGCACATTTAAGGCCATGGGCATGTACACATTTAACCACTTCATCAAAGATATTCATTATATCATCAATGGATATATTGTATGACACCTACAATAATATGCTCAGCATTGAGGAAAAAGCACCCAAGCAAAGTCAAGGGTTGACGCCATAGGCCTGGTCGGGGGCGAAGTATAGTTAAGTAACAAAGTATTGTTTTCATCCAAAGGCTAATTTTGGTGCTCTAGAGTTTGAAGAGTATATGTAGATAAGTTCGTGGAACTGTTGAGGACTCATATACAGGCATAATGCAAGTGAATAATCTTGGGTCTTGTTTGTAGGCACGTAGACGCATGCCATCGAGATCAGGAGGCCGTTATTTCCCCGCCTCTCCATACCAATTGTTTCTGCAGAGAATTGGGTTAACTAACTAGTAGCAATTTAAATGAATAGACAGTAACATTAGCAAGGGAATAAGGGATTGATGTCAGGATCCTTCAGTAAAGCTCCATCCATTGGAAGGCGGAGAAGCCAGTAGGGGCGAAGATCGTACCGCTTCCGCGCGCGCCAAATCAGCGAACAAGACTTCGCTGTGGGAGGTGAATACGACATTGAAACGCCTTCCAGAGTGCTTTAGCTGGTTCTGATCCCATCGCAAGGCTTGTTGTTTTGATTTTGGGCCAAGGATTTGGGGCCAGTGCCCGAAAGCAGATCGTGTGGCTAGCGAACCAGCTATGGGGAGGATGCGATCAGTGTGAAACAGCTGGAGGAAGGCAAACCCTCCTGAGCAGATCCGCAGTACACATGTAGAACGCAATCCCAAGCGTCTTACATAGTTATATTCTTCCAGTCCGTCTCGACATGTTCGCTGTGGTCTCTCAGCTGCCCTGACTAACTGCCCCGGCAACTAGGCCCAGCAACCCTCCTGCACAGCAAACTGGCGCGAACCACCCGCAGTTCCCGGTCCATCCTCTGGCTGGCCGTGCCCCTCTTCATCGGCGTCTTCCTCATCCTGGCGCCCTCCGTCCACTTTTCTGCCTACCGGCTTCGGCTCAGCCATCTACTCTACCGGCCAACAGCAACAGCAGGCAGAACGTCTTGGTCTCCTCCTCCCGCTTCGCTTGTCACCCCTTCACACTCCGCCAACGGTCGACCGCTCACAACCGCCAGTATGGCACCCTCTCACCTGAGAACCCCACCCCAGGCACCTCCTCTCTTCACGGGAACGCCCTCGTCGGTTGTAGAAAATACCAAGCGGCTCATTGCGAGATCGCGAAAGGTGCAAGATGACGTCGTTGGCAATGTCACCCTCGACACCGCCACCTTTGAACAGGTCCTTCGGCCGCTGGCGACCGATGAAAATGTCATGGCGTTGGAATCACATATTCTGGGGTTCTACCAGTCCGTGTCAACCGATGCAAAGCTACGAGATGCGTCAACCGAGGCTGAGAAGCTGATGGATGATTTTGGCATCGAATCAGCAATGCGTGAGGACCTCTTTAAACTGGTCGATGCTGTATTGAAGAAGAGTGAAAAGCTGGACCCAGAGTCGAAGAGACTCTTGGAAAAGGAGCATAAGGATTACATCCGGAATGGCCTGGGTTTGCCAGTGGGACCAAAGCGAGATCGATTCAAGGAAATCAAGAAGAGACTGAGTCAGATTTCAATCGAGTTTCAAAAGAACTTGAATGAAGAGAATGGCGGCCTTTGGCTGACGAAGGAGGAGTTGAATGGTGTGCCCGATGATGTCGTCTCTGGCTTGAAAAAGGGAGAAGGGGACAATACTGGCAAGCTGTTCTTGACGTTCAAATATCCGGATCTCTTCCCCGTGATGAAATACGCTACGAACGCAGAAGTCAGGAAGCAGGTGTCGATTGCGAATGAGAACAAGTGCAACCAGAACGTGCCGCTTTTCAAAGAAGCCATTATCCTTCGTGATGAAGCTGCCCGACTGCTTGGATACGCCAACCATGCAGCGTTCCGCATCGAGGACAAGATGGCGAAAACACCAGAGACGGTTAATACGTTTCTGGGTGGCCTCCGCAAAAAACTGGAGAGTGGCGGTCTTGCAGAGATTGAAAAGCTGAAGCTTCTCAAGGCAGAGGATCTTAAATCACGAAATCCTAGTCAAGTACCCGACGGCCACTACTTCTTGTGGGACCATCGTTTCTACGATCGTATGATGTTGGAGAAAGATTACCGATTGGATCATCAACAAATTGCGGAGTATTTCCCCTTACAGGTAACTATCCGCGGTATGTTGAAGATTTTCGAGGAGATCTTTGGCCTCGTGTTCGTGGAAATTGAGGGAGAAGAGCGGAACAAGCTGTCGGAAACTGGCAAGGGAGATGATATTGTCTGGCATAAGGACGTTCAGGTGTTCAGTGTCTGGGATGACGAAGGGGAGGGCAACGGGTTTGTTGGATATCTCTATCTTGACCTGTTCCCGAGAGAAGGCAAATATGGCCATGCCGCCAATTTTAACTTGCAACCAGTATGTTAACCAGGCGTAATTGAACGCAAAGTGAGTGACTGACCTTGTGGTAGGGATTCATCGGTAAAGATGGAAAACGTCGATACCCAGCAACGGCCTTGGTGTGCAACTTCTCGAAGCCTACAGCGAAAAAGCCCAGCTTGTTGAAGCACGATGAAGTGGTTACACTTTTCCACGAGCTTGGCCACGGCATCCATGATCTCGTGTCGAGAACCACCTATTCCCGCTTCCATGGCACTAACACCGTCCGTGACTTCGTCGAAGCACCTAGCCAGATGCTAGAGAACTGGTGCTGGACTCCTTCGCAGCTGAAATCACTTAGCAAGCACTATTCTTACCTGAGTGCTGAATATTTGGACGCCTGGAAAGAGCAGGCTGGTAATAAATCTAGACCGTCAGAACAGATTTCCGATGAACTCATTGCCAATCTCATTAAGACGAAACATGTTAATGCCGCTTTGTTCAACTTGCGACAGCTCCACTTTGGAATTTTCGACATGACCGTTCACGAGCCTGTGGATCATGAAACAGCTATCAGTATGGATATTACCCAGAAATATAATTCTCTCCGCAAAGAAATCGCGAAGCTCGAGGGACCGGAAAGTATTGGCCAAGGGTACGACTGGGGCCATGGCCAGGCTACTTTTGGTCACCTTATGGGGGGCTACGATGCTGGATACTACGGTTACCTTAGGTATGAACAGGTCTCCGTCATCTTTTATACAACTACTCAGATACTGACCATTTCAATAGCTCCCAGGTGTATTCCGCGGACATGTTCTATACGGTTTTCAAGGTGAACCCCATGAATGGCACGGAAGGACGCAGGTACCGCCACACCGTTCTTGAGAAGGGTGGTAGCCAGGAGGAAATGGAGACCTTGAAGCAGTTCCTTGGCCGTGAACCCACGCCAGATGCCTTCTATAAGGAATTGGGCTTGCAGTAGTTTGCAGTTGAGTGGTATGTGTGGATGTAGATAGGCTGCCGCATACCCCCTGCACGGACTTTCATGTATGGTTATACCTGAAAGAACCGTATTATTATTAGGAATTTACATGATCTCGGTGCTGCATTTTGTTTAACCAGCCGGGCTAGAATTATACTCGTAAATATCAAAGAGAGATTAGATAATCTCTGCAAAAGCTCTTATCGATAAGCTCTCTTCTAACACAGCTCCGCATCAACCACAAAACCAAACACCAGACAAAAAACAAAACCCTCACCCTCCACCGTCCCCAGCCCTTCCCTACCAAACATGCCGAAACCCGCTCAACCATCCTCCCCCACTGCTCCGATGGCCAACCCCTCCGAAGACCAGCGGCCGCGAAAACGAAAGCCCATCCGCACCTACCACTGCGCCTTCTGCCACCACCTGCTCATGGCCAGCACGCGGGAGATCCTCTCCCTGCCGCGCCGCGCGGAGCCGGCGCTGGACCGCGCTTTTATCCTCCCGCTGCCTCGATCCGGCACGAGCTCCAAGACGACAACGACGACGACGCCGGTGGGGGCGGAGGAGGCGGGGGAGTCGAGTTCTGAACCTGAAGACGACGAGGAGAGCGAGGCCCAGCGTACCAAGCTCGCGCGGAAAGAAGTCGCCGCGGTCGCTGGAACCCGGAAGCAAGTCAAGAATGAGACGACGGAGGAGGAGGAGGAGGAGGCAGAAGAAGAAGACGATGAAGAAGAAACGGACTACACACTGCTGCTATCAGCGACACGCGCCGACACGAGCGCGGTGGTGGTGCGGCGCGCGGACGGGTTCGAGAAGCGCGTGCTGCTGCGGTGCGGGCGGTGCGAGGTGGTGGTGGGGTATTTTCTGGACGCGGTGCATTTCGCGACGGCCGCGGGGACGGAGGTGGTGTATATCCTGCCGGGCGCGGTGGAGGAGACGGGGCAGATGGGCAAGAGTGGTGCGGGAGTGATTGAGGAGCAGGAGTGGGGAGGGTGGGCGCGGTTTAAGCCGGAGGCGAAGGCGAGGTCTTGAGATTGTGGAATGGGTGTGTGTGCTGGGGAATTGAATATATCAAGTTTTGGATTGATATTAGTCGGATAACCATGGTCATTACTGTCAAAAGCTTTCATACGCACGGGCCAAAGAGCCTCATTGTACACAATATGTATGAGTATTGACTGGGATTGAATTGTATTACAAAAAATGCCAGAAGAATCAACGCCTAATTGCCAGACACCAATCCCCCCATGCTTCTCCCGTCCAAAGAGGAATCTCAAAAATGCCAAATCAAGCCAACTCGAGAACCACGACCACCAACGATGTCTTGCTCCACGCGGAGGTTCAATCGAATGGGTTTCCCCGCACGGATGTCGGGGGCCATGGTGAGCCGCAGTCCAAGCCTCTAAACCAGAAAACATGTCGTGTCGTATTCCATGAAAAGCTGCAAGTCATAACAAACCAAGTCGCATCGAAAATCATCTGCAATGGGCGCTTTAATTGGCGAGGATTGTACGGACGAGTTCTGCATACCATATTAGCAAAAGCCGCATATCAAAAAAGCGCAGAGCACAGGAGACATACCGGTATAGTTGATTTCGCCGGAACTCGTATCAACGGCCTTGAGAAGCTCATCGACCTCCTCATCGGTCATCTTTTCACCCAAATTCGTAAGGACTATGCAGCCGCACCCCGTTAGCAAATTTCGTGCCTCCAAACTCCCTCCCGGACGAAGAGCACACTCACTGTACCGCAGCTGGCCCACGCCAATGAAGCCAGTCATATCCTTATCAAAAACCTGGAAGCCACGACAATACTCCTCAGGCTCGCCGGGATCGCGGAAGCCGCCGGGGCGATTGAGGACTTTCTGAAAGGCATCGAAGTCGACTATCCCTGCATCAGCACAAAAAAGAAAAAAAAAAAAAAGATAGAAAGGAAGCCAGCTCACAGTCGCCGCCCATGCCCTTCTCCAGGTCTCTGATCTCGGCGAGCGTGGGGTTCTGGCCGCAGGCGCGCAGCAGATCGCCCAGGGACTCGAGCGTCACGCGACCGGTGCCGCGCTTGTCGAACAGGGAGAAGGCTTCTTTGTAGTTGGTCGAGGCCTGCGGGTCGGCGTCGTAGATGTAGTCAGTATTGGGGTGGGTGTGGTGGTGGTGGTGGTTCTGGGACTTTGGGGTGGGGAGCGAGCGCGCGCCCGAGGGCTTGGAAGGGCTCATGGTGGGTGTGGGAGGAGGGGATGGGGGGAGATATGTGTGTGTAGGGATGGTTGTGTGGGAGAGAGAGAGGGAGGGAGAGAGAAGGTTGAGGGTGAGGGTGAGGTTGGTTGCTGGTTGTGAATTTGTGTTTCCGCGGCGATACAGCCAGGCAGTCGGCAATTCTCCTCTCTTCTCCTGTTCTTCTTAATTCTGACAAGCTCGCATCGTCAACAGCATCACAACCAGTCCCTTCAACCCATCCCAGCCCGGCACACAAGCTATCCTCTCTCTCTCTCTCTCTCTCTCTCTCACCCAACATCGCCACCCTCGCCCACCCCCCGAGCCTAAACCAGCAACAAAGCAAAAAGACATAGACAAACGTACCATGACTATTATCTTTTCTCAATTTCTTTCAACAACAACAACCAAAGCTGCAAGCCCAGCAGTCTCTCGATTTCGCAGGTGTGGGATGTTTGTGGGCAGGACGTCCGACTTGGGAGTGGGCGTCTCACCATCAGCCCCACGCCCGCGCGCGCGTTGCCATGGGAGACCGCGCTGCCACCACCGACGATCGCTGGTCTAGCAGGCGAGAATAGGGGCTGCTATGCGGAACGACTACTCCGTACTTCTATTCTATACTCGTAGATTGTATACAAAAAGGCCTTGCTCCTTTTGTTTAGGTCGATTGGTTGGTGAGTGATGCTTGGTGAGTTTCTATGTACAGTACATGAAAGGAAACGTTAAGAGACCGGCGTGCTCGCCCAATGCTGGAGGAATTATATAGTTATAGGTCCTTTTGGTGCAGAAATGGGAGGAAAAGCAGGCAGTATCTGATAGACGAGGACATTTCAAACGGAGTATTGCCAGAACACTCCCGGGTATATAGTTATAATGTTATAGTCAAGAGAAACAGAATTCGCCTCCTATGAACCACCGTAGATAGCTACCTAGTTACATGCATGCCCGGCCGTCGCTTCATTTATCATCACGTCAGGCGGCCGCCGGCACGCCGCTCAGCTTCGCGATGCAGCTCCCGAGCAGCGCGGCCGCCTCCTGCAGCAGCTCCCAGCGCGTGCCCTCGAAGGTGTCGCGCAGCACCATGAGCAGGCCGAGGCAGCGGTTGCGGTCGCGCAGCCGCTCGAGGTCGGCGGGCGCGGCGACGCCGCCCACGCGGTCGAGGAAGGCCAGCATGTCGCGGCGCTGGGCGGCGGGCGCGCGCAGGTCGGGCAGCGGCGCGGGAAGCGCTCCGTCCAGCGCGAAGCCGTAGCACCACACCACCAGCGCCGCGAAGTACAGCACCCACGGCCGGTGCAGCAGGAAGTCGCTGCGCGCCGAGTACTCGCCCGCGGTCGCTGTCGCTGCCATCGTCGTCGCCGCCGCTGCTGCTGCTGCTGCTGTGGCCCGCGCCGGCACCACCAGCACCAGCACCAGGAACTTGAGAGCGTAGAACGCCGCGTCGCGCGCCAGCGGCCGCGTGGCCCAGCGCTCCGTCATGCGAGCCCGCGCGGCGCTGTAGTCGCGCGGCGTGATCGAGCGGCCCAGCAGCCGCCGCGCGCCCGCGAAGATCTGGCAGTCGACGATGTCGACGTGCGCCGCCATGTGCGCCAGGTGGTGCAGCACGGTGCGCGCCTCGAAGAACACATCCACGGCGGGCGGGTACGACGGCCGCCCTCCGCCGCCGCCGCTGCCGCCTGTGCTGTCGTCGCCATCGTCCGGGTCGTCATCATCATCATCATCATCGAAATCGCGGCGCCAGTGGTCGAAGGCGCGCAGCAGCGCGGCACGCCACTTGTCGCCGGCGGTGGTCACGCCCAGCGACGTGACCTGCAGGTCGCGCTGGTTCATGTGCCAGCTGACGCTGAGCAGGCCGGACATGATGATGGTGCGGCCGAACGAGTTGGTGCGCACCGGCTGGCCGTTGAGCGTCTTCTTGAGCCCGTCCAGGAACATGGGCGGCGCCAGCCGGCCGCGGGTCGCCAGCGCCGCCTGCACGCGCGCCACGCCCGCCGCCGACGCCGCCGCCCACAGGCCCTCATCGCACGGCAGCGGCAGCCGCAGCTCGTGCGCGATCATCTTGGCCGAGTGCCCGAACATCGTCGCGTGGATGGTGTCCAGCACGAACGCTGCGAACGCCGCACGGCGTGTGGCCTCAGCCTTGACCCAGCGCGCCCATGCCTCGTCGCCACGGTCGACGGCGGCGGCGGGTGCTGTGGCTGCTGCTGCTGCTGGTGCCGACGAGGACGACGACGATGGTACCGGCGGCGGCGAGTCGAGCGCGGCGCGGCCGATCAGCGAGCTGCCGCGGCGCATCAGCGTCAGCGTGGTGTCGTGGTGGATGTGGGCGCGCTCGTGCAGCGCGCGCGTGGCGAACATCTTCTCGTACGTCTCCAGCAGCAGCAGCGCCTGGAACACCCACAGCCGCGCCGGCGGGCGGAAGTCGGCGTGGCGGAACAGCTCCCAGCGCAGGTGCCATGCCACGAAGTGCGCCAGGTCCGCCGCCGCGTCCGCCGCCGCCGCGCCGTACTGCTCGTGCTCCAGCGTCGCCGCGCCCAGCGCCATCAGCGTCAGCAGCAGCAGCGCCGGCGCCGCGTCTGGCTGGAATGTCGGCCGGTGCAGGATCGGCAGCTGGTCGTGGCAGTGGTACCAGTACGACTCCAAGTACACCTGCATCATGCGCAGGCTGAGGACGTGCGAGTCCGTGTCCACGCCGCCGCCGCCGCCGCCGTCGCGCAGCACGTCCGGCTGCCGTGGCCCCGCCGCCTGGTCCGTGAAGTTGGCCTGGATCAGCTCCACCAGCTCGCTGCGTTTGTGCGGCGAGATCAGGGACTCCGGCGGGACGGTGTCCAGCAGGCTGGTGACGCTCATGGGGTGCAGTTGCTGCTGCGGTGGTGGTGGTGGTGGCGGCTGTGATTGTTGTTGTTGCTGCTGCAGTTGCTGCAGCGGGTGTAGGGCGGTGGTGTAGCCGTCGGTGCAGGCTGGGTCGGGCGCGAAGCCGTAGCCCGGCGGGGGCGGCGCGGGCGCAAAGGGGTCGGGGCCGGCGGCCAGCACGGCGGGCACAGCGGGCACCGCAGCATAGCACAGCGACGAGGCGTGCGGCTCGCTGAACAGCCAGGCCGTGAAGTCGTCGGTCATGGCGAACGGCGAGCGGTCGAGCGTCTCGCCGCCGAAGATGGGCAGCGCGTACGCCGCCATGGCGTCGAGGTCGGGCAGGCTGGCGGCCAGCCCGGCGGACAGCGCGTAGTCGGGCGGCGGCGGCGCGGCGTGGCTGCTGGGGGCGGTGCGCGCGGGCGACGGGGCGGGCAGGTCGGGCGGCGAGAAGCCTACGGGCGTGAAGGCGGGCGCGAAGAGGTTGAACGCCGGCGGCCGCTCGTAGTGCGCGGGGTCGGGGGGTGGCGGCGGGGGGGCGAAGGCGGCGCCGTTAGGGGCGTTGGGCGGCGCGGCGGGCGCGGGCTCAGGGGCGGTCGCAGGCGTGGCCGTGGGTGTGGGCGCGGGCGGGGTGGCCGTGGCCGGCGAGCACTGGGGGGACGGCGGGCCAGCCGTGCTCACAGCCGCACCACCACCACCACCACCACCACCAGCCGCCGCCGCGGAGTGCGCAACGAAGCTGTCGCGCTTCTGCAGCTGCGAGCCGTGTGTGTTATGGCGCTCCTGATGGCGGATGCACAGGTCCTGGCGCACGAATGCGCGCGTGCAGCTGGGGAATGCGCAGCGATAGATGTGCTTTGGGTTGTCTGGCCGGTTGTGGCGGGGCGTCAGCACGTCTCAAAGATAACGGGGGAGGGGGGACAAGTGAGACGAACGGTTCAGCTGGTGGCGGTACAGATGCTCGGCGCGCGAGTACGACTTGCCGCAGCCGGCGTGCTGGCAGTCGAACTTGCGGTCGCCGTCGGCCTTGCGGCTGCGTTTGCGCTTCTTGGGCGACCCGGGCGGCGGCGGCGAGTCGGGCGGCGCGCGGGCGGTGTCGGTGGCCATGGGACGAGGGGAGTGAGGGAGCAAAACAGCGAGCAAGCGAGCGAGCGCGCGCGCGAGAGAGAGAGAGAGAGTGAGAAGAGAGAATAATGCGTGGCGACAGCAGAGGCTACGGGCCCGGGCGAGCGGCAGGCATGGCAGCGGCAAGTCCCCAGCCGCGACGAGCGAGAGACGGGACAAAAAAAAAAGCACAGCGAGCGCAAGGAGAGCACAGGGCCAGACGGAGGATTAAAGAGCGCGCCAGACGGGCACAGGATCGGCCAAGCGACCGGGGCGGCGATATAAATAAGACGACGACGAGCCGGCCAGCAAGCCACAACGCCCACGCGCGGCTTGCGCTTTTGGGCTTGGGTGCGGAGAGCGTGCGCGGGCCGTTGCGTTGGCAGGGAGAGTATGTCACCACCAGGCCAGGGCTGTCGCGATGTCGTTAACGCGTAATCAACCGACGGAGAGAACAGCGTGTGCCTGGCTATCCAGGCCTCTGCTGCACGAGCAAGGCGCCGTGGGCGAGGCGAAAGATCGGCTGCCGCACGATGGATGCCCGAGTACTCCGTATGGAGTACAGGCAGTTAATTAACTAACGCAATAGTTAGCTGACTAGTAGTTAGGTTAGTTAGTTACTTAACTAACCGACCAGGTACTACCCCGTTGCGCCATACCGGCCCTGCATCGCAGCTCTACCAGCCACCCCTGCAGCCAACATGCCTTCACCAACCCGTCGCTATCATGCCTGCCAGTCTCCTCCCCTGCCCGCCGTAGTCGTCTGTCACATAACTAGGCTTCTATAGATCTCCGCCAGCACCCTACCACCCCTATACCAATCCATCGCCGACTACGAGCTCGTCCACCCCGCCTCGTACCACCGTCGCCACGCGCCCGTGTCTGGCACCACGACCACCACCATTGTGACCGTGATTGCTAGCCGTTAACGACGACGAGGAGGATACGCAGCTCGCACCTTGGGAGAGCGCGCCGTGGCGGTGGTGTGCGGAGGAGTGGGTTGGTTCTACGCGTGCTTCGGATGGAGATGCATGGGCTGCGTTAGAGTAACTAGGATTATTCTGATTGAATTATTCCGTGCAAACACGGGAGTCAAAGGGGGAATATCATGACATTTCATTTGTTGTCGATTGGTTTGCAAAGCGTCGCATAAAATGGCTGAATACATCTTCTTTTGCTTCTTTTCTGGGGAGGGGATAATGTATGAAGGGATAAACTACCAGTCTCTGATGGAACAAAGTACGAACCCCCCCCCCCCCCGCATGCTCACCCCGTAAACCGGAATCGCGCTGCCTCCAGCTTCCCCAGTCCTTCCCGCGGCGCCACATTCCGTCGGCGGTACGAATTCGTAAAGTCTATCAATCATCGATCAGTATCGTATCACCACCACCACCAGCAACACGAAAGAGACATGTACATACCCTGCAGCAGCGCACGGATCCGGCGATGGTCGCCCGCCCGCACACGCTCCGTCAGGCTCTTCAGCAGCCGCTCGCCCTCGGCCGCCTTGAGCGTGCCCGCCGGCAGCAGCTGCACCGTCGCACCCACCGCGTTCGCCGTCTGCGCCGGCAGCAGCTCGAACAGCGCCATCAGCACGCCCGACGCGTCCGGGAAACACTCCGCGGGGAACGAGAACATCATGCCCGTCATGACCCGCTGCACCAGCGGCGCGCCCTGCGTCTGCATCAGCTGCGTGACCGCCGCCCGCACCTCCGGCGCCGTGCTGGGCCGCTCGCCGTTCGGCCCCGTGAACTCTGACACCGCCGCCTGCTCGAACCCGAAGCTCAGCACGTCGCGCACGTAGTGCAGCGTCGCCGTCAGCGGGTCGCGCTGCTCGAGCGTGAGTGCGCTGAGCGCCGCCGAGAAGATCGGCTGCGCGAGCTCTGACGTTAGTGTGCTTTTGGGGAAGAACCGCACTGCGTCTGTTAGAAGCCGGAAGAAGTCCTCGATCACTGCAATGCCTGTGTCAGCCAAGAAATCCAGCGGGTTGGGACAGAGACTTACTGTCGGGCAGATGATTCGGCGGCAGGTCATTCAGAATGCGGAGGAACTGTACGACTTGCTGCTCGAAGAACTGGAACACTGCGTCGCTGGTCTGCTGGTCCACGTACTCCGCTCCAGCTGAGAATTCGCGAACCACTGCATCCGTGGCCCACAGGAAGCATCCTTCTCTGGACGCCTGGAATCCAGCCGAGATACTCTGCGCTAAATTGGGGAGCAGTGGGATCATGGCGTTGCGGTACGATATAATCATGTATCGCCAGCACCGGCAGACCCGTTCCAGGATGGGTGTGGATCCTGTGAAGTTCATGACGATCGTGCTTAGCACCGGCAGAATTTCTTCGCAGTATCGCACCCCGGGGTTCGGTGTATTGGGGCTGACATAGGGGGAGACGTTTTGGATGAATATCGTGATAAGCTGAAGGTGGTCTATAATCACAATGTCAGCTAGCCGTACTGCAGAATATATGAATAACTAAAATTATCTTACCAGCGACTGCTTTCTGGCCATCCTCATCTTTTGCGTTATTAGCTAGGTTCATGATTCTCCTCATGAGCGGATCGCAGAACAATTTCAGCGTTTCGTATATCTTCTCAACCGGCTGGACCGCAACAACTGCCGCCACGCCCTCCGTGACCTCTTCCTGACTCGAAGGTTTCAAATTGTCAATCACCGACTCATAGAACGTATGGAGCTGAGGGATATGCCCCCCCAATAGCTTCTGGCAATCGGTTCCTAGGAACTTGAAAGCCAGCGCAGCGGCCTGTACCACCTCCAACGACTTATGCTGGAAGCCAGAGATAACATAGTTGAGCTGCGCCTCCAGCGTCTCGGGGTGCTGCGCTGTCCACTCCGTATATCTTCCAAGAGCCATGATAGCCTGGAAGCGGACCTTTTCTTGATCTGGTATCTGAACAATAAGGGGAATAATCTGTGGGAGGACGGAGCTTTCTTCAGGGTCCACCATGCCTCCCATGGCCCTCATGCTGAACAGCGGAGCCTCCAGTTCCTGCCAATGAGGTACGTGATTGTGGCTGGCTTGCGTTGCGTATTTCGCGACCCAGGCCTGTATCAGACTATACGACTTCCCTAGACACTCCGAAGCCCCAATGACAGCACAGCAGTCTTTCAGCACATCGCCCATCGCGTGGCGGAACTCTCTGAATTTTTCTTCTTGCTCTCGATCTCCATCAAACAAATCTCCACTGTCGCTGTCCGGGACCGGAAACTCCAGGTGTTTAACCATGATGTCCACTAACTTCGAGTACACGTCGGAGAGGGCCGTTTTGGCGCTCGCATATCTATCCAGAGTTAAGTATTGCTTCAGTTCGTACCAGAAAACAAACGTAATGGAAATAGCATCTCGTTCTTTGTCGACCGCGCAGCATTCCAGCACCGCCTCAACCAAGCTGCGGAATTCGTTTGGCAGACGGGCAATGAGAACCACCCAGGCTTCTGCGGCCTCTGCAAATAACCTGGTGATACCTCGCAGCATTTCGACGTCCTCGTCCTCTGCTGCTTGGCGAATCATAGGCCTTAACGCTATCAAGTGAGGGTAAACCGCCTGGATGACAGGCATCGAATCGTCAACTTCAAGGGTGTCCCTGTATATGGCGCACATACATTCCACAGCTGAATCGAAGGATCTTGTTTCCGAAAGTGCTTTTGTAATCACCCCTAATAAAGGCGAGGCGACAACGCGCGAGGCAGGTATTTCACGCATCCAGGAAGTAATGCATTCCAGCAGGTGTGGGTTGGTGGCAGCGGCGGCTAAATAAAGCACATTTGGTCAGCACGTAGCCTAAAGAGTATCCTTCCCAGAGATGTACGTACGCGATGATTGTGAGTATTGGGTAAGAAGGGTCAACACTTGTTCCGCATTATCTTCCAACAACTCCTTCGTTCTAGACGATAGGTCCTCTTCCTAGGGGTCATGATGATGGATTAGATTCTAGTCTCTGGCCGCAAAACAGTACCGCTGCTGAATGCTGGGGTTGCGCAAACGCGAAGATGGATTTTTTTTGGACATAGATGGTGACTCGGCCGAACATACAGTCAGGTTGATTTTTCGTCCTTCCGTAACCTCCTCGGGAAGAATTTTGAGAAACTCCAGAACACAATCTCCAGCATCGTTGCCCAGGGCTGACCCAACCGTGGGAAGCACGTCTTTCCAGGTTATCATCTGCACCGCCAGGCTGGCCAGGCAAACGCATAGCTGTGTCTGTATGGGCCGCGGGCCCGACTTGAACGACGTCAAGAGCGTGAGAATAGAGCTCCTCAGGGCTGGTAGGGACGATTCAGGTAATTGGTGGAGGTCGTATATGATCTATAAAAAAATTTAGTACGTCTTGAGGACGTTTAGAAACGGTCACGCACCTTTCCCTTTAACGTCGTGGCGGCAAACAACTTCGACTCAATCGGCAAGTCTGGGGACTGGAGGATCGCATGCGTTGTGGTCCAGGCTTCCGCCTAGGCAGCCAAACCTGTCAGGTCAAGCTCAGGGAGGGGTAGTCGCAGGATATCTCACTGATTTCTGAAAGTGCTCCAGGAACTCGTGGGCGTGGTTCTTTTCCTGACGCGATGCGTTTCCTTGCATCGTCGCCAGCGCCGCCAGCACAGGAGCAAACTCCTGCACCGGAGCGCTGCCTTTGGTTGCCATGGTGTGTCGAGCGGTGGGCGTGATTGAGAGAGTGGAAGAGCACCGGAAAGTTTTAGAGGAGCGGGGTGACTGCCGACGCTGAGCAAACCAACGCGGCGGCAAAAGTGATCATGAAGAAAGCGAATAGTGAGATCAGTTGTAAGAGGGTATAGTGCCTGAAACTGTCATCGGGGGCCGCGGCGCTTCGTTGATCGTGTTGTCCCACCACTTGGATTGCGAGGAAAATGCATTGACGACGGGAGCAAGCAAGCAAACTAGGTTGGCGAGCGAGCTTCCCCAAAAAGTTCGAGCCACAACACCGACCAAGACTCTCACCAACTCGCGCCCTCGCCCACTCTCCTCGCCTACCCACGCCGCGCTATCCTTATCTGCTCGTTCCAACGGCCTTGACTGTCTCCATTGAGCATATTAACTGCTCCCCTCCCCCTCGCTCGATTAACCATGGCTGGCAGAGGTCAGCGCGGGCCCGCCAAAACCCTCCTGCAGCCCATTCACTTTATCTTTAAGCTCCTACAGCAGAGGTCTACGGTTGTCATATGGCTGTATGAGCAGCTTGCCGTGCGGATAGAGGGGAAGATACGCGTTCGTCGCCGTCCACCGCTACCTTTGGCTTCGCTAACCGCTATAATTCCCAGGGTTTCGATGAGTTCATGAACCTCGTGATCGACGATGCAGTCGAGGTCACATTGGCGACGAAAGACCAAGCGGAGAAAAGGAGACAACTGGGTATGATATTCCTACCGCTCTCCTAGCTCTCAATGTTTTGTCACTGTCTCGCTCTAATGAATCTACAGGCCAAATTCTGCTCAAGGGCGACAACGTTTCTTTGATACAAGCTTTACAATGATATCGCAATGATGGGGTGCTATTTATGCATTTGGCGTTTCCGCTGGCTATATTTATGTGTTAAATTGAGAGATTGTCAGAGGAAGGGGAGATGGGAGGATTAAATCACATTTTATGCCCGCTTCAGCGTCCTCCCATCGCCCACGACAAGCGCGTCCATTGGGTAGTCATGCTCTGCAACTGGGACGCGTTCTGATGAAGGAAGCAGTTGCTCTTGAAGAGTAAGAGCGGCTTTAATGAGTTCTGTCAGCTACCTGGAATCGTTTAAAAAAAAACTAGCAAGAGTCTTACCAAGGTAAGGCTTTCGGCCTGCGCCGCCCTGCTCGTGGCGGAGTTTCACTATGAAATGATCATAATACCCTCTACCATGACCAAGCCTTCCGAAGTCTTCATCAAAACCTAAACCAGGCACAACTATTAAATCCAAAGCAGAGTCTTTTGCTTCTCCTGGCGGGGGCGAGCGGCCAAGAAGTCCATGTCCCCCCAGGCAATTTTCTCTTGTGGCGAGCGTGCTCCCATCTAGCGATGGGATCCCCCATTTATCCGGCTGTAGAGACTCGTAATCTTCGATCGAATGAAGCGCAAGCATCTCCATTATGGACGCTCTCTCATGTGGAGCAGCAGTGCTCAGCCGATATATATACGGCACGAACACCTGTTTTCCCTGTTTGAATGCGTCTCGAACGACCTCTGCCGTCTGAGCCTCTCCAGACGGCATTGCGAGATATACGCTGAGGCGTTTGGCTGCCTGATATTCTGGTAACGACAAAAGGCCTTTTGTTATCGTAGAAGCTGTCAGACCGTATCAGCATGACACCTTTGACCATAGATTCCGGATAGCGCTGCCTGACATTGCCTATTGATAGCCTCTGCTGAGAGACCAGACAAGACGGTTTTGATCTTGCTGCGCAGCTCTCTCTTAGCAGCTTGCACGCCCGCCATGGCGTCTTGTGGGGGGTATGTCGTTTTCTGCAGCTTCGGTTCAGATGACAATACGGAGTCCTATTGAGACCAGCAAAGGCGATAGCTGGTCACTGACACGCTTCGAGCGTTAAGGCCCTACGGTCCTTTTGCTTTTTGACGCCTTCGGGCCGAAAAAGCTTTCTTTAGCGACGATACAAACGGTACCTCTTGAGGCTAGTAGCGGTCTTGGTTGTCCGGCTACCCAATATCTTCCCTGCGCAGGGTAAAGGTTTAGTTACATACACCGTATATGTAAGTCACCCTTCTATAGATGAAATGCTGGCGAGAGAGTCACAAGCACAGCTACGATGCTACTCGATGCACCTCCCCTTCCTGGCCTGGTTCGACATACTATGCCCTATACGGCGTATACGGAGTATGGATCGTTGAGTTTGGTTGGCGTGCGCCATTGAAAACACGGGCCTAGACAGCTGCGGGCTCCTTGGCTCCCGATATCGCGAGATGATTGGCAAACGGTAAGCCCTATGCGGTAGAAAAAATTTAGAAGAGTTACCGATCTTTGCACGCTGCGTAGACACAACAATGAATGTGTTTGTAAAGTGCCCTGCATGGGGTAGATGCTGGAGCGTGCTGTTTGGTCATGGGGCCAAGCAATGTGTGGCCTCCCAAGAACGCGTATGACGAGCAAGATCCTTTACTGAACTTTCCTTGCCACAACCTCAATCCCTTCTTCTGCCGCCGCAGCACAAACGACTAAGCCGCAATGATGTTGTTTCTTGCTGGCCTCGTTTGTTCCTCCTATGTCACGGCAGCCTATGCGGCGCTGGATCCCAGGCTTGTTGGCACCTGGTCCACGAAATCGAAACAAGTGATCACCGGTCCGGTACGTTCTGTTTTGGCTGAGTGAAGCGCTGCGCCCCCCTGCAGCGGCCTTCGATCTCTTTACTGCCAACTAATATCCACCTTAGGGGTTCTACGATCCGATTAGAGACAGATTCATCGAGCCAGCGAATACGGGAATATCATACTCCTTCACTGCCGATGGATATTTTGAAGAAGCGCACTACCGCGCGTTGTCGAATCGTTAGTCGCCAGCTCCTCTTCAGCCCCTAAGCCAAGAATATACTGACAGATTATGGTACCCAGCGAGTGCACCGGCATGTGTTGCTGGCTTCATGCTATTTCAACATGGAACATACAGCGTCGAGGCCGACGGATCCCTCATCTTGACTCCAATCGCGGTGGATGGTCGCCAGCTTATTTCGAATCCCTGCAAAGGCAAGAATTCTGAGTACTTTAGATTTAACCAGACGGAGACGTTCAAGGTATTATCGTCGTTCCGTTTTATTTCTCAAACCTTCACAGAAGCTGGCAGTCACTGATTATTTCTCTCAGCGATTCGAACCGCAGACCGACCGCTTTCACAATGTGAGACGCCTAAATCTCTACAAGCATGATGGATCTCCGATGAATCCAATGTTCCTCGTTCACGAACCTCCGCAAATGCTACCCACGCAAACATTGAACCCAGTCGTCACAGCCACCCCAACAGGGAGAAGGGCTAAACGCAGCTTTTTCTACGGCAACGATCACCCTCTCACCCACGATAAACGTTCATTTTCCGAGCCTACTGGACTCCGTAAACCTGAGAACTGGTTATGGGCTGGTATCATCATGACTGCCTCTGGGGGAGCTGCATTCCTTTACTCCGCTGGCTTTTGGTTGCGTTAGGGTAGGATATGGTTTCGTTCTTAGTACTTAGCGTACATGTTGGCGTGTATTGGCGTTGGGAAGACCACAACGGAGTTTTAAGGCACGGTATTCAGAAAATGACATAATTATCAGGTGAATCGAAATGATCCGCCATGGTTGACTCGATGGATAGTTTTGCTGGGATATGTGCGTTTATTTCATAGATCTTGTCACTTATGACCAGTGAATGAATCACCAGGGGTTTAACATTTTTATACGAGTGATAGCTATTCTTGGAGTCGGGAGATCCGTTAATGTGTTACATACTATACATATAAAAGCCGTACAAGAATATTCCAGTAATGGCAAGGCACTACAAAAGTGACTTCTCTCAATTCTTTGTTTTGTCTATCTTTTCATGCAGAGATCGCTTGGGCTGCCATTTTTGAGACGATCGACTTCTCTGCGGGCTTTTCATGTAACGGCCCTCCCGGGGCAAAAGCAGTCCTCATAACTGTGCCAATATCAAATTTCTTTCCCTGGCTTTTGAGTTGTTCTATGGTCTGAGAGACCGCGGACTGTATCTCATCGGGACTCATGGTAGATACCTGTCCTGCGTATTCCGCAAGCACGCTGATTTCTGCATCATTTCGCACCTTTAAGTCGCTTCTGCCAGCTTTAACAAACTCCTCGCTAGCTGCCTCGAGGGACGTAGACCGCTTGCGAATGAGAGCGAGTAATTGGAGGTCTGTTTGAATTGGAGACTGAGTCTTGGCGGCATTGTTGACTTCTGCGATGATTGCTCGTAATACATCAAGTCTGAACCATTGCGCGCCCAAGTTAGCTTGACGAAAAGTAGAACAGAGAAAGAATTGGACAACCTAACAGTGTCTCGAGCTTTCATAGCAGTTTTCAGGTCTCCCCGTAACGAAGCAAGCAGAGGAGGTGTGATAGGCGCAGTGGAATTGTAGCGGCATGGAGCTTGCCACAAGCATCGAGCCTGGAATCTGCGTAGCCTGAACATTGCGAGTGTATTTAAGTCTGAATATGCGTTAGGAATACGGTGTTGTGGGCGCCAGAGAGGTCTTGTGCCTGCAGCTCTGCCGTACTTTGTTGGTGTTCCAAGCAGCCAGTCTGGTCTGTGCGCAAAATTGTTTCTCTTCAATGCTTCACCTTCTTGCGGCTAATAATGCGAGCGCGTGGTTCTCCATATAAGGGACTCAACCAGCCCCATTGGCCTCGAAGCTAGACGTGCCAGCCACTCAGCCACCGATATTTCCTCCCCGTTCCTATCTACCACGCTGGAGGTGCTTCGTCTATCTTAACTTGGGGAGTCGCCCTGCTGGGACCTCCGAACTATGAGCTTTCCGCCTCTCACCCCAGCTCGGCCGGTGCCAGGCACATATTTCCAAACGCCAGCCCCGTCCTTTTCCAATGGATCTCTTTTCCAAAGCAGGCCAATGTCGGCCGCGAGCGCTAGACCTCCGTCCGCAGACAATCCTCTCGCCCAGACCATTGACAACAAGGCGATTGCTTCGAGTGTGAAAGGCAAAGCCGATACGATGAGTCCGCGAGAACGAGGAGCGCGCACAATAGACGATGCTCTGGCGCAGGATGCGCGATACCCTGACCTAGATAGTTTTCTCCCTGGTAAGTCGGCTTTATCCCTCTGCTATCTCAATGGCGACTGACGTGTCGCAGCCGGATATACCTCAGAATACGACTTACCTACCTCTCAATCATGGGCGCCCTTCCAAAAAATAAAGATGTATGATATTCCGGATCAAATATTTGAGCAGTACAATCGTGCTCAAGTTTCGACGAGCATGGGCCTCTTCGCAGAGTTGAACCATGCCTGGGTGACGATCGATAATTCCCTTTATCTCTGGGACTACACGCATCCAAACCCGCAATTAATTGGGTTTGAAGACCAGCCTAATAGCATTAATACTGTGAAACTCGCTCGACCGCGGAAGGGTGTATTTCTGCCGTCTATAACACATATTCTTATTATCGCAACTACAGCGGATGTCATGATCCTTGGCCTGAGCTGTGAAATCAGTGGTGGCTCAAAGATCGTTTCTCTTTACCAAACTGGAATGTCGGTTACTGTTCGAGGGCTAGATATTAATGTTATCACGTCGTCAGACTCGACGGGCAGAATCTTCTTCGCCGGTTCGACAGACAACGATGTGTACGAGCTGAAATATCAACAAGAGGAGCGTTGGTTCCAAGGGAGATGTACTAAAGTGAACCATACGACAAAAAGCTTTGCAGCTTTTGCTCCTCAATTTGCACTCACGCCCAAGAGCCAGACATTTGTTGAGCAGATGGTGGTCGATGATAGCAGAAGTCTTCTGTACACCCTTTCATCTAACTCGTCCATACGCGTATTTCATATGAAGCAAGACGATGCCATGTCACTCGCCATTACGAAACATGCTGTTGATATTTACTCCAACATTGGTCACATCATTGGTTCCAATGAAACGCTCAATGCTCGAGTTAAGATTGTCTCGATTAGTCCAATTCTGGCTGAAGAAGCTTCAAGATACCACCTGATGGCCACAACGGCGACTGGCTATAGAATTTATTTAAGTGCCACTGGTTCTTATAGTTGGTCACCGACTCCTAGTGCAACGAATGCTCCTACAAGTATGCAAGCGCAACACATACGGACCCCGCCACCCGACACGACAAGCGCCCAGCCGGCGGCACAAGGGAATTCTCCTATGTCAGGATCCAAATATCCAATGTCTCGTGGTAGATTTCCAATCCAATCATTGAACCCTACTCGATCCGCACAGCGTTTCCCCCCCGGCTACTTCTTCTGTTTCGCTGAAAAGGAACCCCCCAACCGTGGAGATACGCTTTTCATATCTACACCGGACTCTGGACGGATTGCTCGCCCTCAGGATACGTCTCTTCCGATGAAAACGGATGAAACCGGTCTTTGGCTCACCCTGGGCAGCCGTGCAGAAGATATAGGGCTCAGTACGCCGGGTTTTGCAGCCCAAGGGGCACCTGGCTTTGGAAACGAGCTTGCGATTCAGTTTGACAAGCCTGCCACCGAAATTGCCATCCTCACAAATACGGGAGTTCATGTGATTCGCAGAAGAAGGCTTGTTGACATATTCGCTTCTCTCGTCCGTACCGCTGGAGGGGAGGAGGGATTGGAGAATCAAGTGAAGACCCTTATCAAACTTTATGGCCGAAGTGAAGTTCTTGCTACTGCGTTAGCCGTAACTTGTGGCCAAGGCGTCGAGCTTTCGCATGACTCTCGCTTGTCTAAGATAAATGACCCGGATGTGTTGGAGTTTGCCAGAAAGGTGTTCATCGAGTTCGGCGGGAGGCCCTCTCTGGACGAAAACACGGTTACTGATGGGTCCAATTTCGCAATCGAAGCCGTTTTGCCATCACCGCGACATGCAGGTATTGCACTTTATACCTCAAGGCTTTTGAGGTCGATTTGGAAAACCGTGATCGTGAAGCAAGACCGCACACCAGCTGGCGGTGTCGCCATTATCCCATCCGTCAACACATCTAAGTTACATTCGATACAACGAGATCTCTCGGCCTTGCAAGACTTTTTCCGTACAAATAAGACGTTCATTGAAGGTTTAAGCGGCCCCGAAGCCCTATCCAGGGCAGCGACAAAGCAAGATGAAATTGCTCTACAGGCAGAACACCGCGCATTGCACTCACTGGTTCAACTTATTACTCATACTATTGAGGGTATTTCGTTCATCCTCGTTTTGTTCGACGAACGCATGGAAGAGATTGTAGCCTTATTACCCGAAGCTTCGAAATCCAAATTCATGACTTTGACGTTCGAACAACTCTTCAGCAGTCCTTCAGGGCACGATATCGCTAAAGAACTCGTCAAGGCTATTGTAAATCGCAATATTGCGAAAGGTTCAAATGTTGAAACCGTTGCAGAAGCCCTTCGACGGCGTTGCGGGTCTTTCTGCAGTGCGGAGGATGTTCTTATTTTCAAAGGCCAGGAACAGCTGAAGCGGGCGACGGAGGCTGGTGTTAATTCTGAATTTGGGAGGAACTTGCTGAATGAAAGCTTAAATTTATTTATGCAAGTGTCAGAGACGTTGCCAATGGACTACCTTAAAGCTGCCGTTGAGCAGTACACGCTAAACCAGTTTTTTGCCGGTAAGTTGATATAGTACATTTCGTGTACAAGAGGATTCTGATTATTCTAGGCGCTATTCAACTTTGCTTAAGTGTTGCAGCCGATTCTGATAAAGCAAACCGTGCACTATCATGGTTAATGGATGGCCGGCCTGCCCAGGTAAGACACCCATAAATTCCATTCTATCTCATAGTGGCTGAACAGCCGTGCAGGATCCTCGCCAGGCGAGCTTTGAGATTCGACAACAATGTTATGATCTAATTTATATTGTCATTGCGGCTGTTGACGATCTCACAAGCCAAGAACCGGAAGTGGTCGACGGACAATATACGGCTATAACAAGAAGAAAAAATGAGGCGTACGATGTCATTACGAATTCACAAGATGAGGTCTTCCTTACGAGCCTTTATGATTGGTATCTTGAACGAGGCTGGAGCGACAGACTGCTTCACCTCAATAGCCCATTCGTGGCTACATATCTGAAGAGAAAGTCAGCCGAAGACATCTTCCACGCTGACTTGCTGTGGAAGTATTACGGACAGTCTGGCAAATTTTACGACGCTGCTGCTGTTCAGCTACAACTTGCACAGAGCCCATTCTCTCTTCCTTTAAGTCAACGGATTGAATACCTAGGTCAAGCAAGTGCCAATGCCTCAGCATCCACGCAAGAGGCCTCCCGCGCAGCTCGTCATAGATTGCAGCAGGAAATTTCGAGTCTGTTAGACGTTGCAAATGTTCAGGACGATTTAGTGCAGCGCTTGAAGGATGACAGCCGAATAACCGATGAGCGAAAGGCCGAAGTCCTAAAGGAAGTGAGCGGCGAAATTATGGAACTTAGCAATGTGAGTTTGAGCCCTGTGGAAGCTGTTACTCTGAAGTTACTAATTCTCCTTGTTTTTTTCAGTTGTTCAACATGTATGCCGATCCTGGCGGTTACTACGATATATGCCTACAGATCATGCATCTCGCAAACTATCGAAACACGTCCGACATCAAGGCCGCATGGGAAAACCTTATTAAGGATGTCCATGAAGATGCATCTGAAAAGGGCATGTCTCTGCCCTACGAAGCTATTATTGAAAAGGTCCGAAGCCTTTCTAGTCGCTTAAGGATGTCGGACATTTCTTTCCCTGTTCCAATTCTTCTACCGATGCTCGAAAGATACGCACTTGAACGTCAGCTTGGTGTAGGCCCCCAGACCTGGGTAATTGATCTTTTCCTTGACCTACATGTTGCACACGAAACCCTCTATACGATACTAGAGGCGATATTCTACAACGACGAAGTTCCCTTTCAAGGTCGCAATCGGATGTTTATTGCATACGATCTTAACTACGTCATCTCACGGTGGTATCAAGATAGTGTTCGAGTTGGTGGTGGTGTTTTCGGTAGCGATGCGCTTGCTACCCGTGTATCGGAGTTGTTACTTTTGATTCAACAGAGCGGCGGAGAGAGGGAGATTGTGGAGTTGAGCAGGGATTTGCGGATGAGAATTGAGCAATCCCTATGGTGATTCTGCTTGTTTAACGGAGTAGAGTATTTAGTACCCCATGGGTCATGTTGATTATAGAGTGCCTTCCCGGAAGCGGGTTCTAGTCAGCTTTTGGCGTCTACTTTCATGCTTCGGAAATTCTGGTAGCCAGGAGTAGTTACTGACTGCTGATAAAATCAAGATTGATGATCATGAATTATCTTTATAGGAATTGGTATTTTTGCTCATCCAAAGGGGTCCTCCCAACTCAACATATCCCGCTGTCTCCTTTTCCAGCCAGGGACAAAGGTACCAGGAAGTGCTGCTGATTGGATGGGTTTATTGTTTTCCCGAAATCCAGAACTCCGCTATAAAAGAAAAATGCCGCTCGAGAGATTTCTTTGACAGTTTTTATTTCACTTTACACTGAAAATCATACACATCTCTGTTCATAATGGCCATGAGATCGAGCAGCGGGACGGTTGCACCCGCCAAGTCATCCTGGCAGGGCAAGCTTGATGGCTTTTACATTGGCTTTTTTGCCTTCCACCTTGTGGTAATCTTCGGTGAGTTTAATTCTATAGTTAGATAAGCCTCCTCCGTATGGGGTCAGCTTGACGTTCTCTCCGACTTTCCAGTCAATAAATTGCGTTTGTTTTCCTCTCTAAACGTCAATCTTGGTGGTCCTGACCCTATTATTCGGAAATGGTGTATATCAGCGCTCTATACATGTTCTGAGTGACCGTGATTGCTATGGATAGGCGGAGGTTTTATTGTAAGCTGATAGAGTTTTGCAGCCGTCGACATTGTCCCGCTTTATCCCGAGCCATTTGTTCCAGGCCCTTTGCTCAAGCTTCGAGAGTTCTATATCGCCAAATACCAGGACAGGTTTTTCGTTGACCCACCACGATGGTTCCAAAGCTATGCTGTGATGGAAGCAGTCTACCATGTTCCGGCAAGCATAGAAATTATTCGTGGACTGCTAAAAGGTATGTCCCGAATCCCCGATGACCCACCTCTAACGACTTGCTGGCTCGGCGGGAGACGGATTCTCACGCTTTAAATATCCATCTCTAGACGATGCATTTGTCCCTGTCCACATTCTAGTATTTGCCGTTCAGGTATTCATCACGACGCTTACATGCCTCGTTGAGGTGTGGGCTTGGACAGATCGGACTGTTGAGCAGAAATCCGACCTCAGCATGATCTATGGGCCATACCTAGCATTTGGTGAGTGACCCTTGGCCTGCAAGTACTATCCTTGTCTCCGGACTTCGGAGATCTTCACCCGGAGCATGCGTAGTTAGGCATGGATACTGGGTTGCGTTCGTACCTCGGATTCCTCCCCTGCTCCAAGAGCTAGGATACGATTCTTCTCCCCCACCAGAAAAAAAGCGATACTCCCAAACTGACATTATATATTTTGGTAGCTGGCCTCATGGGCCTTGACATGATGTATCGACTTCGAGTAGCGTTGCGCAAGGCAAAACGGGATTAGCAGCGGGATGGAGGTCATTTGTATGTTGTGGAATAACTAGTTAGTTGGTTAGTTCCATAGTTAGTTAGGTGCCCCAGTCCATAGCGTCTTCTCCATCGAGAGATCAATGTAAGATAAGATAATCTATTCAATGCGGAGCACCATCTGTGGGATATAAGAAGATTGCTGTGGGCTTGCATGGGGCGGTTGGAAGGCCAGCGGTTGATCTAGCGTTCTAGCGGAAGTCTAAGCTGTGTCGTCAGAGAAATTGACTCACATCTCGCAAGCTCCGCCAATTCACAAACTCCCGAGTGTCCACAGCGATATCGCAACCACGAAAATCTGGAAAAACAAAAAATGTTCCGTATTCCTGCTTGTCTTCAGTTCCCATTTGCCATCCACTGAGCGTGCCTGCTGTGCCACCGTCTTTGCGAAGCGATGCCAGAACACTTCCAATGAACAATGAATCGAAGTGTGGTGCTGGGCTGGTGCTCACAGCCAGCTCGCCTCGGCCATAAGGTATTTGCTATTTGATTTCACCGATAGGTAGACCTCGTTCCTAACGTGATCCTCTAAAATTAGTGTGACCGTCACTTCGATTTCACTCCCCTCTGTAACCGGACCGCACCCGAGAAACGCTTCTTCGGCCGTTATTCTGGCCCAACAGCTACAATTCCTAACCTGCCCCGCAGACATGACGGCTATACCGCTCCGCCGGAATCTGGTGGCGACTTCTTCCCAGGACTAGGCCATCAGGCAAAGGAAAAAGAGGCCGAGAAGGTGTGTACAACCACTCTCCGCCCTACTACTCTCACACTCACACAGCTTATAGGATTTCTACCTAAGTCTTCTGAGTTCTGCTTCTACAAAGCGAGAAGTAAAGTCCTATCTCTCACGATTCAAGACTCAAAAATCTACATCCAATGATACCCACAAACCCGATCCCCCACACCGAGTCACACCTCCGCACAATCTTGAACCGAAGACAGGATTGAAGACACAAAGCAAATTAGGCGTGAATTTAGGAAATATATTCGGGGACTCCGCGACCGTGGAGAATGCTCCGGTATTTACACAAGACCCCATACATGTTCGGATGGAGGCAACCCCCGAAAAGCTTCACGTTGCTCTAGTCGAACTCCGGAAGCCTCAGCTACTAAATGATCACATTCTCCACGGGGTTGGCCAGACTCTCTCACAATTAAGCAGACTTGGGATGAGCTGTTGCGTTGTGATTGATGCGGGTGGCAGCTTAGACGAGATGTCCCATCGACATATTTCTACACAGCAGGCAGATCGACTATCTGCAGCCATTGATGCGAATCACGGACCAGACTCCCAGAGAATTGATTCTGCCATCGCGGTATCGCCAGAATCTAATATGAAGGTCTCGGTCCTATCCCGCAATTTGCTACTATCGCCTTTACGTCAAGGCCATGTCGTTGTTGTAGCCCCAGTGGGGTATACTACAGATACCCAGAGAGCAGTTCCTGTTCCGGCAGGTAAAATAGTTTTAGCATTAACCAAGGAATTGGCAGGGCTTGAGATAAACAGCAGCCCAGACGAAGATGCTATCACTACAGCCGGCAGAGCGAAGTATTTGCAGATGGAAATATCACTCGATAGGCTGATTATTCTGGATCCTTCTGGTGGAATCCCTTCACTGAAGGAGAGACCCCATGTTTTTGTCAACCTGGAACAGGAATATGACGACATTATGGGGGAGTTGAGCCAAAAACTCAACGGTACTGATTATCATACTTCTTCAAAACCTCAAGATATAAACGAAATATCCCCATTCCATTTTGGGAAGAGCAATCCTATATCCAAGTTTGTCGATGAGGAGGTAGTTCCTCTTCCAAAAGAATCTGGTGGATCTGGCCGGACGGAAACCGTGGATGACCATTTGAACAATTTAACGCTTTTACAACAGACTCTGTCGTATCTACCCCCATCGTCATCTGGGATTATCGTTACACCTTATGAGATAGCCACATCTCCCGACGAAACTCCTGATGCTTCAACTTTATCCGCTGTTGGAACTCGACGATCGCGAAATCCTCTGATTCATAACCTGCTTACTGATAGACCTATTTTATCAGCTTCTTTACCGATTGGAAGAATATGCGCCCGGAACGGCGCCACGCCACCGAGCCAAACGCTTGCTACACATTCCACCTTTGTGAAGCGGGGGATGCCGTTGACTTTACTACCAGATCCGCGCGTTAGAATGTGGACGCCAGACAACTTTGGTGACCACATCCTCACATTGGATGATTCAAGGATCGACCTGCAACGCCTTGTTTATTTGATTGAAGATTCTTTCGACAGGAAACTAGATGCCCGCCGTTATATCGATCGTGTCAACAAACGCCTTGCTGGGCTCATTATCGCCGGTGAATATGAAGGCGGAGCGATCCTCACGTGGGAAACGCCACCTGGCGTGCCTGATGACGGGAGCGAAGAGAGCAGATCTCGAATGGTTCCATATCTCGACAAATTTGCCGTTCTCAAAAGAAGCCAAGGGGCCGGTGGAGTGGCAGATATCGTGTTTAACGCCATGGTTCGCACCTGTTTCCCAAATGGCGTCTGCTGGCGAAGCAGAGCGGATAACCCCGTTAATAAGTGGTACTTCGAGAGGTCCAGAGGAACGTGGAAGCTTCCAGGCACTAACTGGACCATGTTTTGGACCACAGACGGTGTACCTGAAAATCAACAAGAGTTTTGGGATTATGAAGGCGTTTGTCGGTCTATTGTGCCCACTTGGGCGGATAATAAGCAGCAAGTTGATTGAGCGCGATACAGTGTTTTTATAGAAGTATTCTTTTAACGTCATATTGAAACAACTATACACATAGATAAATTGACCTCGCCGGTTGTTCCACAACAGGTATTTATAGCAAAAGCATACCAGCTAATGACTTCTCATGCAATACGAAATTCAACTTTTATATTCCTCTTTATCTGTTTCGTTCATCTTTGGCATTTGATAATGTTTTACAATGTAATGTATCTAGGTCAAACCAGTGTCCTAGTCGAAACTAATATTCAAGATTTTGACAATTCCCAGTATAGAGCACGGAGTGCGGAGTACATACTCTCTACCCCTTCACAAATGTATTGTCTGAGAGGCCACAAGCAACAGTCGGAACAGCAGATATTCCCATTCCGCGGATAGTACTAGCGCCTTGGCATTGAAGCTTGACGTCGCGCCCCAATCATCCCATCTCGCGCGTCGACATACCAGCTCATCCTGACCAATAGCTTCGAAAATGAGAAGGCCCTGATGCTGCACAATGCCAATATGCATCGAATGTTGCTATCCAGTTTCTCATCTATACACTTCCTATAGCAAGGCAGATGATCGCGCCCTTGGAAAAGGGGTGCGCCTGACACAATGTCCACGATGTCAGCGATTCGCTGATAAATATGTCGAGCACGATTTCGTTGTGCTGTTTATTGATCTGGTTCTTATTAAACCGCAGGTATTTTATTGCGCAATCTTACCGGCGGTGTATGAAGCTAAGACAAGCTTCTTGGATAGGTATACAGGCACTTACTGTTCAATCGGCTGGGAAGAGATGATGATAAATTTGATGTACGTCAGCTAACACAGGCACCCCAAATATCTATTAGTGATGTTAACAACTAAGTCCTGTGCAGCGCTCAATTCTTCGGCTAGGAATCCTAATACTCCTATTCGATGTATATCTTTCTTGGGCGCAGATCGAGAAATCTGGCCGCCTGGCAAATACACAAGTCGCTAGAGCCCCGATAGTCATACAATATTTTTACTTTCTCACAGTAAACACTTTGGCGACGCTTGCGCAGCATTTGGTGGTTCGAACGCTAGCCTGTGTTCTTGTTCTGAGGACGTCTTCGCCGACTAAAGAAAGCCAACCACAGGGGAACGGGGATGCTACAGCTTGTGCTGGAGGTGGGATGGAATCCCCAGCTCCAATTACATCGCCGGGAACAACTATGGCTGGGTCCCAAATGTCAGCTGCCAGCCCGTCTTCCCAGAACCAATCTCGAGATCACTCTCGCACACCGTCGAATTCGATGCCACCACCCCCTTCGGCGCTCCGCCGATCTTCAACAACTGCATCATTAGTGCATCCCGCCGCACCCCCTCCTCCTGCGACTCCTAACGCTATCAGTACGGCACTTCTTGTCAGTAGCTGCACAAAACTATTTCCCATATTGCTGGTGATTTGGAATCCAGACTCCTCTGGGGACTCAGTATCAACAAATAACCATTCATCTTCCTTGGTCCCTAGCACTGCAGTATTTTCCAACCGAATCGGTGCGAATGTAGCTGCAGTGGCTTCCTCATCGAAGATAGCCTCGAGTAGTCCAACTCTCCCTCCCTCGAACCCTTCGATATCGCTACTATCTCCAGCGTCCTGGGGATCTTCACCTATCCTTCAACCGGTTATTTCGCTTCTTCTCTCTGTGACCAATACACATCTGGTACTGTTGAATAATATGGAGGCTCTTTATATTCTGCTTAATTGCGGCTATTTATACGCTGCAGTAATCACACTGGGTGGTCAAATCGCTAGGTCGGGAGTTGAATGGCTGGTTTTACATTTAGCAGGAATTTGATGTGAAACGCGCCACCCGTGTGACACACCAGGTACAGGTGGTGATGCTGATATAAAAACCGGTCTGGGTATTCAGGCATTTCCGCCTGGAGAATTAGGATAGCAAGACGCCTGTCTAATCATACATACAGTGCCCACATTTATAAATCAACATAGAAAATCGGAATGTTTAAAAAGAGATCATGAACACAGCTTTAACATTATTTTGACGCTAATGCTCAGGCCGTATATCAGATCTTTGTGGGGCGATCAATGGGTGCAGTTGTGCAAGGAATGTAATCGCTGTCTATAAGTTAGAATTCCTGCACTTAAACATAAATTTAAACTAGGAAAACATACCCCACATAAGGTAGCATGCCGTAAATGCAAGTAACAATGAGCTGCGCCATACCCTAAAATGTATCATGTGTCAGCTTTTCTGCTTTCGGCAATACCTCTAGGTATAGTAGGGCAGTTATGAATCGTTGGGCCAAGTGTTATCTTCCATAAACCACCGTTTAATCATCTTATTTTATATTTTTCCGCAATTCGCAGCTCCTGCTGCTCCGCAAAAGCCTCCTAAGGAACCACCCGGCCCAGACCGAGAATCACCGACGGGGAACTCCGCAAAAATGAATACTGACGTTCTATTTTCTCCTTTCGGACTAAATACCCAGGCAACCAAATTCGCAAGGACAACGAAGACAAGGCCGACTATTATACTCCACCTGTAAGATAGTTTCATATGACGAGTTAGCCAACTGTCACCCGCGCGGCCGTAGGAAAAGAATGGAACGGCAAGTGCTCACCCGCTGGCCATTGTGGCCACTGGTATAAGAAACGGTATGGAGTTATTCAATAAATTCGGCGTGGACTTTCAAGTACGGATGACGTACGCGAAGGCAGTCTGAGGGAGTAGGATGGATAGTTGGCCGCCTTGGGGAATCAACTGGAGATGCACACATAAAATAGGAATAGCTTTGGATATTATCTGGCCCTTCGGGTACGCAAGCACGTATAATCTCAAAGATAAGGGCAATGAGGAGAAGCTCTCTGTCGACAGCGACCATGTTGATCTGAATGATTACATAATCAACTGTAAATCACGCTTTAGCCAACTAGTTAAAGCATAATTTCAAACAGCGCATGATACTACCGCGGAGAAGATTTGCAAAGAAATTGTACTTTCCACTTTGGCCTATGAGGGACTCTGGTTTATGATTAAGTGGCAGTTTTTTTCCCCCAATTCTGAAACGAACAAAGATATGAGCGCTGCTAGGAATTTGCCCGAAGCATGCGTCGATTTATGTTCTAGGTTCATACTTCGCCAGAGATAAATCAACTCAAGAAGCCCCAGATTCTATTTGATTTTCTTTCTCATTCAATGCCTTTAAGAATAATGGACAAAGAGGGCATGCCGTTTTCTCCTCCGGCGTTTTTGCCCAGACCTACACATCCCCGGTCACAGACTCAAAGTACACCACCATGACACCCTGGTGCAGATCCTTCGCAGCGGACTTCAGATTGACGTGCGCCTGGCACTCATTGTCATAGTAGTTCATATCCTCAACGGTGTCGTACTGTGAAACCACGGCGAGCGTGTATCCTTGCCGGCGTTGGTCTTCGAAGGTATGGCCGGCTCGGACGGAGCGGATGTAGGGTTTGCCGTCCTATCGAGTTGGATAACAATTAGACTTGAAGTGCATTGAGGATCAGGGGGAGGACTGTCGGGCTCTGTTAAGCGTGGGGTGGAAACATTGTTCCGTATTTACCTTCAGAGCGTCCTGGGGCATTGTCTTGTAAAAGGACAATACTTTCTGACGGTTCTCCTCTTCGGGGATTTTGAAGAGCGTGACACGGGTGATTGGCATTTTGTCTGTAGTCCTTAGTTGTTGGTTGATTGAGGATTTCGGAGTTCAGGCTTCAAGATTGAAGAGACGTCCTCGATTAAATAGATATCAATTCCGCTTTCTCAAGGTTCCCCGCATAGCCGACTTTCAGTAGAGCGGGGTAAAAATAGGCTCCGGAGATGGCTTCCAATGAAAAATTCCGGGATTGAAGATCTTGTCTTCGACATCAGCTTATCGGCGCATGTCGGTATAGTCCGAAGATATATGCTACAGCTGGCTCATACTCCGTAGTCAGGTTTGAACTCCGGGCCCTTCTTGGGGGGCCAATCCCTCCCCACTGACATTACAATTCTAAGGCATTTGACCATTTTTCAGGATGGCTGGTCTCTCATATGTATACTGAGCATTAGTTCGCTCATGCCGCACCTGCCTTACCGGCGTCTAAAGACTGAAGGCATAGACTAGATGCTGTTATCTCTGCATTCTTAAGGTATTTATTGGGTGTGATTTGTATACGATAAGATCAGAAGAGAGACATAAAAGGAGGAATAACAGGCAAAGAAAAATTATCAGAATAGGTGTATATATCCACCTTTACCCATAAATATACACTCCGCAATCAACTTTGGGGCGAACAAGAAGTAAGGACAGGAAAGAAAAAAAAATACAATATGTAGGAGTGACTAGCGAGTCAAGTCGCTAGACACCTATGTAACCAAACCGCACACTATAGACATAATAGGAAGGGGCCGCAACCTGTATCAACTATCGGGCAATTCCAGTAAATCTAAAATAGAAGACTAAGGATTTAAGCTCCCTCTCGGCTCTTGCGGTAGTTGGCCTGCTTGGACAGTGAGTTAGCGATAATACGCATGCATAGTCGTCTTAGAACCGACACCTACCTCCTGTTCCACCTGCAGGCCGTCGATGACAGGAGCCAGCTCGCTCAAAATCTCGTACGCTTTCTTGTGGTACTCGAGCTGCGCAGCAACTAAGTCTGCCAAATTGCGTAACGGCTCAGGGGTGTCAAGCACCTATCCGTAAACCGTTAGTTTCCAATATTCAACCTAGCTGGGAAAGGAGCATATTGGCTCACGTTTTTCATCACACCAACGGCCTCTTCGGTCTGGCCAACAAACTCATCCTCAGCTTGCTCGATTTCCTGACGAGCGTCTTCGCCCAAGCGGTCAACATCTCCCTTTACCACGCCTTTATTTGCCTTAGTAGAGTCCAACATCAGGCGAGCATTCTCCACGTTCCTGCGAGCTTTCGTCGCGAACATCAAGTTGGTATTCAGGGTAGTATTCCACCCGGCTAGGAAGCGGCTTTGGATCTGAGCATCTTGAGTGAGTCTGGCCTCTCCAATCTTTTCCGAAGCAAGCGCAAGCTTCTCCAAGCCCACGGCCAACGGGTCCTCCGGCTCGTCTGGATGACTCTGTGTGAGCATGTGCGAGCCCGACAGCGCGGAGCGGGCAATGGCATGACTGAATGTCTTGGGTTGGGGTTTCGCGGATGGGGGTGCTGTAAGGGCGGCTTGGGCCTCGCCGGGAGTGGTCGCGTGGGAGAGAAGCTGAACTTTCTCGCTAATTGTCCGGCCAAGGTCGTTAAAGGACTCCCGGATATTTGGAGGATAATCGTACGCCTCGTTCGAGTATTGAGACCTTATTGATACTAGATTAGCTGATGGTCTAAAATCGCATAGAATAGTGGTAGGACACTTACGTCACCTGAAGGAGTTTCTGGTGAACAGCTTTTAATGCATCGACCCGCTTCTCAAGCTCAAGATAGTCGTCTGGAAGTTGGGTCTATATCACATAAAAAAGGCATAAATTAGCCGAATCTATCTGCCTTGGATGGACGGCTCCTGGAATAGGAAACGAGCAGCCGCATGTGATAGGTGTTAAGACAGATACCTTATCCTCAGCTTGTCCTAGCTGCTCCTTCACAAACTGCTGCGTTCGAGCGGCAAACGGCGAGAAAGTCGCACTGTTACAAGCAACGGTCCGATATAAATTAGCGAAAAAGGGCGATCCCCAGAATTGGTACCAACGTTTCGAAGCTTGGGTGAAGGGGCTGCATACGTGAAGTTCTTCCCAAACGCTTGAACTTTGTCCATGGTGAAGATATCGTCCGGCAGGGGAATCTGAAATCTAGTCCGTTAATGAAAGGAATGTAGATACTGAGACAGGCCTGAATCTAGCATGAGAAAGCGAATTTCGAGGTTAAGGAGCTGGTGATCCCAATTAGGGTTCAAGCCGCAGGTTCCAAATACGTCGGTGCTGGAGAAACTAACTAACCATTTTCGGCCTAGAAGGCCAGCCCAGCGTGGTTACGTCATCTTCCATTGGTACTCTGAATGACAGGACGAGATCGAATCCCTATCTGAGGTGCGTCAATCACATTAAATTCTACATATTAGATACATACATGGCTCAGTAAATATGCCGTAGCTCAAAATACAGATATCCTCCCATTATTTGATTCGTTACGTTGCGTGGCATAGCAAAACATGCAGACATGGACACGGACAAGGGAACTTGCAAGACAGAAAAGATAAGAGGAAAGAAAAATAAATGAGAAACCGGAATGAAAAATATTCAATCTTTGGTTATTTCAAAATCAATTATGAGACACCAAAAAAGAAAGGAAGCAAAAAGGAAATAAAATGGAAGGCTCTGATGACTGAAAACTGACAGCATAATAGCCTTGCGGCGCTCGCATGTTGTATGTAAATATATGCCCGAACAATATGCTCAATTTACCAGGATATTCCAAATCACGTAAGAGTTGCCATCATTGCGCGGATTAGGCGCTGGGTGGGAGCTAAGAAAGCAGAAGAGTCAGAAATGATTTCTTGGAATAAGAAAATCTGAGATGCTAGTGTTTACCTTTATGGTCACGCCTAATTTCAAGCACCTCACCAGGTCGTAGGTCATCGGGAGTAATCAGCCTGTGCTCTTCCATCGGCCGCATTTCGGTGCGAAGTTCTCGCCGGTGCCGCTCGGGGAGCATCAGCTGCACATCGGCATTGGGCTGGATGATTTCTTCGACGTGGTGGTGGTGAACATAGCGGATTGGAGAAGAAAGGCGGCGGGGGCGGGGCTTGATAACCTGTACTGGCGCGGGGACGGGGGCTGGAGCCATGACAGTGACGGGGGACGAGACATGTCGGTGCTCTCGAGGCTCAACCAGTTCGAATATCGGCCGGACTGCACTCTTGCTTCTGTGCTGGGACTTTGACCGAGTCCGTTCAACGGAGACAGATTCGCGACGAGTTTTGGTTACGATTCTCTCCTTTTCTTTGATTTCCTCAACTGTCAAAGTAAATCAGTCTCACACGGCTCAGGCAACAGGGCTGGGGGATTGTTGAAGTCTTACCACGAGGCCTTTGGCGAATATCCCTGCTAAGGTTAACAAGTTCATGGATATTATCTTTGGAGAGCGCTTGCAATATGATGATGTTGTTCTCGGTCTAACAGGACAGAACCGTCAGTCATCCATCGGGCACTTTGGGGGAGAGCTCATCTACGTACATCTTCCTCATATGCGTAGCCAAGGTCGTTTAGAGCACGAGGGTGCACCAGGCGTTTCGAGACCTTGGTCTTGCCACGGCGAGGGTAGGGCCGCTCAACTCTCTCTTTGACGATCTCTTCGCGCAGGGAGTATGATCTGCCGCGAGGGGTAGCACTTCTATCCCTTCCTCGCATCCTGCGATACTCCTCGTCGCCATAGTAGTCCGGCTCCGCGACGCGGACGGAGTCGATATCGGGCTCGGGCGGGGGAGAATGTCTGCGGGCCGTGACGGGAGCCAGGGGAGGCCCGTAGTCATCCCGGTCGTACTGGTAGTAGTCGCTTGCATAGCGCGCTGCAGCGCGGTCAAAGGTGTCGAGCGATGATTGGCGTCGCAGCAGCTTGGGCTTGCGTGGCGGAGAGCGAGAGGAACGGCGGTGCTCCTTGAAGGGCACGATGGCCGCGGCGTTGGAGACCAGGTGCGCGTCTTCGTACACTCGCTCGGGGCGTCTGGCGGGGGGGCCGTATTTCTCCTGCGCGTTCAGGTAGTCGTCGACCAGCGACGGGGCGCGTTTCTCGACCCGGTCGATGACCTCGACGGCGCTGCGTCGCTCACGGCGGCCGGGCTCATGCCGTACATCGCGCTCGCGCATGAAGCGCTCGGTATCCCAGCGGCTACCGCCCGCCCCACCAGCCGGGGCGTCGACGGTTGGGTCGCCGTATCGATACATGGGGGCACAGGCAGTTGGGTCGTATGTGTGTAGCAGCGGCAGCTCCCAGGTGTGATCCGTGGAATGCGCAGCGGGACGTTGGGAGGTCAACCAGAAAGCCGGCGGTGGCGGGTCTGGCGCGGTGGTGGGGGCTCGCGGCGCTTGGAGGCTCAACGGCGCTCTGGGGTTGACGCGAGAACAACGAGCTAGTCGGCGCAGTGAGGGCGATCAGTGCTGGGGGCGAGCAGAGAGGCCGTGATGGGGTTCAGTCGCAGAAGAGAGAAAAACACGAGACAGAATGCAGGCCGGCGGCTGCGGCAGGATTGGCGGTGCGAGGGTGCCAGAGTCAGGCCGTTCCCGTGAGCAGAAGACGGTCAGGATTGATAATCCGCTGACACCAGGCAGGCAGCAGTTAAATATCCTTTGTCTCGAGCTCTCAGTACTCCCGTCTACGGCTTTCTCCGCTCGATTGTTTCGTCCCTAACTATATATACACAGAAAACACCTTCTCCTCCCTCTGTTTCACGCCCGCCCCGCCGCCCGGCCACGGAACTGCTCGCGGACTGACACAGAGAGCGTCTCGCGAACTCGCGCCCTCGCCACCCCGGGCTGGCAAATGCCAGTGCGCCAGGTCTGACGGCGCCCGCCGCTGCCCAACCACAGCCTTGCCTCACTTGGCTCGCGACCCCTGGAAGGCTTGTTCTGCAAGCCCGGCTGCACAGCGGGGAACTCCGTGCATTGCCTGGCTTGCCGGGCTCCTTTGCCAATCACTGCGGGCTTGGATGTTGAGGGGCCGGCGCCCGGCAGTTGGCTTCTGCCCAATAATAATGATGTCGTTTAGCGATGATGTCTGAACTGTTGGTGCCCAAGCCAAGAACTGCTGTGCCAGAACGGCTGCGGAGGATTCGGCCTTCGTCGTCGTCAAGGGGCTCAAATCCTGGGCCGTGCTCGTGTGGCGGCATGAAAATCCAGGCTGCTTATGAGCTCAAAGATACTGTTGTAGTGCAATAAGTTGGAGTACAGTTCATATGTCTGGGAAAGAGGTGTTGGCAACTATACAGCAACACTGCTTTACCAATCAAAGCTGGAACGTTTGGACTTTGCTATGTATTCTGCAAAGTATCTCCTATGTTCTTCTATCTTTTGATCCTGAGGGTTGAGCGTTGGCAGTTAACGGAACATGACGGTTTCACACAGGTACTCCGTAATCTACTCTATAATGTCTGATTCATGGCTTTTAAAGCAGATTGACCTTCCAGCGGCTCAGCCTAAACTACTTTATGTGACTATTAAGAATTTAATGACCATAATGACACGATGTCCAGACCCTCATTTCCATGTATTCTTGGGGTTAAGCTGAGTAGAGAGATCACTGTATGGGAAACAAGGGCATGAAACCTGAGAGAAAGCGCAGATAAATGAACTATTTCATAGTCAATTCATTTATCTCAAGCTTGAATTTGCTCTCATAGCTTTTTTCTTCATGTACAAAGCTTAATACCATGACATTCTTTACGGAGTACGGAGTAGAAAGTCTAATATGCCATCGAAACCAATCAAATTGTATGAAACTCTGATGATGGGAAAAGTTATATCAAGTCATAATGTACTCCGTAGGGCAAGGCCCTATATAGAAGGGCAAAACTATATTCCGTCCGGAATGTCAGATTACCTAATATGACTGTGCCCTTTCGGAATAATATTTAGCCTATTCCGAGCGTACGTTTTTTTTTACCAATGTACTCCGTACCTTTTGAGAATCGCGTAAGGCATTCTATAAACTTGCTAGACTTTTAATTGTCAGATTGATTTTTAATATGGGCCTTCTTCTCTGATCTCTAGTGCTTCTAACCATTCTTCTCACTGTTCAGCTGGAATATTACTAGCTTGGATGAATCTGTAAATAATGTTTACTGTACCAGGCTGGTCAGTGTCTGCAGCCGAACTGAAAGTACAGCAGCAGCCCACTGCTGTTCAGCAGTCTGCCCCTAAAGAAGACCTACAATCTAGTGTATCTAAGTCGACTAAACGAAAACGCAAGGATGGCACCGGAGACAAAGTCACAAATTCCAATGTCGATGAGATGTGGAGGAAGCATATTGAAGGGCTTCCCAAACGAAATAATTCGAAACAAGTGAAAAAGCAAAAGAAAAAGGAAAAGATTCAAAAAAATGGTACTTCGGACACTGGGTCGGCCCCCAACAATGGGTCGGAACCTCCTCAAAAGAAGGTGAAAACGGACGGCTCGTTGCAACATATTAAGAATGATGAAGTTCAAACCCTGGGCTCTAAACCGGCCATACCATCTGTACCTTCGGACTCCCACCTAACGACTCTTCAAAAAACGATGCGGGACAAGTTGATCTCGGCACGATTTAGACATCTCAACGAGACCCTATATACAACCCCATCCACACAAGCACTGAAGCTTTTTACAGAAAGCCCTGAGCTTTTCACCGAATACCATACCGGCTTCTCACGACAAGTGAAGGAATCATGGCCCTCAAATCCAGTAGACCATTACATTCTTTCTGCCAAAAAGAGAGGTGCTATACGGGTGCAAAAAGGGAAAAAATATCCCGAAACACCAGGAGAACTGGTTCCACTGCCTCGACGCCCGAGCGGATTATGTACCGTTGCCGATCTGGGATGTGGTGACGCCCAGTTTTCTCGTGCTCTTTCTCCGCTGTCTAAGAAATTGAAGCTCAAAATACTCAGTTATGACCTCCATGAGGGCGATCCTTTGATTACAAAGGCTGATATTTCATCCTTGCCACTTGAGGATGGTACCGTTGATATAGCGATATTTTGTCTTAGCCTGATGGGAACTAATTGGGTCTCCTTTGCTGAGGAAGCCTGGAGAGTTTTGAGGGGAGATGGTAAGGGTGAATGCTGGGTTAGCGAAGTCAAAAGTCGCTTTGGAAAAGTGACGAGAAAAAACAAGCAAAGCACAAAGCCTGCCCCTAAGAATAAGGGTAAGCAGAAGAAACGTAAGGGCCAAGACAATGAGGAGGCGGACAATACCAATAGCAATGATATATTTGCGGAAGATGCAGGAAGCAATCAGAATTCCCAGGATGAAACAGATATCTCTACTTTTGTGGAGGTATTCCGGACACGAGGTTTCATTTTAAAGCCCCAATCTGTGGACAAGTCAAACAAAATGTTTGTGAAAATGGAGTTTGTGAAGCATGGAATGCCAACGAAAGGCAAATGGGCCAGTGCTGGTGGCCCAAGTAAAGGGCCAAACAAGAGGTTCTTGGAACCAGAAGCCAGTGGGTTGAGTCCAGAGGAAGAAGCGAAGGCTCTGAAACCTTGTGTTTATAAGCTTAGATAAAGGTCTCCACGAGTCTGCCAGTACAGAGGACAACCTCTCAGATCACTATGATTCACTTGTAACCACTAGCTATTTTGGTAAAATGGCTTGGAAGGCGTTTCTCCTATCTATATGTATCTATGAGACCATTCGAAGCCTTGAATGGGGGCTGAAAATCTGGATTAATTTTCTCCCAGTGTAGATACTACTCTACCCATATCTTCCTCATTGTAGATACGAAAACCCTTCTCCTTCGTTACACTTGCTAGCTGCACATTCTTAGCATCCAGTTTTTCCTCCATAACTTGTTTCAGGGTCTTCAAGACTAAAGTTTCGGCTTCCGGTAGTGTCAGGGATCTGTGGTATTCGTTTTGCAACTCAGCTTGAGCACCTTCGCTTCCAGAGCCTATGGCTTTGGCGTCGTAGCGGTAGAATGTGCCGGATGGTTCAGCGTGGTATCTAATAGGAATATTAGCGCCTTTTTAACTAGACAATGCCTGGTTAACAGCAACTTAGTCTTACAATTGCGGCCCATCTTCGTCGTAGCCTGCGATGAGAAGTGCCACACCAAAGGGCCTGCTCATAACACTTTCTTCCCCATCCGCACCCTCCCCGAATCTTAGGGCGAGATCACAAATCGCCTGTGTACAACTTTCCACCCGAAGTGGTTCTCTGTAATGAAATTCATGATTCTGACTTTCCACCCGCGCGTGTTCGATCATCGATCGGGCATCGGCTTGTAGTCCTGACATCGCGCATCCGATATGCCGGTCTATCTCGACAATCTTTTCGACAGAGGAGGTTTCTAGGAGGGTGGAAGTAACTCGTTTCTCAACACCTAATACTACACCATCTGATGTTGCTACCTTTATAATGGTAAGAGAGTGTCCACGGAGCAGGATAACTGGTGAGGGCTTACTCCAATTGCGGTTGAGCCCAACTTAATGGCTTCCAGTGAGTATTCTACCTGGAAAAGACGGCCTTCCGGAGAAAATGTGCTAGAATTATTTTCTGTAAGTTTTGGTGAAAGACGTATCTCGCAACCAGTGTGGACTCACTTGATGCCACGGTCTGTAGAGGGCGGTTAGTAGCTGGATATTTCGAAGAATGCTCGAGATTTCTTACCATATTCGGATCGTGCAATAAACATGATGGCAAGGAGCAAAGCAATATATTAAAAGATATGAATTTTAGCCTACAGCTGATGTAAAAAATTGGGGATATATGGCGTTTTGCTGAGAGCTTGGAGCTCCAGGTCCACCTCTGTGCTGGCTACGCAAACCAGGTGCCTGAACCGCACTAAACCCAATTAGGTGCGCCGTCATCAAGCTCCAAAACCACGCGCTCGTACATATCTCCGAGCTGCACGCGCAATCCGATTCAAGGGTCTTTTTTGTCTGATGATGACTTCACCTTCCAATGTGAGAACCCCCCCTATTAATGCTCGTGGAATAAATCAAACCGGAAGCAAACCTCGAGTTGTCTCCTCTAGCCGTGTGAATGCTTCGCGTCATGACCGCGCCGGTTCCAGAGAAAATGTGCCAATGGGACCAGGAACGACTTCGGGAACAAAATCATCCACGCGGGAGAGAGATTACAATATGTCAAGTGAGCTGCGCACTGAGAGAACGCAAACTACAACCCGAGAGAAGACGCATGTCAGAACAAAGAGGCCGGTTAGAGAAACGGTGAGTGCTGCGAACAGAGGAGATTGGGATAGGCCGAGGCATAAAACAAATGCAGGCCATCCAATGGCTAAGGCAAAAGAGAAAGATACATCTGAGGGTTAGGACAATACTCTCTCTTTCTCATTTCGCAGCTCGCTGATTTCACGGCTTACCACAGCTCCATGGATTCCTAAAGTATCCCTTATACCCCATTCTGCAGCACCCCTCTCCTGCCGAGTGTCTGTCCCACCAATAGCATCCTCAGCTCCTCAGAGACTGCGACCAAGACCCCTGAAAGGATTAAATATGGACGATCAAGAGGCTGCTATTCTACAAGACCTCCTTTTCGTTTTCATGGGTTACGAAGGAGAATACATTCAGTTTGCAAACTCGTATAATCCGGATTTAGAATCAGATCGACTAGTTGGTCCGTCATACCAAGTAATACCTGGACTAGACCCAAGTCTTAGGGATCTAACGAAGGGAATGCTGAAAATGGCGACTCATTACAGTGCGCTGGAGGCATTCGTGGAAGTTCAGAGTAGAGCTGAATTTGGTGCTGTGAATCATGCATTATGTGCGACGATCCGCAAGTTATTGAAAGACTATCTTATCCTTGTCTCCCAATTGGAAAGTCAGCTCCTCAATAATGATAATTTTACTTTGCACGTTCTACACCTTCATACTATGCCCACAGCTCAAAGCCTAGCTCAGCTATATTCCTTTGGGCAAGAATTGCTGAGGAAAAATTCTCTTTTGGCACAGGATCCGGATGAGTCCATTGACGATTTTGACGACGTCGAGAACATCTTGGAACAGTTGAGAGAAGGCGGCGATTTAGTTCCCGGAGGGATGTCTAAGAAGTACTGCAAAGGTGGCAATGTCTTGGGACTTCTTACGCAGCGTCTAGCAACATTTTCTGGAGATCCAGCTACTAAGGTATTGCTGCAAACTCTGTTACGAGAATCTAGTAAGCCATACATGAAAATGCTTAATGAATGGCTACATCACGGGGAGATTAAGGACCCCCACTCGGAATTTCTCGTCAAGGAACAGAAAGGCATAAAGCGAGACAAGCTGGAAGAAGACTACACGGATGAGTATTGGGATAAGAGATATACCATTCGTGAAACAGAAGTTCCTCCACAATTAGAGACAGTCAAAGACAAGGTGCTGTTGGCAGGAAAATACCTCAACGTTGTCAGAGAATGCGGCGGCATTGATATCAGCAAGGAAATGGAAGATGTGCCTCAGAGTTTTGATGATCCACGATTTCTCGATAATGTAAACGAAGCATATACTCACGCGAATGCATCGTTGTTAAACCTCCTCCTTACCAAAAACTCGCTCACCACGCGATTTCGATCGCTTAAACATTATTTCTTTCTCGATAGATCCGATTTCTTCTCCTATTTTTTGGAACTGGGCGCTTCTGAACTGCGGAAACCAGCCAAGTCAGTCAACGAGGGAAAACTACAGTCTCTTCTTGATATTGTATTACGACAACCCGGCAGTATTGCAGCACAGGACCCATTCAAAGAGGATATCAAGGTTCGTATGAACCAAATTGGCCTAACCAAGTGGCTCATGCGTGTCGTGAGTGTATCTGGTTTGGACCAAGACAATCCCGAAGCAAATCCTGAAAAGTACCAGTCATCAACTATGCAGGGAACTGATGATGATAAAGATATCATTGGATTCGATGCACTTGAGCTGGACTATCTTGTTCCGTTTCCTCTCTCACTCGTTATTAGTCGGAAGACTGTGCTTCGATATCAACTTGTTTTTCGACATCTACTCTCTCTTCGCCATCTTGAAGGCTTGCTTGTAAACTGCTGGCAAGATCATATTAAAGCCACCAGCTGGATGCATAAATCCAGCGATAAAAAAGTAGAGCTCTGGAAGAGAAGGGCCTGGACATTACGAGCAAGAATGCTGGTTTTTGTGCAACAACTATTATATTTTTGCACGATTGAGGTCATCGAACCTAACTGGCAAATTCTCATGGATCGGGTTAATGGGGATGATGCTGAGAGCACCGAAGTTATGATCAATGGAACTAAGCAAGTCAACCGAACTGTGGATGAACTGATGCAAGACCATGTCGATTTCTTAGATACTTGTTTGAAGGAGTGCATGCTAACACAAGGAAAACTGCTAAAGGTAGATACAAACAATGCGTCAAACAATCTATTGCTAATACTTTTGCCAGGTCCATTCAAAGTTGATGACGTGCTGTACCATGTTTGCATCTTGGACTGCTTCTTCGCTTCAAAGAAGCCTTGCTGCCGCAGATCCGGACCTTTCAGCTTCTAATACAAAACAGCCTCCAGGGCTTGATTCTTCAAGGTCGTATGACCCTTCTCGTTTAGCAAAACTAGAAGATACATTGAAGCGCTATGAAGATCACTTTGGCAGGCACCTCAGAATCTTAATGGACAGGTAAGGCTGATGTTTGCATAAATCATAGTATTGTATATTGACTTGGAGGTTAGCTTGAACTATTTTGCCGCTACAGAGAGTGTTGTCCTGTTGAAGCTTGCGCATTCATTGGGAACTATTATGATGGAAGAGTAAGAAATGCCTCACTATCTTATAGGCAGCTTATCAGAGCCCAGAAGACTTGAGGGCGCTTTTGGGATACATATCATGCCAGTTAGGCAAAATGGTGGCACTGAGCCAGTACAATCACTCACTTCAAATACAGGTGGAATTAGCAACATCAAGCTCACAGGAAAACCCTTGAGGGCGACCCGGCTATACGTCACAGGGTTGTTGGTAACAATTTTTGGGAATACATGTATTCTTTTATGCTTAATGGTTTATGATAGATCTAATGATATGAATCTGGAATATCCATAATGCTTGAAATTCGCTATAACATAGAATATCAGCAGATGTGCCGAAGAGAATACAATCCAGGAAAAAAGCTCATTCGTGATTCGAGTCTTCTTTCGCTTTCCGCTTTTTCTTCAACTTCTTCTCTCCACTTGGTATTTTCTCTGTCGTTTCATCTTCCTGGCGTTTTCGTTTCTTTTTCTTCTTTTCACTAGCATCTTCTTTCGGCGGAACAAAATCCTTTTCCATCTCCTTTACCTTCTCCGCCCTCTTCTCTCGCTGCCGTTCCATGACTTCTTCTTTCTTTGCTCTCTCTTTCGCTGCCTTGTTTAAGAAATATTCACCACTCTCAATCTGTAAATCGATCTTGCTCTTCTGCTGTGGCGGTGGGAACGGAGTGTACACCTTCTTAGATTTATCAGTGATCTTTAACGGTCGCTTCCTCTTGCTTAATGTTCGTTTCTTAAACTGTGGAAGGAATCTATCCCAACTTTCATTTACTAATTGGGGATCCTTCGCAAGTTCGCGTTTTATCATTAATTCTTTGATATGGTAGATTGGGTGGATATTATTCATGCAGTCCTCGACTATACGACGAATTTCCTTCAGACCTTTATAGGGGCCCATTGCGGCGACCGTGTTGCCTTGGACTAGAAGATAGGTACTTGTGAGCAGCTCTAGCGCCTTCAGAGTAGAACCGGAAGGCCCCAAGATACGTTGGCGCCGCTTCACAAATCGCTCCTTGTTGCGGACGAGGTTTCTGATTTTGATGATATCGCAAGCTACATCGTCTTCTAGTATTTTCAAAGCCTAAAACAAAGGCCAAAGTGGTTAGGAATACGCCGTTCAAATATAACAATGGTCGAGACACACTTGCGGAGCGGGAACACTTCTCGCCAGTAGTTTGATCAAATCTCGCGCCTTGAGAATAGCAGCGGGGTCAAATGTTTTTCGCGTAGTTTTCACGGTCATGCTGCCCTCCACCAAATCTAGCGTACAGGCAATCCCATGTTTCTCCAGAGACCTAGTGACCATAGGCCACGTCTCCTTCAAATATACCTCTCGATATTTTGGAAATAGGCTAACAAAAGATGACTCTTCAGCAAAAGTCCCGGCGACATTATGCTCAGGCTTAAACTCGTCAATCTGCCGCGCGGTGGTTAGCACCAGTTTGAGCTCTAGGATTTGACAACAAACCTTCCATTTATTTATATCCTCAGTGTCCCAGGGCTTTTCTTTGTTGTGTGTCGATGGCATCTTCGCTCACGGATTTCCTAGAGCTTTGCAGCCAATTTCTCTTTGGACAATTGCGAAATGTGAATTTGTGCCGTATCCCACCGCCCTGAGCTGCGGGCCAGCAAGCGGCAAGTCAAGCCGATCAGGTGGCGCTTAGGGCCGGAAAAAATAGCGGTCCGGAGAGGATTAATAATAAACCCTAAACGCTATCCCGGATTTCGAAGCTTCAACCACGACAGGGAATAGACGGCCGGGCGGCAGGAGCCCTGCTTCCAACTGTCAGCATGGATTCTAGTGCCTGACTTCATTCTGTTGATTTGCCTCGCTAATTGGAAATAATGACCTAGAGAGTGCACAGAAGACACACAGCTATACGAGTTGGTGGAGCCGGCGGCTGGGGCGACCTACAATGGCCTAACCGCTTCGACCTAATTATAGTCTATAGACTACCATCGCCGTTTTTACCGGATCCTTCACAAATATATGGAGAACAGGGTCACGATAGATTCCAGGAGGAAGACGGTTTACTATAAGCACCCCGCTACTTCAGGGATATAGCTGCCGCTGGGCAAATCCGGTTGTTTTGCGAAATGACCCTTGTTCAAAAGTGAACCGGAGCTCTGTGGAGTGGCAGACTTGCTCATTGTGCGCTCAGAGCCACACTCCCTGGCTTAGTGTAGCATATGGGCCGTGATCTGCTGATGTGCTGTGAATTACCCGGACGCCGGCCAGGCGGCCACCAACGGATAAAGTACGTACGTCCGGCACTGTGCACACACACACACACACACACACACACACACACACACACACACAGTCACATACGAACTAACTCGGAGAAAGTGAGTGTGGTGATAGGCGGGCGACAACTAGGACATGGACCAACCTAATCCCCAAGAAATTCTGTAATCTCCTTATCCTGAGTAGGCTATATGGGCTTAAGGATGCGTAAAAACGTACTGTGGGGCTGGCAAGATTTCGAGCATGCGCTCCTCAGCGATCCATGGATCACTTGAGCCACTTCATTTAATCAAGGTATAAGCATACGCAATAATGCCTATTGGCCTTAAATGATTCCTTTCGGTTAAAGGGAGCTCTTAAGACTTCCATGGACGCGATGTTATTACTAACAAAGGAGATGCTCTCACCACCTCACCTCTTGAATTCATGGACTGACATGACATGCCATATTTCTGGCAGGGCAATATCAGGACGATGTGCCATGCAATGCTTATTACGAGCTAAGCAGTATCCGTGCTTAAGGTATGTCCTATTTGCCTGCTCAATGTCTGGATCTCACTGGTGTCTGGAAGAAGACTTGTATTCTGCCTTATCTGTTCACTGCTTGGTGGGGACTTTATATCTTACTGCTAAATAATCAAAGCCAGACTTGCATAGATTTAGCATGCCAGCTGCTTTCAAACACCACACAATGACAAGCGATCCGTGCTAGCCGAAGCCGTTCGTATCAGAACTTCCTCTCGCTTTGCTGAAGCAAGCAGATCAAATTATCATCTGAGGCACGAGAGCGACGGTTTTTTTGTGGCTCGAATCTTAAGTTTCAGAGCACTTGGTCACGGAATGGCCAAAGAACTACATAGAGGTCAGTGCGTGGGGTCAACAACATTCTAGCCATGATGATCCAATACGCTGAAAATTGAATTCAGAATATTCTCAATGTTATCAATATTCCCTCAGATCAGACTGCACCTCAATGAACACGATGGGAGTACCAACCTGACAAAGTTAACAGGAAGATTCTTTTGGGAAACTCAGCAGCAACATATTCATGGTTTTCGGCCAATGCAAATATACCTGTTAAGTCAGAATGTACAACTTCTGATCTGTAAGAGGATGCTTACAATGGAACATATGCTCTCAAAGACGAGTCGTCTACCTCTTGCCTTGCTCGAGCGATAAGGGCATCCAATTCTTCACGGGACATGTGCAGCTTTTGGATGAACGGATAAAGCGCTAGAGACTCGAGCCAACGCTTTGTGTTATCCCTATTGATAGCCCCAATCTCTCTCATCCTTGGATCTATCTATATGTTAGTAACTGACAGCTCTGGATTAATCGGGAGCCCACCATTGGACCACCCTGACAAAGGCAACGGAATCATCTTCGATTCGATATCAACTAGGCCGGATGAGGCCATTAAGTTATTCAGCTTCATGCCTATTCGAAGGTCTTTAACATTCTCCAGTGACTTTATGTACTTCCGGCTCCATTCTCTGAGCGCGTGCTGTTCCGTGAGCGCACCACTATCAGATTGAATATTAAAATATATTTCGACCATCTGAGCCCAGCCGCCGCGTTTAAGGGACCTTGATACCTTTCAATTGCCATTCCGGATATGATAAATTTCCAGCATTTGGTATGCTCACCTGACAATATCTCTCATGTATCGTAGCCACCTTTGTTGATTTATCCCAGCAGCAACCAGTCTGGAGTGGACGAGATCGAATTCGTTGGCACGAAAGGTGAAATGTCGGTTGAGGTCGTCAACCTGTTCTTAGAAGTGAGCTAATCATTGTCTCGGTCGATTCTTTGAAATTTCGGTAGCATAAAGAAAGGTTGAAGAAAGTACCTGCAACCAAAGATTATCAGGAGCATCGTCTGGCCTCATATGGGGCGAAATGTCCACTCCAACTACCTGCCACACTTGAAGTCAGCAGCCGATTAATTAGAAGATCAAGTTTCCCAACCCACATCGCAAGACTCGTACTGTTCTGCAACTTCCACAGCCCAAGCCCCGGAGCCATACCCGCATTCAAGGATCTTTTTGGGACAATCGATGGGTGGAAATATGAGCCGGTGATCAAAGACCTTGCTAAAAACTCTATGCTGTAGATCTAAACGGTCGATTTCTTGCTGTGCGATGTTAACGAAGTCAGACACGAGGCCGTAAAACATACATCGTCAATCGGGCCGAAATAGATATCGTTGTCAACTGCATATTTCTGGAATTCACGCCCTTCGAACATCAATGTCTCGAGAAAGGATTGGTCCAGGTCGATTGTCCCCGAATGCGGATCACTATTTGATTGTAGTGTTATCAGTATGCCAGGTTTTCAACAATTATCAGGGAAAGAGGATGGTACGTCATTTTGTTTCCACAAACAGTTCTAAGAGTCTTTTGGATTTCCGAATTGTATTCAAGTTCTTATTCTTATGATTGCAGGCATTCTCTTGGATAATAGGCCGAGGCGGCTACGGTAAGAGTGAGATACCAGGTAGGAGCCATTTGGGAAATATAATCCTTCCTTTATTTTATATTGGGAGCAATGGGTGCCCGAATCCCCCTGGAAAATCTTTCGTACCAGTAATATTCGGGTCCAGCAAAGAGGCCCTAAACGTTCTCTACAACGCCGAGTTTCGGTAGACCCTTGGTCTACTAAAAATTCAAAAAGCCGACCCATCTATATAAACTTGAAGAGAAATGTCGCAAAATATTCTTGTCACCAAGTGTGAGATACCCAATCATCGATGTCTACGCAATGACGGTGGCTGCGTTTCGGTACGCCCGCACACTTTTCTACCTTTGGAATCTAAAGTGACTATCTTTTTCACTTGGACCATTTAGGGCACGGTGGCGCGATGGATATGCAAAGGAAGCTAGAGCGCATGGGAACAGTGATACCATATCATACATAGACAGCAGAACAGGTGTATAATTACCAGTTTGGGGCCAGGTGATCAGCCCGGCACTTATCTTTTTGGCCTGCGGTATTGGTTGGAAATTCTGCAGTGGCTCATCATGTTCTCCAGAATCTTCTCTCTGCGATCTGGCATGACAGACACGTTGTCATTCGTTTGCCTTCAAGACGAATCTAAAATTAAGATTTTACAATGGTGCTGCCATCCCTGGACAAAGGAAAACTTTCAAGGTTCCAGGTGGGAACTTAGCCTCTTGTATCCGCACTGCCATCATTCAGTCCAAGCAGGTTAACCAAAGGATTGGGAAGAAGACGTCATAGAGCTGGGCAAACAAATGACGCTTGGGTCGGCGCGGCTGCTCCCAGCGGATCGCTGCCGTTCGGCCAGCAGCCCAGCTACTTGTGTTGACTAGTGACAGGGAGGCTGCTGAGATTTAATTAGGGGTTTTGGGAACCTGGAATGCAAGCACCTGAGCCAGGCTAGATTGACGGGCAGTGCCGGGCTGAAGCGTCTCAACCTAGATTAATCAGGCCCGGCACGAGCGAGTGTATGTATGTGCACACATACGGAGAACAGCGGTTTAAATGGAACGAGAGAGTTTTCCTCGCCGTATTTCGCACAAAATGACGAATGACGGCGCAAAGGAGTCCAGGCTGTGGAGGCGAGTCACTTACCGTCGGGGTTTCCAGGAGCGCAAGAGTGTGGAGACAATATTCCAAAGTCGGTTTCAGTTGGATTTGCTCCTTGTTCCCTGACAATTGCTGAAGAATGTGGGGGATTTGACGCCCAAACTGCCAACTTTAATAAGATACTTAGTCCCTCTTCGACTGATTTCTCTGCCGGCATGTGCGCGTATTGTTTTTGGGTTTGTTTTCTCACCGAAGTCTAGGCTCACGCGATGCTGAAAGGAACGGGGCTCGAACACGCTATATCTGCTTACGGCCGGCCGTTTCCTCGGGCTTAAATTTAAAAATGTTTCTGGGTTTGCCGGCCAAGGAGCGGGATCTAGGAATCCATTATCCAGCACCATGGGTCCAGCGCAAGGCCGCGACGCAGGCCTTTGTATAACATCAATTTTGCTGGATACGGCGCTTCGCAAGGTATTCGCACTACCTAGCCGTTGAAGAGACCTCTGCCCATAAACTCCCACGGACATTCCATCTTGCACTCAACACGGACCACTGACGTGTTTCAAAATCGGATGACGGCCGGCTCACCGGGAATCCATGCCCACAATTGGCTAGCACACCGAGAACAGGCCAGAAATACTTGGAATGTGTGTATGTATTATGTTTCGGTAAGTTTGCAACTGATGTGATAGTTACGCATATACCGAATGCTACTTGATCAGCGTCTGTATGCCTTTTCTCTGTGCCAGACGGGCTCTTGGGTTCAACGCTTCGGGCGTGTAACTACGGAGTACAAGTGATTTCACAGATGATCATCATGATGTTACGTGGTCTCAATTCGCAAGGGTTGCATGATGCTTGACTCAACACGCATAAGTCTCAACGAACTGCCTGGGAGACGGCTAACCCGTATAATTTTGCACGCCTCTTCTGGCAGCCAGCGTCGAATCGGACGTCCAACCGGTGTTGCGGCATGGCGGGCAGGCCGCAGGCTAGTTACTTGGATATATGCACATCAGACTTTGCCATGACATGCATGCATGCATTGGTAAGCGACACGTTTTGTTATTCTTCAGAACGCCCCCTCTGTTGCCAAGAGGTTGCTTGCTCTAGGGGATACGGGGCAAAAAAAAGAGTCGAAAAGAGATGCGACATGATTCCTGCCCTTCCTCTCCGCAGCATGGAGTATTTATGTAGTTGCTCCGTACTCTCGACATACTACTACTACTCTTTAATAATGTTGGTGCCCTTGAAAGTTTTTCGTGCGCCGATCTGCATGTGACGCTATTCAGGAGTGATATCACCACGTTTTGTTGATGGGCAGCTTGTGGGCGTTTCTCAAAAATGCGGTCAATCTTGTAACTAAAACGGAGCACGAGAGAATATCACTTTTTTTTTTTTAAAGCCAGCACCATCGTGGGAGCTAAATTCAGGCTACCTACGGGACTCTCGTACCTTCAATGTCTACAGACTTCTTGTTGTTAGTAGTTATGAAAACCTAAGTACGAGATTGGGCCTAGTGTCATAAGAGAGTCTACCCGGCTGACAATAAGGGCATGATAACTGAAGAGACGCTCAAGACCCTAAAAAGCACGTATAAAAGTTGTTGGTTTCTATCTCAATCACAATTCTCCAAACTCAGTAAGTAGACCTCTTAGACTCTATAACCATTGATTTGAATAGTAATGGTGAATGTCCACGCATAAAGACTGGCATTCAATTTCATAGAGATAAATGTTTGCAGGGTAGCTGTATGCCTTCCTAAATGCGGAAAATCCGGGCGGTTAATTGCCCTTTTGACTGGGTTTTGAGACTTTCTGGGGCCATGGAACTAGTAGCTGTAATGCGAACCGCTAGGTAACTTCAAAATATGGTAATGAGTGGCATGTTCTTGTGAAAAGAGCACCTGCTCTTTCTTGAATGGAATACACAATCCTGCAGTCGGTAGGGTTATAACGATACACTCTAATATGCCATCAAGCATTTCCATCACGAATACCTGCCCCAGAAGCTGCGCGCGCAGTGATCGAGTTATTAGTCACTAAAAGTGTCCGAGTCAATATATTTATTTATCAAAGGAGCTTGAAATAATGTTTGATTTTCTTTAATCAAGGTGTTGGGAGAAGCGGGAGCAGGAGTAGGGACATTTCTATAAGTTATCTTCAAATTCTTTTGTACTTCCTGCCTCTCCTCAATGCCATGAAAAAATCCCGATGACCTTTGTGACTCAAGGAAGAAGATTGTTTTAGGCAGATGTTATTGTAATATCTTTGTATGAAGTTTAAGACCAACTGACGCGGGCATGCCCTCACCTGATGGCGCGCTTATACCTACGTGATTTGTTTGGCCGTGGCAATATTGATCATGTGTACACCGAGCTCTTCTGCACCGTCAATCTTGTCAAGATTTGCTTTAAGCAGTTCTGCATCTCGCAGAAGCCTGTACATTGGTTAACTTTTCAGCGACAACATGCTCTTGACGGACGCGCACACCTTGCTTTCCCGGCCTCAGTTCGTATCGACGCAGCTTCGAACGCCTTACTCCATTTCTCCTTGTAGTTCTCAAAGATTCGTCTGACGATGGTCCTCACGCTCAGAGCTGGTAAGTACTTGCTTAGAATTCGCTGTAGCGTGAGCGCCTCTTTTGTAAGCGTCTCCATATGTGGACTAACATTCCTCTGTACCTCATCGTGATCATCCCATTTGATTTTCTCCATCTCCTTAATGTAACTAGTCGTGCGAGAACTCATGATGTCAATGACCTTGTCGTGAATAGAAGATCGATGATCTTGGAGCAAGCTTTTCAGCCGGTCATATTCCACTATGCTGGAGACTGTGAAAGATAGTCGACGACGAACAAGCTCGCGTACATAGGGTAATAGAGCAATGAAAAACGACAGTGACTGGGAGGCAAGGGCAAGGTGTTTGGTATTGATATTGATCAGCCCAGCAGTTATTTTGGCGCCAGCACCAAGAATAAGCTGTTGGGTGAGGGAGTTATACAATTTAATATAATCGAGTAACACAGTCGAGATTTCATTGGTCTTGCTGGGGATTGATGTTAGGAATATTGCATATTGCTCTATACAGCGAAGCGCAGACACTGTGGAATCAGTGAGCATGAACTTCTCCTCACCAATGGTCGCCAATGTCGGCTCTTTCTCAAAAGTACTCGTTGACTCTGCGGGGTTGGGGTTTGCCCACAAATCCTGTTCGCCTGTTTCCAGAGCTATGGTATTACCGTCCGTGTAGCCGAGCCATGCGGGGGGGTCAGTGGTCATGGACTGGAGAATATACCTCAGGGTTAACGCATCCTGGGGCTTAATATCTATTCGTTCCCACTTTTCAGACCCCATCTTTTGTACCAGCTTTTGCTTTTCCGCTTCATGCAGAAGCCGGATAAAGCTACCAACTTGGTTATACACAATGTCTTTGAGTGCCCCTCCAGAGTTTGCTGAAACTACCTCACATTCGCTGACAAATAGAAGGTTCAACCTGACGTGGCTCAAGAAACTAGCCAGCCCAAGGCGAACAGTCTGCTCAGTTCTCGCTTGCAGCATTTTAATAATATCCGATTGTGTCTCGTCTACCGCCTGTACAAGGAGACATGACAAGTCAAGGGTTTGAGTCGTCTCTTTCTGGACATTACAAGCCGAAACGCTCGGCGAATAATCTGCTAAATTAGCCCTGTTTCCCAGGGTTTCAACGGGCGTGCGTATAGTGCTTGGCATTTTTTTATACCGCTTGTGATATCAAGGAGAACCTTGATCTGTACACTAAGTCTCCGTAACGCCTCACCTATTCCGCAGTAGACCTTGACAAAAAACGCTTCAGCGTCCTCAGAACTAAGAGCACGCAAATTCTGAGACAAACAGCTCAACCTTTCCTGTTGAGTCAGATGATGACTGCTGGCCTGCGTGGGCACAGACATAACAGACTTATTTTTGTCGTTAGGAGAATTTGGTAGGCGTTGAAAGATAAGAGTCTTCATCTCTCGGATGACAGCTTCGCGAATCAAGGTACTTACCGCAACTAAACGCTGAGACTGGCTAAGTTCTTGTATAACAGGGATGAGTTGTTCCCGTAGCTTTTCTGTATTCGTCATGGAGACACCCCCAGCGCCCCGTGCGCTTTTTGTGGCATCCGTCCAGTGCGCTAGAGTGCCTTTCGATGGTACAATGAACACATGTCTGCGCAAGTCGCACAAAAGAATGTTCAATAGTCGAGTTTCATAACCCTTCCAGATCCGCTGTCGAAGCTGTTTAATACCTTGCAATGAACCCCCAAGAGCATGTAGCTTTCGCAGATCGATAAGCTTGATGGATGGGTCCGGTAGAAGCCAGTGCAGTTCCCGGCTAATATTCGCATCCAGTGTTCCGAATGCAAGATGCTCGACGTAGGAGATGTGTTGTACGGCTGTCTCTAGCTGCCCAGAGTCTACGAGATCCTCGCAATGATTAGCACCGTTGAGGACATATTGAAGCTGTTTGGCAGCGTCACCGAGTTTTCTCAAGTTGTCTCGCCTTCTCTTCAAGCCGATAATTTTCAGATTGTGCACTACCATATCTTCGTCCAAACGTCGAAGATGCTTCCTCATTTTCCGTAGAATTTTGACAGAGTTGGCTATCTCCTCCTGGAGGCTACGAAGAGAGTCGAGTGCGGCGTAAAAAGAAGATGACGCTTGCGAAATCGAAAAAATCAGGTGTATCTCCACATTGTCCATATACCATGACAGCTTCTCTTGTAACATTGCATTGGTAGTAAGCGTCTTTCTAGCAGGATGTGGTGTATTATCTGTAGCAGCGCCATTCACGCCCTTGTCATGGTCTCCAAATATGGAAAGTGGCGGTCTTAAAACTTCCGCGTGCTCACTGACAACATCGAAAATGCGCGGATTCTCAAGGCGGAAATTTTTATCGAAATACACAGAGGGGATGATAGATAGTGGTGGGAGTTCAGTCTGGCCGTGCTTCGAAGGGCTCGTCTTCCGCCTTTTGCGCGGCATACATTCCTCGCCTTTAGTAGCGGAGATGTCTTTATAAAATCTTTCTATGCCGCTTTCTCCGGACGTGAGCTTCGTGTGCTGAAAAGTGTCAAAAAGGGGCCCAAGGTCGCGCAGGTATTCTTTGAAAGTTGAGGGATCGACAGTGAGGACGGTGGTGAGAGTGACGGGAGGTATGTCTCGAGATGTGGGTGGTTTCTGTGAGGTTGAATGGATCGCGATGCGAGGGGGAACCCCAGTCCATAATATTGGCGGCCGTAGGAGCGTAGATATGGCTTCCAGAGTCGTCAATATAGCGTCATGTATTGTGTATATGGATTTACTCACCATTCTGACCCAATTCTGTTACAATACTCCTTCGCGGGTGAGAGCCACTATCCCATGTTCCATCTATAGAGCTGTGACTTGTGTTCGCACTGGACTCCCTTGTCGCCGGTCGATAGCCTCGTGATGGCCCATGGCCAGAAAACGGGTCTTCCGCCTCCGACAACAGCGAAACGGGTATGAAATGTGCATTTTCTGATTCGCAGCCTGAGAGTGTTGACATGATTGCGCAACGCTGCGTAGCATTACGAGCGGAGGTTATTTAGGGATTATCAACCTGTCTGGCTAGTCGCGATTCAGGAGCTGTAAAGAGTAGGCAACGGTGGGGAGGTAGCAGCATTGTTGAAGTTGAATTTCAACGCCCACATAGTTAATAGAAACCAACAGTACGGAGTATAGAAATATCACGAGCTGAAGTATGTACCGAGTTAGGTATGTAGCACAAGCTGGATTGTCATATCTAGGCTAGAAATGCACGTGCTAGGGTCGGGCTGGGTGGACATAACTACTCCGTAGTTACATACTCAATCCTAAGCTTACACCGAATTTATAGGTGCAAAATTATGTGAAGGTAGGTAACTGCTCTGTACGCGGTGGGGAAAACGGCTTCAATGACTAACTACGGAGAAGTAATGGAGTACGGAGTACTGACAAAACATTCAAAGATAGATATAAAATATTTACAGTAAGACTTTTGACTCAGCTATATAGCTTGAATTAACTAAGATAAGGGCTATCTAATATGTTGAATACTCTTCATATACATACCCTGCCTGATTGTCATGCCACTGAGCCCCGTAAGTTCCCCGTTTCAGTATCCAGAAGCAAGTTATGGAATAGACGTTCCCAAGGGCAGACCAATGCTTTGAATAGCTCACTCGTCTATCAAATAAACAAGACATGCGATGCTAGCCAGGGATGCGGCATGTTCTATACCTAACCTTAGGGTAAGAAAGGCAGCAGTGTTAAGTGCACTGATCACCTGTCATCAAAGAGAGACCCGACCAGTCAACATGGGCAGTACGGAGTACAAAGAAATATATCACGGTTAAGCCCAGAATTAAAGGAACCCTATGCAATATTTAAAGATGATTTTATAAGAAGTATCCGCCCAACCCGTCAACAGAGACAATATAATAGACTGTTTAATCTGACAAAGGGGGACCACAGTTTCTACTGACTTTTCTTCCCTGCCTCTCTTTCTGCTTTGCGTAGTGCCCGTCGCCGGATGGACTCATGCATGGTTTTATTGACTCCAAGGACCGTCTTGCTCATCGCACCAAGGAACGAAGTGATACCCCATGCCATGAGTGCATGGCTCCAGTACGGCACGGAGGTATGTGAGTACGTCGCCAGGCCTCCGCTCCGGCCGATGTGGCTCAGTGTCGACCGAACAAACGACTTGGGGTTTGGGATCGTCATAGAGGTCCTTCGAATCTTGGACATTGCGGATGTGACAAGGTAGCTAAGCACAAGCTGCACGTGAATATTATGTGGTTCTAGTTCAGAGGCCAGGGAAGTAGACCAGTGCTGTAGGAATGCTTTACTGCCGGAGTATGTGGCGAGGAGAGGTGTGGGAAGGAGACCGCCGAATGACCCCATTGTCAGAATGAGACCACGTTTTCTTTGTATCATGCCTGGCGCAACGATCTGCGTTACGCGTAGAGTGCCTGTGCAGTTTATTGAGATGATATCCTTCATCTCCTTCTCTGGTGTCTGAACGAAAGGAACAGGAATGCTATGGCTCAGTCCAACATTGTTAACGAGGATAGAGATATCTAAATCCTTGATTGCGTCCTTCAGCTTCTCGTAGTCCTCATCGTCGTTCTTCGAGAAATCCATTGAGATCGTTTTGGTAAGGACTGTAGGGTTGGCGGAAGTAATTTCAGAGGCAACAGCCGATAACTTCGATTCGGATCGCGAAACGAGGATGACATTAAAACCCTTACGGGCAATTTGCAAGGCGAATTCCTTTCCAATGCCATCTGAGCCACCGGTGACAAGGGCCCAGCTGCCTTTCGGGCCGAAGCTGCTTAACTACATTGATTGCAATCAGTATTATGATAAGACAAGCTTCCTGTAGTATAGGGCATTCGATTGGACCTCATACCGGTTTCCCAGGAAGTATGAAGATACTGAACAGAGCTCGAAGAAAGCTGAGGCACCTGGTGGTGATAAACAGACCGCCAGCGGCGAAGACCAGGGCTGCAGCAATTGTCTGACAGGATGAAATGTCGAATTGGAAACCCTCACCCAGGCCGCAGCTTTTAAGGGATATATGCGACATGGTACAGTTCTCTTGGACGTTTGGCGGATGGTTGGTTTTTCTGGAGTTGAGTGAAGCTGAGCTTCCTTCGACTCTTCGAAATTGTGGACACTGAGCTTCAACCAAACTTCGCAGTGTTTGTCAGGAGAACTTCTTTTTTTCAGCGAAGCTCAGCTCCCAACAGACTTCCACTGTAACAATTAGTTAGACTATTATAATACCCTATCTAATACACACTGTCTATTTCCTGTCAACGCATCTTGCAATATGTCTTTAGCCTCCTTTTTACCGCAGCACGAGGGCTTTCTCCCCAAATGGCTTCTCCTGGTAAGACCCCCCTTGAACACCAGCTACAAACTCCATAGCAAGACTGAAGAAGCTCATGTCCTGTACCAGGTCTCCATCGTATCAACTCTCAATACTCTACAGGCTTACATCAACCCGAGCTACACTGGCCAACTCTACTCCGCGCAGGCCGTCACTCCTTTATCCTCCCGTAAATTCGGCACCTGGACCTTTCTTTCCTCCGTCGTCCGTTTCTACGCGGCTTACCACATCTCCAACCAGCCAGTATACGAGTTGGCGATGTGGACGTACGGCATTGCTTTGGCACACTTCGTGAGCGAGTGGTTGGCATTTGGAAGCGCCAAGGCACAGGGGAGGTTCTTGAGCCCGTTGATAGTTGCCAGTGCTAGTTTTGCCTGGATGTTTACACAAAAAGAGTGGTATCTGAAATGATTCTGGGTAGGCCAAATGGCGATGATTGCGTTGATATTGGCATTTCTAAGGGAATAGAAATTTCCTTATATAAATCTCCATTCTACAAATACGATCAAGAGAACCGCGACATATTCTCCCATTTCGGATTTATCTTCAACTATGTACATTATCCTGTTTCCCTGGTATTTTCTTCTCGAAATGGTATGAAATACCAGCGGGGAAGGCTTTGCTTTATGAAGAGCAGCCTCGACCTGGGCCAAAAGCTTATAACATCAATTTCAACGACACTAAGCTGCTATAAAGGGGTATAAATTCTCATTGTGGACTGGCAATTCTATAGTTGTATTGCTCGATGCTAAAACAGGCCACGCCTTTATCGGTCTAAACAAAAAAAACTGAAATTTCGTAGCCTGGGTGCTTCTCCCCATCAATCAGCCCAAGATCAATATAAAAAATCTAAAATAGAAACCAAGAGTGGCTTTCAATAGCTTTTCCTCCATTACTGAGCTGTATTCACTGGTTGTATTTCAAACCAGCAATTACGCCCACTTTTCTATTGGCATATCTCCACATCTGCTAATTTTGCACAGGTTTCGAAACTATGCCCCCGTCCGTGGTGCAAGGACCTCGACTGAGCCTCGTATGAGAGTTTGAACAAGTGTCCTTTATCATTGAAGGATGACGGTGCATAATACTGCCAGGGGCGATTGCGAGAGTCAGGCCGAGGTTCTGCATCCCTTGTTTAACTGGAGCCTTCTGTGGGTGTCCTGTATAGCTCGCCTCCACAAGCTCTCAGTCGTGCTGCAGCTTGCTCTGGAGTGATATCTCGCTGAGGCTCAGCTAGCAGCTCATACCTGCCACATCTGTTAACAAGTCACAGAACTGGTGCCTACGGAGTAGACCTTACCCAACTAAAAATTTCCTCACGGTTGCGCTTCTCAAAAGGGGCGGGTAAAAGTGTATGTGTAAATGAGAAGCTTCTATTTCCTCTTCAGTACCATCCAGAGGCGCTTGGTGTACTCCCATGCTATAGGGGAAGTGAGTCTCAAAAAGATTGTCGTATCTTCTTGTGATCTGCGCGATGGCTTCAGCTAGGTGCTCCCTTTCCGCTGTTGCCAGATCCGTAAGAGACCGTTTATGCTGCTTGCTGAGGATCATTGTCTCAAAAGGCCATATTGCCCACCAGGGACATATCACCAAAAACGTATCATTTTCAAACACCACTCTCTCCCCTTTTTCTACTTCTAGTGAAGCATAATCTTCGAGCATGTGTCTGTTCAACTTTTCCCGGCGATATTTCTTTAGTTGCTCAAGCTCTATGCTAGGCTCCTCAGGCAGACAACTTGTTGTCCATATTTGCCCATGAGGATGTGGATTCGAGCATCCCATAGCAGCTCCTTTATTTTCAAAAATCTGCATATAGCGGTATTGCCGAGCAGGCTTTGAGATTTGCAATGCGGGAGAGCCAGGCGAAAGAGGATTTTGAGAAATGCCTAGAAGAGGTGAGCTGGATGGGAGATGAGTGATATAGATATCGGCCCATGCATTGATTATTGGGATGATCAATTCGGGAGACAGGTCTGCCAATGTAAGGTTATGGCTTGCTGAGAAAGTAAGAACATAGCATCGTCCAGTCACCGCATCTGCCTGGAGAAATGTCGATGCAAGATCTGAAATTATTAAGTCCGCTATCCTAAGAGATGTGGCAACTACTACACACCATTTTCATTGAATTGAGGCTGATATTCTGGCTGGTCGTCTTTGACAGCACTGAAATCATTCACGAAAACAAAAGTATTTGTGTATTGAGGATTTTGAGCTCCTTGTGCACGCTTGTTGCCTGGACACAGATAGCAAGCAGGATCATAGGATGGTAAGGTTGTTTTTGATGGAGATTCTTGCTGCCCCCTAGTAGCACTGGGTATCAATAACATCCTCTGAGAACTCTTATCTGGGGGTTATGCTCACTGCCATGGCCTCTTGGTGCGATGTGGAGATACCAAGATGTGAGTGCCTCGCAAAATGTTGTATCTTCGGTGGGAAATATCATCCAGGACAGGGTTGGCCATGGCGCATCGCCGGGGTCATGCAGAGACTAGATTTCTAGAATTATATGGAATAATGGTTGAAAACAAGGAGGGAGCTGAATGTGGGTTTGATAACCCCACTCCCAACTACGTCACCAGGTCAGAACGTGCCAGGAACAACATGTTGCGTAGGGGAAAGCTAAGGCTTTGGACCCAAATGCAACTAACTACGCCATGAACGCATAATTACCTCGTCCGAACCGCTTATTCCTCCGTAGGGGATTCCCAGCTTACGAGAATGTTCCTTTCTGGACGAGTTGCGGATGAAAAGAGAGTCGGAGGGCCGCCCCAAATTCCGGACAAAACTTCGGACCAGCTAGTGAACTAACTGCCAACCAATACGAAGATCTTTGTAGTAGTTATGTGAAATGCTAAGAGTAGCGAGCTTACACGAAGCCAATGAAATCGTCCGCACGGCCGATTGTTTGCCTCTTCAGCCAATATCGCCCTGGTCGATAATACCGGTTTGGAAAGCCTTTTACCCTGTCGCTTACTAGCTATCAATCCCGGGTATAGCGCAGTCGAAGTCCGCGAGTAGAGAAATGTGATATATTAAAAACTAGGCCCCAGATCTCGATAAATCATCAAAAGAAAGCTTGATTCCCTTGATGTGGAGTTATGATTGCCATCCCTCTTTTAAGTGGCCAAACGTCTTTCGTTTAACAAAAGATGGTATGTCTGGTTTCGATCTCTTTGGAAATAATACAATAGGAAATCTGTTCTATTCGGAATTTCAATAGCACTTCTATCGACGCTCTGGAATTAAAGGAAAAAAGACAATATCTTACATTAAAACCCCTCCTCTACCGTCCACGAGCTGAATACGGCAGAGGTATGTCGCGAGCGACCGTCCTTCTCAAGTCCCTAACATCACTTGCGAGTGACCTAGATCGCCGAACCGAAGACTTGTCCCGTGGACTATCTCTCTGCGAGCCAAACATAATGCCTTCCTATCGAATACCCTCCAAACTGCAGTGTAACGGCACCGATAGCAAGACAGATACTGGTGTGAGAGTGGACCCGAAGGGAGTATATTTACTTCTTTGGGAGCAGGGTAGTCCTGGTGCATTCCACTGGGGGCTTTTTATTGCTCGAAACGAAAAGACGGGTGTCTTATACCACCAAGCCTTGAGGGGGGCACATTGGCAGTTCGTCATGGAGAATCAAGACGTGTCGACCGACAACGCGGTGGTCGTCGTGTTGAAAATTGGCAGCGTCGAGAGCGTGAATGATACGTGGATGCAGTACTACAAGGACCGCATCCGGGAAACAAAGGTGCGAAAGGAATTTCGCTGCAAGAACTGGGTTATGGCGGCCATCCACGAACTGGCGGATAGTGGGATCATCGGCCTGCAGCCCAATGAGCAGGTAATCGACAAAATCGAAGCAGAAGCAATCAAGTATGCCAAAGATAGCCTTGTGTTCAAGGCTACCAGTGTCTATCCGAGCGAGTATTGTGTGCCATAACAAGCAATTCTCACTTCAATTGTGGTCACGAAGTGTCCATACGAACAATATATGGACACCCGCATATCATCATATCGTGGAGAGGTTACAGAACTCTCCAAATGGAGTCACGGGGGCATAAAGAGTAGCAAAATCAATATTATGGATCTGGACAAGACAAAAATGAGATATGAGGGAATGGGTTTCTTTGAACAAAAATTTTGAGACAGCAGGATACAACGGCTTTCTCTATTTTGGGAACGGACACAGGTAGATAAAAAGGGTATCACAGTTCGTTATATGTGTGACAATCAGCCCGTCATATGGCCACTTTGCGACACCTCCAAGTGTTTTTTAGACTGGCGATCAAGACAACAATGTTGCCAACTTCTAAATGCCCTTGGACGGCAAAGTGGAGAAGTGCGGCAACAAGGAGCCAAGGTTGTGTATGTAGTCTCGCAATAGTATCAATATTTCTTGAGGACACGAGCATGCTTGTAGGTGGCCTGAACACAGACGTGGCGGGTCAGCCGCGGATAAAAATTGTTGGGCAATAACAATAAATGTTCTTCCAACTTGAGCAGTCCACCATCGGATATTTTCTCGAGTGGGTAACACGAGTCGCTGACGACTCGAACGTTGCCAACCGGCAGGCCGATCCTTTGTCCAGACCCAAAAGACGTTGTTTCTCACCCACTAGTTAGTGAACTAGTGTACTCAACGGGATTCGCGGGCTTTGGAACGGAGGACGGCCATATATACCCCAATAGCAATCCTGCCTCGGATAACCGAGGAACAAGTATCGGAGAATAATACTGTCGGCGATGGGCTTTCTTATCGCAGTCAAGTGTTAAAACTACCAAAAAATTAAACATTCAAAAAAGCTCGGTTGCCAACCAAATTGGGAATGCAGTTCCGGCGTAGTGGGGCTGAGAACATCCCTGACGTAATATTGGATGGCCGTCTCCATCGCGGCTCCAGATATACATTCGGAGTTCATCAACATTGCTTCCCTTCACACGATCGTCAGTGTGTTGGATTGAAAAAAGATGCCATGAATGAAATATATACCGCGCCTCCTGACATCGATAGCGTCCACTGGGCATCCTTTTGATACTTTTGAGGGGAGCGTTGGCGACAAGCACAGGCGTCTCGGCCTCAAGAAAATCACACCAAACCCCAGGCTTGACACAACATCTGGATAATTATCAGGCAAGATTCAATAATGCAGCTGCAACTGAGCTGCACTCCACCCTGTGGTCATGAGGTCGGGGGAATAGAGAGCTCAGAGCCACACGTGGAGCAAGAAAAGTGATTGGCAAGAGTCAAGTTTTACTGAGACTGTGAGGGTCGCACACGCGATTGAGGCCTTGGATTGAAAGTGATATTCAAAAAAGAACAACGCGGCGACCACACGAACAGAGGTTCCTTGAAATTGCCTGTCAAAGTGTCTTTGAGGGTCCCCGTCATCCCGTGGGGAAATTAGGGCGTATCAAGGTCACCTGGGAGGAATCGGAGGAGAGTAGCTAGGAGAACTTGCAAGACCCATGATGAACGAAGGATGATGCGGATTCTGGATTTTGGAAGAGAAGGGGGGTTGTGCGGAATAACCACAGCAGTTGAACAAGGGTGGCACCCCAGTACCACCACCGCCAACAAATCCACATTATTCTCAAAATAATATTCACATCCCACGTGGAAAAGATAGTTATAGTGTCCGGGATAGGTCACCCCGTGCCCCCCTTGCATCTTTCATTCCTTTTTTTTGAAAACCGGGATTTCACCCAGCAATAATAGTAATAGTAATAGCAAGAGCAGCCTCAACCATATCATGATGATAGTTGACTTGGGGTGCCAACGTGGGTGGTGGGTCGCACTAATAATGACTGGCGTGTAGTAGTGTGCACATAACTACGTAAACTTGCCAGGCGCGCGCGCGCCGGTTGAGGCTAACAACGGGCGGTCAGTTGATTGATTGAACGGTTGCTCCGAGCCCCGAGCTAAGCGCGGGGGGCCTTTCCTTCGCTCCGTCTTTCCCATACCCGCTATAATTATTATTAATCTTTGCCACGGTTCATGTATCAATAGTGCCTGTTCAGTTGCTGGATTTGTTTCTCCCAAGAATGTTGGGTGTAGGGTGGCGGGGGAATGATTGGATGGGGGCATGAGTACATGAGTCTCAGTATCAGACAATAAAGAAAGAAAAAAAAAAAAAAAAAGGAAAAAACCAATCAAAAAGTCAGACACAGAATTCCAACTTCGTAAGTTCAGAAAAGCATATTTGACCCCGCTCTGTTGGAAGCAGAAAAAAGCACTTTGAATTTTCCATCGTCAAAGTGGGTGGTGCCCAGGCGTCGCCTGTGTATGTTTCACCGCCGGTTTTCACTACTTTAGCCTTGCCTCAAGTTTGTATATCTCTTTTCATCCCCATCCTTCCAAGCTAGACGGTGCTTGCGTGGGATCCCCATGTCTTGGTATCTAGGCCTCAAAGCGCCCCTTCATAGGCACAGAAAGGGCCCCGCTAGTTTACAGATCACAATAACAAGGAGAGTAGTAGTGGCCCCTTCAAGAGCACCATGGAAATGGAATTCTGGACCACAAAAAAAAATCACGCAGCGTAACCCCTCCGCTGATTCGGCGCCGGCGGCGCGACAGTGCAGGGGGAAAAGTTGCAGCGCAGGATTCGCGTGCAGCGAGGGACTCGTTCCAGATCATGTTCATAAAATAACAAGCTCTGCATTTCGAACGTCCGGGTGATCATTGGTGAAAAAAAAAAAAGGGTATGTATATAAGGCTAGTGGGAGTAGTGAGAACGTTTTGGTTGCAGCGGCTCCGCTGAGCGGCACCAGATGGTACGCTGCTGGGCCAATCTTCATGTGCCAAAGGCTCTAAGCAACAATAGCAGCAGCTAAAAAAGAAAGTCGATGGAGCAAAAGGAAGGCTACTCCAGGAGCCCCAACGTAGGCGGCAGGGCATATTTGGGGTCTCGGATGTAGCGCATGATGCTGATGTCCTCCGTACGGAGTATGTAATTCTTATTATTATTGTTTTCTCCAACAGCAAAAAAGCAAGACGGGTGGGGACGTCCATTCACAGCAGGCAAGATTCCTTGCATTTTTGAGGGTTCATGTCAAAGCGCAAGAATAACTAGCAACAATGGCATTCTGGTGCCTTGATACCAACAATAATCTGCAGGCAGGAGCCTGGTCCCCAAAAGAAAAAAAAAAGACTCAAACGGCGCAAAACCGATTAACCCCCCCAGCACCTCAAGATTGTAACAGCACGTGAGCCCCTGGCGCCACGCGACATGGGTTGCTACATAGCGGGCCAACAACCTCTGCTTATTCCTAATTCGACCATTTCGGCTAGACAAAAATTGGATAAAGGACAAATTGTGCTCAAGGGCCCGGCCGGGGGAACAAAAAGGGGGGGAAGAGGAAGGGAAAAAAAAGCTTATGTGGCTGATTCCCCGGCATGCCTGAATTCGAGGCTACTGCAGCATATGTGGCTCTCCGGGCGTGGGCAGGCAGGCTGCATGCAAGAAGAGAGAGACGCCCGCCTGGCCCTTCTTGTGATCGGCAGCCAAAGAATAATAAATGAAGATAATTATAGAAACGCGGTGTATAACTATCTGGAGTGAAGCGTTTCCACCGCCGTGCGTTGGCCGGCCTGCGTGTTGGTGGCGGGCGTGATAGAGTTAATTAGAGTTGGTGGGCGTGTGGGGTAGTGAGCTAGCTAGTCAGCCAACTAGGTAGTTAGTTAACTAACCATACGCGCCAAACACGCCCAGCCGGCACGACTTTTTCCCGCCGCCGCTGGCTGTGTGTGAGTGTGTGGCAGGCCGCGGCGAAAGCTCACTCTGTGTAGGCTGCCACGGGCGGCAGCTTAGGTTATCAGATACGTGTTACGCGCAGAACAAATGGGCGCACGCAAGGCAATCTGCCGAGTGCGCCTGGGCCCGACGGTGTGTCCAGATTGAGGCCCAAAAAAGGCTGGGAGGTACTGCTGCTGCGACAGGGTTGCGGTCCCTTATCCGACAGGGAGATCTGCACGAGCAAGGTGAGGAAATTGGGGCAAACCTTAAAAACGGAAGCAGTGTGGCATCGACGCTATGCAGCGCATCTCGTCGTGGCTTGGGCGCGACGGCAGGACGACCGATCGGCTGCTTGGGGTAATTAAATAAGAATTAATAATGATAAGACGGGTTCGCTAGCCCGCCCGGGGTCTTTTTTTTTTTTTTTTTTTGCGCGTGTGGCTAAACTTCAATAGAATGCCTTGTCGTGAAGCGTGCGTGCGAGCCACACGATAAGATAGCAAAAAGGGGACCCAAGACGAGCGGCGCCCCTCGTAAATAATGCGACCAGGCCCCAGCGCAAGCGCCATGGGTTGGCCCATGGCAAATCCCAAAAACTGCATAGTGCCGTGGAGTTCCCCTGCTTGCCGCGACAGGGGCCCGTGCTCGTGCAGCTCAATGTTGTCGGCCCAAGGTGATCCCGCGGCCTTTCTGACTGCACGCTGCGTGTCCGTGTCTAGAGCGTCCTTTTCTGTAGCCATGCCTACGACTGGCCCACTGACTAGGCTTGATCATATGGCTCAGCGGCCAATAATCCTTCTGCTGCCCGGCCATCAACGACAACAATAATCACCTTGACAATAGCCCACAATCTATGACAAATTCCTGCAGCCGGCACGGGTGTCGCCGTTGATTGGCCGAGCCCCGGTTTAAACACCTGTTAAGGTTATGCAGCGGGCGACGGGCGATTTGAGATGACGAGCAAGATCCTAGCTTCCCACACACCTCTGTGATGCACCTCCTTTTTCGTATCGTTGGCCAGAAATAAGTGATCCAGTAGCGTCGACAGCACATGGTCAAGTCTTATATCTATGGCAATAATGAGTCTGACCGAGCGAACTTGATCCGGGGCGATTTTGCTACCATGTTTGAACAAGCGTTGCCCCGAAGCCACCGCCCGATCAGAGTTGTCGGCTGTGTCAAAACGGCATAATCAATGCTGATCGGGGACCCGAGCTATTGGTTGCTCCCGTGGAGGAACTTACTGGGGGCCGCGGAATGGGATGGCTAACCAGAACTCTATGCGCCTGATCTCGATTCGGGCCTCAGGGGGGTGTGTGGTACTTTCTCAGGCAGAAGGCAAGAAAAAAAAAGCAGTTGGAACACAGAGAAGTTGGAACACAGACCCCAAGATCGGACAGAGTGTTCAGCAGTCTGCAGAGAGAAAGCGGGGACGATCCTGCCATCATCCGCGGGTAATAATAATGGGCATATTGAGCAGACGCCGTAGCGTGCTTGGGATTAGCTCGGATGGCCGGTATGATTAATTAAATTAATTGACGATTATTATTGAAGACGCCCAACGCACACCCCACGACTGGCTTCCTTTTTTAAACTTCTCGATGACCAGCTGGACGCATGTAGTTGACTAGTAAGTTGCGATGGCCACGGACATACACACCGTCTGTCGTCCGGTGGCCAGCGAGAACCGGCCGGGCTGATTGTGGGCGGACAGTTCAACGGGTGGGCTGATTTTTTTTTAATTTTTTTTATCAACGCCAGGCTGGGTCGCTGGGCCACTGACGGCGGGCTCTTGTTGCGGCGGGACCCAGAGAAAAAAACCCTGGGCCGGCGGTGGCCAAAAAGTCTGGTCTGCCCGGCGTGAAGGTTAAAACGGGAGTCCAAAAGTTATCGGCAAGGCAGACACGCTGCAGAGGAAAAGGGCGCAGAAGACCGCGCAGCGAGGCAGGTGGCTATCGTCGTAATCGTCGTCGTCGTCGTCGTTCTTGCAGCGGCGGCGGCGGCGGTGGTGGTGGTGGGCAGAGCAGCGATGCGCCCAAGCCGTTGGCATCGCCTTTGCGCCGAGCCCGAGCGATAGGCTTTCAGCAGAGTGGAACCGCGGCAAAGCAGCAGTAGCAGCTCTGGGCTGGGCTGGCCTGGAACAGACCTGAAGTTTGATTTTTTTTGTGTGGGCTTGTGAGACGGGTGTGCTGGTGAAGCTGAAGGGCTCCCAACAGACGTCTTGTCGCCTTCTTCGCTGTCCTTGGCCCCCATAATACCAGACTGATGGTTGACTGAGGTGCAGCGGGCGTAGCTTCGTATCATGCGCTGCAACCGCTGCGCGGCAACTCGCAGCGCTGGCTGGCTAGCTAGTAAGCTCGTTAGCTGTCGATATCAACGCCGGCCAGGCTATTAATAGGCGGTCGCTGGCCGGTCGTCTCCCCCATGCAGCGCCCGTATTCGTCGCTGCCCTGACCCCATCACCACCGCCGCCTCGCGTGGGCTCTACTCTACTCTACTGAGTCTACTCTGCGCTGCGCTGCTCTGCTCTGCTCTGCGACGCTGGCGTTGCCCTAGCCCGCTCACTAATAATCCCCGTCCTGTGCTGATCTGATCTGATCCTCCATCCCGCCCGCGCCCCGTCATTCGCCGTGCTGGTCCCCATCCTCCCTCTGCCCGCCCGCCAGTCGTAGTTAGTGGCCCGCCGGCGGCCGCCCTCTCCGCCGCCCTGATCGTGACTGACTCCGGGCCCATGCTCTCCCCGCCGCCCATCACCTCCACCATCGCCGGCCTTAATTATCATCCCATGCGCCCGCTGTTTGCTCGCCGCTTTGCTTTTTCGCCTGCTCCCTAATAGCGCCTCCCCCCCCATCATTTTGCTTTTCTGCTCTTTTTCGCCTTCCATCAGCCTGCTTCTGCCGCCTGCAGCCCTTACATATGCATGAGCGACCTCCCGCGGCCTCTTCTCGGTCCGATCTCTCGCCATAATAACATCTGGCCGTCCGGCCACTCCTCGATCCTGTAGTTAGCTAACTAACTAACTGACTGCCGGCACCACCGTTGCTTTGCGCCCTCGCGACCTCTCCCCTCCTCTCTCCCAGCCCATTGACCATTACAACCGCCCCCGTCCGCCGACGAATCCATCGACAGGCCTGCCTGCTGGCCTGCTTGCTTTTGCGCTGCTCCAACTTCCGTATCGAGCGCGTACCTGTCTTGGGGGTTGGGCCACGCACACACCCATGCGCGCGCCCACGGTGGAGTGCGCTTGAATGCTTGTTTGATTCTGCGCTGCTTGGCTGGCCTGCGAAAACAAAAAAATAATAATCTCTCCAACTTTTCTTGCGCGCGCGTGTGTGTGCGCGCTCGAGCGCGATTTCATCTTGAGCTTAACTAGTGTCTCCGATTTCCCCACTGCGCGCCCGTCGGTCTGTCTCTTCTTGTGTGTATGTGTGTGTATATCTCCGGTCGCCTTCAAAAGATGCTTGGTTCCCTACGCTAGACTTGCCCCGACCGTTTGCGCTCGCTTCGTTTCTCCCTTCTTGTGAATTTCCTCTCCTTTCTCTACCTCCTCCTCCTCCTCCCCCAAGGACCTTGTTTCTTCTCTCTTGATTCGTTAGTTGCCCGCTACCGTTGAGCCTCCACCTGGCTACTCATCGTCTTGTGGCGCCGGAGTGACTGCACGCCACAGCCATGGCCGACCATTCGCCCACCAAGTCGGAGCCCATGGAGTCGCATTCGGCGGCAAGGCGCGACAGCGCAGAGGAAACATCTGTGCCCGCTACCTCTACCAAGGTCAAAGGCCCGCGCAAGCGAACCAAGACTGGCTGCTTGAGTAGGTGCTTTTCGTTCTGCTTCGTCCCAAAGATACCCCGTCATTAACTCCTCTAGCGTGTCGAAAACGAAGGATAAAATGTGGAGAGGAAAAGCCGCGGTGCAACAACTGCATCAAATCCAAACGAGAGTGCGAAGGCTACGGCCAGCGCGTTGTCTTCAGAGACCCCGTTGGCCCAATCCCCCACCTCGGCCCCATCTCCGCCTCCCAAGGCCTCGCTGCCGCGGACCACGCCTACCTGAACCGCCAGTTCGTCCAGGCCTTCCATCACGGAGAGCCTTCGGGCGCAAGGCCGTTTCTGCCTCTGGCACCCCGACCCTCCGGCTACGGCCCCATCCCCGATGGTTTCGTCCGGCATGACTATGCGCAACGTGTTGCGTCCCACCACCTCCATCACCATGATATGCCCTCGCAGCCGCTCCTCGAGGACGACCGGTTCTCGTGGAATGCGGCCCAGTACATGCAGTCCCAGCATGGCCTCCATGGTTTGCCTACGGATTACCAAGAACAAAGCGCGGCCCATTTACACCAAAGCTATCCACCTGACAGCGCCTACAGCAGCCATACAGGCTTGCAACACATGGATACTAGCTACCAGTCCCTCTACGACTCCCAGTTCACCTCTTTCCGTCATGTAAGTTCCGTTCTTCTGGTGGTACCTGGCTTGAACCGGCGCTGATAGGCCTAGGCGGACATTTCTCCCTTATCCGCAGGCGATCCTGGACAATGTATGGGTAATAATTTTCTATATATCAGCATATAAGACTCGCTAAGCTCCCTCCAGATACTCGTCATTACGTTCCGCCTGACCTGGACGCTGGTGCGGGTGAGAACCATGAAGCTCAAACCGCGCCGACAATAAAACCGGATGTTGATCCTGGCGCTGAAAGCGACGAATACTACGATGTCGACACGGATGATGACTTGATGGAGTCCGGGATTCCCTCGGGCTTCGACATGTACGGCCATGCCGGGAAGATGCTTCCTTACCAACTGATGTCAACAGTTGGCCAATTTCACACCTTTGAAAACTACGAAAACCTTCTTTCTACCTATCGCCCGTCTCCTCTTGCCTCGCCTCTCCTCGACCCGGAGGTTCTTCAGATCTTCCACCATTTCATGACCGTTGTAGGGCCTTCAGTATCGATCTTCGAACGACATCCTTTCATACCTTCAGCGTCAATGTCCAGCGGGGCTGTACCTCCCGAGCAACAAAGCCTATGGACCTACACGCTTCCCACCATGGCACTCGAGCACCAGGGCCTGCTCCAGGCGATGCTGGCATTCAGCAGCCTCAACATGGCCAGAATGGCGGATCAGCCTCCGACGGCGTCCTTTCGCCATTACCACTACGCCCTGAGAAAGGTGGGCAAGGCCGTCGGTTTGCCCCACCGTCGGAAGCAGGTTCCAACGCTCGCTGCTACTTTGCTCCTGGGATTTTTCGAAGTCATGGCTGCCGAACACCAGAAGTGGAACAGCCATCTGGCCGGAGCGACGCATTTAATCCGAGACATGGATTTTGCCCGGATGACCCGTGATATTCGTGCGATGAGAGCGAACGCCAGGGCGCAGCATTGGTCGCAGAATTCGCAGAGTCTGTGGACCGGATCGGCGGCGCCTTTTCTGGGAAGCTATTTCGAAAACGACATCTTCGCCGCGTTCGAGTCCGATATCGACGTGGGGCTGGTCAGCGCGATAACGGGGAGAGCTATCAACTACGATGAATATGGCGAGATTGCTGCCGGTGGCCGAACGAAGCCGAAACGCGAGTTAACGCCAAAAGACGTGGATGACTATCGGGTTCGATCCGATCTCTATTGGTGGTACTGCAAGCAGGATACGTTTCATAGTCTCATTAGTGGGAACGGACTGCTGTATGTGACTCCTTAACCCCTTTCTTTAGCAAATCCTGAGCTAACGAATCATAGGCTTTCGTATGATCGATGGGCTAACTGCCCGCCAAGAGCTGGCGTTGGCCGTCTCGATGCTGCGTATGGCTCTATGGACCATTTAGTCCTCCTCCTCGCAAGAATTGGCGCCTTCGCTTCCAAAGATAGGAAGAGGAAGCTGAAAGCCGTAGAAGCCAACGGCGGAGAATGGCGGCCTCCGCCAAACTTCTTCCCACCAGGAATGGGAGGCCCCCCTGGGCCTCCAGGGGGTCCTCCCAGGGGCGCTCCCCCCGGCGTCCCGCAAACCCCAACTGGGCCACCAAAGATGCCGCCCACAGCGAAGCGTGATGCCAGCCCTCCCATGTACGGAATGGTTCCCCCTTCCGGCCCTATTCGACTACCATCGGCGTTTGGAAGCAACGTGTATCCCACGCCGCCCTCCCCCAGCGGGTCTGACAGCAGCGACGACCTGGACTCGATGATGGCCGAAGCCGAAGCCGAATGGCAAGAGATCCTGCACGCATGCGAGGAGTTCAAGAACGCTCTCGGAACACCGGGATTCGTCCCGCTACCTCCCGACGGCGCGCCGCTCATCTCCAGCCCCTTCGGACCAGCGATCCAATACCGCACCCACGTCGTCGCCTGCATCTGGGCCTTCTACTACTCCGCGCGCATCATCCTCGAGCGCTCACACCCAGCCATGCCGCCGGCCTCCATGATGGCCGCGGGCGTCGCGGCGCCGCGCACCGCGCAGTACGCACAGCTCATCGGGCGGATCGCCGCGGGCGTGCACCACACGCAGCAGCAACAGCTGGGGGTAGCGACGGCCAACCCGCACCCGACGACGGTGGGGGTGCTGAACGAGCTGATGCTGCCGCTGTTCTTCGCGGGCGTGCAGTACGTGGACCCGCAGCAGCGCGCGTGGACGGTGGCCAAGCTGCGCGACATCGCGCGCATCACCGGCGGCACGTCGCCGACCTCCGTGGCCTCGGGCTGCGAGAAGGCCTGGGTCAAGGCCTTCGAGATCGGCCGCGGCCCGCCGTACAAACGCACCGTCGTGCCCTACCAGGCCCAGAACCGCGAAGGCCCCGTCTCCAAGGCCCGGGAGTCCATGCGGTTTGTTACCGTCTCCGAGGGCGCGCCCGTGACGTTCGCCCTGGGGTTGCTGTCGCTTGATGAGAATTTGGAGAATGAGAATTAATAGTTTTATTATCTTTTTTTATTTTTATTTTTATTTTTTTTTGAGACGCCATTGTATGATGGAGTAATGGATGAATCTCGTTTGGCGATATTTTGATGTTTTTGGATATCTGGGAACGGGGCGGGGTGCCGTGTACTGTAGCCAGTCCCAGGGCAAATATGGTGTGGCATTTTGTTTTTCTCTCTTGAACTCCTCCTGCCCCTATTTTATTTCGGGGACTTGCTACTGTGATGGGTTGTAAAATTAATAGCGTTGGAGGGATCATTTGGGCGTATGATGCATATCTACAAGGATCAAAGGCATGTTTGGAATTAAAAGCTGCCGGGGCATAACTACATATTAGTGATTACACTTTTTGAAGGACATTAATATATTCTCATCAATCTATTTTACCATTTAGGTTTTCTATAAAGGCCCCCAGTGATGAACTGGCTATTCAAAAACGGGGTTTCGGTAAGACCTCTCCTTCCATTACCAATGTTATAGCCACCTTTATCTCTGTTGCTCCTTTCGTAAAACGTAGAATCCGCGCTTCAGCTCTCTCCCAGTGAATCAGACTTGCTATCATCGACGTATTCTTAACATTGAAATATGATATAAAGTGATGAGGTGACATCATTCCCAACCAGAATGAATGTTATAAGCGCAGATCTAGCAGGCCCGACTAGCAAATGTCATTCTACTGCAGCGGCATTCTGTATTTATTTTGGAATATTATCAGTCCTGTCGAGTCCTCGTAAAGTTTATAAAAAGGTAGTGACTGAAAGAATGGAGTGTGCTAAAGAAAGCAGTCAAAAGAAAACCCGGAGGCGAACATCCCGCCCTGTGAAAGCGTACCATACGTTGAAACCGTTCTAGTCAGCACTGCAAATCATTGCTCGTGAAAAAGGCAAGCCTTCTCTCCATCGCGCCCAAGGAACGAAGTCAGTGTTAGAGTGAAAAGAGCTTTTGTTTCCACCAAATGTTCCAGAAAAAGACAAAGGACAATAGAAAAAAAGACGGTATATGTCATGAATTGCCCGCTCAAATGAGATAACCAATAGCGCCGTCCAAATCGCCCTGGGCAGCGTCCAGAGCCTGGATAGCCTCTTCCCGCGTGAAACCCAGGTCCGTGATCTTGGATATTGATTCGACGGACCATCGGGATCCGGGTGCTGTAGCAGGCCCCGGAGCAGCTGCTACTGCAGCAGGAGGCGACGCCACATTGACCTTCGGGACTGAAGAGGCCCCTGGTGTTGGTGCCAATGTCGGCAATGTCGACGCATCTCGAGCGATTGGGCCGGGGTTACCAGCAGGATGCGTGACGGCGCCTGTTCGCCCGCCAACAACGGCGCCATCACGCCCCACGACAAGGGGCTCGGCTCCGTATTCGTCCTGATGATCTGGGATCTCCCGTTCGCTGAGGAACGGTACCGTTTCGCCGCGGATCCGGAGGACGTTTTCTTTCAGGTCGATCACGCCCTGGTGCCGTTTTAACATGTCAAGGCCAATCAGCAGATCGATGTGTTTGCCTTCCATGACCGTGAACGAGCAAGGGAGGAACAGTGTGCCGATTTTGATATGTGCGAGGTGCACGCGCCCCAGGATCTCGGCCGTGCCGACTCCCTTTGCGACACCGCCGTATCGTCGGTCAATTAGTCTCATGATATTGCATGACGATGCGCACTCGGGCGACATTATCGTGACCTGGGCACCGGAGTCAACAAACGCCCTCACTTTCTGCCCGTTGACCTCGACAGGAATATACAGCATCGTGACGCGGCCGAATACTATGTGGTATTACAAACGGTTAGATATATACGTAAGCCAGAACCGGTCATTGGCACGAACCTTCAGGGCTAAATTCCATCGCATTGTGCAGATTCTCCGTGACGGCATTTTGTCGAATAATCTCCTCGATCTCACGTTGTGCATCCGCGTTGAAAGGGTCGGCATTCAGCATCGCTATCCTGGCCTCTTTAGCGGCTTCGGCTTCGGCTTCGGCCTGCTGCTGGGCTCGCAGCACCTCTCTGAACATCCTAGGATCCTCCGCGGCCCCCGCCAGCTGCGGGTTCTGCTTCCGCACGCCCTCCAGCACCCGCGTGTCGCCCAGCATGTGTAGACGTAATGTTTCGGGATCCGGGAGCATCTGCTGCCTGCGTGACAGGGCCTGCTGCACCTCCCTGCTCCCTTGGGCTTGAACTCTGGGTAATTCCTCATCCGGCACCCCGATGTGCATTCCAAGCATGTCGCCTGGCACAATCCCGATTTCCGACAGGGTCTGCGCATTGGACGTGAGGAGTCGGTTGTTATGGAATAGCTTCTGGGAAATCGGCGAGACGTTTATTTCGCTCTGTATTACGGCTTTGAGGTCCGCAACCGTCATGTCTGGGCCGACATCAAGGGACAAGAGGTCGCTTGGGACCTCGACGTTGGAGGCCACAATGGAGATCGAGACTCGCCTACCAGCACAGCAACATTAGCAAAATAGGTAGCCTAGCTAGATCACACCCGCTCCCGCATAAGATCCACCTTACATTTTGGCTAAGGAGTGGCCTGGTTGGCGGATGAATTTGGTGTCAGGACTTCAGAGCTGGGCGAGGAATGAGGGGAGCAAGATGAACTTGTGAGGAGCAACGACAATGACGTGAGGGGAGGTTCGGGCGGCAAACAAAAGAGAACAGAGGAGGCTGGCAACTCTCGACGTGTCTTCTCGTCAGTCTCGGGGTCTGGGGCTGCTTTTATGCCTGTTTGTGCTCCTGCTTGCATCCGAAAAGGGAGAGCAAGCAGCCGGGAATGCCTCCCGGTCAAGGCAGCACAGCGTGCGTGGGCAGCATTCTAGACCTCTCCACAGCGCCGCAGGCGTTATGTACAAATCTACTCCGTACAGTCAAAGCTAACAAACTAACTACCCGGGGAGAACCCCATGGAATACTGAGGAACGGGCGGTTGGCATCCTTCAGTAGGATGCCCGTCCTGACCAAGTATCTAACTCTCCCATGGCCTGTCAGCCTGCCGGCGTGCAATTCGGTTGAATTCATACCGAACACCTACACGCTACGGGCACTCTGTAGATGGCAGGCGTCTCCTTGTGGCAACAGATACTTAGTTATAGCTCTTAACGCCGGCATGGAGTCATTGCCCGTCTGGTAACTCCTCTCACGGCTGGCGTTTTTGTGACGCGACAGCGACGAAATGTTGCATACGAGCCACGTTTGGATCCGACTTGGTTCACGGCTTCGGGTAAGATCCCGGCGGAACCTGGCTTCTGTTGTATCTAGCGGCGCCGGAAAGGCTCGTCCCAGCATCCCAATCAATACCCGTGCAGGGCGACGGTTCCCATTTTCCCTCCGATGCAGCACTCGCGTCCTGCTTCTCACCCTAGGCGTCGTACGGAGACACCAACAACTGCCTTGCATCCGTGGTGACTCGGCCGTTTTTGGACTGGCTGGCTGCAGCTTTGGCTGACCGGTTTCTAATCACGCTTCACACCCAGCATGGGATTGAGCTGGAGCGCTCCATTTGGTCCGGATGGCAAGATCGCCGCAGCGTTCTCCTTTCAGCAACGGGTGCATGGCACGTCCGCCATCTGACGCACCTTGCCTTTCTTGTGTGCATACTCCGTACCCTGAGTTGCGACGCTGACCGATAGTAGTTATGCGATGATCTCAAAGGGGCGTGTCGCAGATGCCCCCAGCGAATCCCCTGGGTCTTATTGGCAGCCTGACCTGTTCCGAGTCGCCGACCCGAACGCGCATCTGTTGTTGAAATTGTTGATTTCCTTCGTACTTGCCCGCCCAAGTCCTAAATAGGATATCAGCAATTCTGCAAGTCGCCTGCATCCAGATCCCAGTGTAACCAACGAGAGGCATCGCCCGGAAGCAGAGCAATGTTAATAAAAAGTCTTCATTCAACATGTCGTGGGATTTGAAAAATGCTCCCACCTCTACTAGGATGCGTTTGATACCTGGGTGCAATTCTCTCTGGTCGAGATCTTTTGACACAGATTTTCACTTGGGGACAATGGCTCTGTGGGCTAGCAGTGTCAGTGACGCATCAGGCCATTGTCCCAAAGCCTCCAGTCTGTTATATCTGATGTCTATGGTTGTTTCCTTCACAATGTTCATACCCAATACATCAGGCATCCTGCAAAATGTCCGAGGGGTGGCTTTCAATGGATCAGCAATTCCCATGTGCACCGGCTTAAATATAATGCGTGACACTGGAATGCTGGTTTAATTAGCTCAGCACACAAACATAGTTTGTAGGAACCATGGTAGGGCTTGAGATCTGGTTGTGTTAGCTCTCCATGCACCCTAATAGCCTTTCAACGCACCGCACCTCTTTGCCATTTGGGCATTCAGCTTACAACCCCCATTGCCCAAATATAGCACCCTTTGTTTAGACAATATCGAGACTGTGAAGGCCGTCCGCTGGGTTCTGCGGCCAGTATAGAGATCCCCCATCGATCGCGTGGATTCGAGCTGGCTTTGTGTCGCGCCTGCACAAACGTCATCGGCAGTTCCCTTGGCTCGCTCGCGATCAGGATTGTAGCGAACACCCACAGTCATTCCACACACAACATTACCCTAGCTAGAACGCAAGGAGGTATGCTACTTGTTTGCATCAGCCGCTGAGCCTGTGAATTTGTGCGTGTCTTTGAGGTGCTTATGCCCTCCTGGTGAATTTTACTCACAGTTCACTCTCAGATTTCTTAGGATTTTTAAACCCCATTTGGCCGAGAAGCAATCACATACTTACTTCTCAGCGCGTATTCCTTTGTTTCCACGTGCGGCCATCTTGTTCAACGCAAGCATGGCGACAGGCACTAAACCCATGGCCGATACCCGCAACGACCCTGAAGTGGACGTTGCTTCTCCTATGCGAACTATTCCTATAGTCAGCCCCACCACCAGCTCGCCATTGCAACCACTCGCAATCCATCAATCCAGGATCGCCGAACACGCCGCTATTGCTCGGGCCGAGGGGCACGCGAGTCAGTTCCTCGAAGTGGATGACGAAGACGAAGACGACGACGATGAGGATGGGTTCGTTGCTGTAGGCCACGATGATGTTGAAGACAGTTCTTGGTACTTCCGTCAGCCAACATCCGGACGCTCAAAGCTCGATGACCTCTATCCATTTGTTCAGTTGTTGTCAACTGCCGATGCAGACAATTGTGTGCGCGTTGAAGCTGCTTTTCCAGAACACGAGAGATGCTCCAAAGAGAAGGTAGGTCGGTACTGCTTGCGAAACAGGTGCTTATGGCTCATATTCAATGACTTATAAGTGCCTGGTGATTGATTTTCCCCGCCTTCACCCCGCGCTTCTTGCTAGAGAACCCCCAGGGCTTCACCAGACCCTATGTAGTTTCAATGATCCAGCGTTGCTTGATTTGAAGTATGATACCAGCAGCGCTCTAACTTCCTTAGATTCTCTATCGCCTTACAAAGTGTCCTGAGCTCTCTCTAGGCGTCTTTTCCCGCCCAAGAACCCCTCCAAACCAAGAAATCCCTCCCGCGATCCTCGTTGCTCATATCCTAGCCACGAGGACTCCCGCACTAACAGTCACTGATGCTTCTATGGGCCTTCCAGAGAACTGGAGAAATAAACGTTCAGCTGTCTCTGGTGAAGTTGATGTGGAACTCTTAGGACACCAAGATCAGGGCTCGACAATTGCAATTCACTCGCTTGCTGTTCTCCCAGAACATCAAGGAAAAGGCGTTGGGAGAACCCTGTTAAGAGCGTATATTCAACGCATCAAGGACGCGGAGATTGCTGACCGAATAGCTTTATTGTCTCACGAACACCTAATTCCATTCTACACTAGCCTTGGCTTTGTAAATCGTGGTCCTAGTCAATGCACCTTTGGTGGTGGTGGTTGGTACAGCTTGGTAAGCTCTTTGATTCTTTAGTCCAGCTTTCTGCTTATTGCTTACTGCTATCTGAACAGATCCTTGAACTCAAATAAACTACGATAAATACCCACTATGGTGATGTACATACATCTAATATTTGAGATGTGACAGTGTCGGTATTCACAGAAATGCCATAACTACATACAAAGCACATATTCTCATTGGGTAAAAGCATGGTGTTAAATGATAGGTGGGGAGGTCTAGGAATTGGCGGCAACGGACTTTTTGTTGTATTTTTATCTTTAAATACCTCCTGTGCTCTGAGATTGTTCCTAATGACCATGAACTGGAAATGATCTGAGCCGGAGGTGCTGCGATTGAACTTGTATCTTGTTTTTTCTTTTTCTCCAACTTCAAGCCAATGCTCTTTGATTATAGGTATAGTTTTTTGATGAGGCAAATACACAGGCTTATCTTAGTCTATTTCTGTTTGTATTTGTGTGTTTTTTTTGCTTTTCAGTTTAACAAACTGTTCTAGCAGTCATAGGGGTGTTGCTTAATATTTTGACATTCACGATTCTGATACTGTTAGTCAGATGCAAACAGCTGCAAACGCGGGGAATAAGTTCTCAATGCTGAGTCAGCCAAAAGTATCGGTTAAACTTTCCATATTTCCTTATCTCGGGAAAAACTACCGTATCGGGCAGCCACAACAAATTTATCAAATTTGCTGGACTCGCCGGACTTGTGAAAAGAGAGCTTCGTCCGACAGCTTCTGGGAAGCCAAACGAGCACAGCAAAGTCACAACTCGTCCTTGGCTACAATGAAGACTACGTGGAAAGATGTATGAACCGTTGCTACCTCGTTAGTGAAAAAGGCCTTTCTAATACGTTGTGCAGATCGCCCCTGTGCCGACGAGCCAGGAATTTCTCGATATCGTCCTAAGCCGCACACAAAGACGGCTGCCAACGCAGATCAGAGCTGGGTTCAAGATTAGTCGTATTCGAGGTAACTTACTCATTGGGCCCAGCCTTATCCCATCTCGGGGAAATGGCAGAGCAAGGAAGAAACGAGAAAGAAATATTTGAACGGAGACTAATTCGGCCACCTTATCGCAGCGTTCTACACCCGAAAGGTCAAATATACGCAAGAGACGTTTTGCGAGAAATTTCAGGCTATTCTAGATGGATTCCCACGGCTGCAGGACATCCATCCATTCCGTGGGTTATAACATTCCCGGGTCCTAGCGCAGCTAATTCGCTAATATCAACTTCTACGGACAGACAAGGATTTGTTAAATACTCTTTATGATGCGGATCATTTTCGGATTGCTCTCGGTCAGTTATCGACTGCAAAGCGTTTGGTCGAAACCGTTTCCCGAGACTACGTTCGCCTCATTAAATATGCCCAGTCGCTTTTCCAGTGCAAACAGCTCAAACGGGCCGGTCTTGGTCGTATGGCGACGATATGTAAGAGACTTAAGGACCCTCTAGCATATCTGGAGCAGGTTCGACAACATTTGGGCCGTTTACCTTCGATTGACCCAAACACCAGGACGCTTCTGATTTGTGGATATCCCAACGTGGGCAAGTCAAGTTTCCTGAAGAGCGTCACGAGGGCAGATGTAGACGTTCAGCCGTATGCGTTCACCACTAAAAGCTTGTTTGTCGGTCATTTCGACTACAAATATCTTCGATTTCAAGCAATCGACACACCAGGTATTTTAGATCACCCACTCGAGGAAATGAACACCATTGAAATGCAATCTATCACTGCTATTGCGCATCTGAGATCTGCTATTCTATATTTTATGGATCTTTCAGAGCAATGCGGTTACTCAGTTTCGGACCAAATCAAACTTTTTAACAGCATAAAGCCTCTATTTTCGAATAAACTGGTCTTCATTGTTATTAACAAGATTGATGTGATGCGCCCTGAAGACCTTGATCCCGCCACTAAAGAGGAGCTCGACAAGCTTCTAACAACCACAAGCGTTGAAATGCTACAACTATCGTGTACAACGACAGAAGGTGTCACTAATGTGAAGAATGCTGTGTGCGATCGATTAATAGCTGACAGAGTAGCGCAGAAGCTGAAAACTGGTACTAACACATCTGGTCCCGCAAGCGGAAGACTCGGGGATGTTCTAGCGCGTATCCATGTTGCTCAACCTTTGGGTGGTGTTCGCGAGGCTTTCATCCCAGACGCCGTGAAGCAGCTTAAAAAGTACGACAAAGACGATCCTGAAAGACGAAGACTGGAACGCGATCTCGAAATGGAGAACGGCGGCGCTGGCGTGTATAATGTTGACTTGAAGAAGAATTATAGTCTAGCTGACAGCGAATGGAATCATGATAAGATCCCTGAAGTGTGGAACGGAAAGAATGTTTACGACTTTGTGGACCCTGATATTGAAGAAAAACTTCAACAACTAGAAGAGGAGGAGGAGAAACTAGAAGCTGAAGGGTATTACGATTCCGATGAGAGCGTTGAAGATGTCGAAGAAGCAGAAATCAGAATGAAAGCAGATCTCATCCGAGAAAAGAGAGTATTGATGCGGAACGACGCGAGAATGCGGAAATCTCTCAAAAACCGTGCCCTCATCCCTCGAAGCCTAAAGTCCAAGAAATTATCTGAAATGGAATCTCATCTCGACTCCATCGGCTATGATGCCACTGCCTCTTCTTCCCGTGCTCGAGAGCCTGCTCGTGGCCGCACTGCAACCCGTAGCGAAGCAGACTTTAACGAGGATGCCATGGACATTGATGCTGGCGGTGACGCTCGCCAGGCCGCATTACAAAGAGCAAAGAGCCGCGCACGCAGCCAAGCAGCCACCAACCGCCTTGTTGATGGTGTCACGAGCGTAACGGCTAGATCTAAAGCAGACCGGTTGAAGAAATTAGGTCAGAAGAAGATGAATCGGATGGCAAGACAAGGAGAAGCCGATCGTCATACGGTGGCATCTCTGCCGAAACATTTGGTACGTTTACTTTATCTTTTGACACCTTTCGGTTTCCATAGCTTTCTAACCTTATTTGTAGTTTTCTGGCAAACGTACCGTTGGCAAGACGCAGCGCCGTTAGACGTTTTTTCCCCTGCATGTCAATGACGAAATGATTTTGATATCTATCAAATGGCGGCGTTTCTGGCGGGCTAGTGTTTCGTTTCGCTGTGGGTTATTATTTGGGCCGTTTTGGTTGATTGTGGGTTCAAAAATAGTACTTGTCCATCTGTTATTAACTTTGAGAGAAAGTCGGGGATCCAGGTTGTGCCTGATAGCCGCAATTATTAGAATACTGCATTCTATTAGCCACATCATTAAAATAATTTACAGATTCTACAGCTAAGGATCTCCAAAATATAATAAAAGGCCATGTGCTAGTAGCTAGGCAGCTGTTGGATTGTCCTTTTCCTGCTGGGAGATCAGCAAATCTATCTCCCTTTTCATTTCCATGGCCACAGAGGCCACCAATTGTGGATCCACAATGCCGTCCTGCCAGGAAAATGTAAGCACCATGCGCTCATCACTGCCAGTAACAACTGAAAGATTCACTGCACTGCCCGTGACGCTTGCGCTTTGGCTGAACACCACCTTGCCAATCTGTGGCACGTTCGAGCGGTCGTTCTCATTGATCTCGGGTACGGTGTCGGTAGTCTGTGAGGCCTGCAAGTATTTTACGCTAGGTTTAAAAACACCAAGATTGGATATTTCAAAACTAACGCTCCTCTCCCTTCCAATCATACAAGTGAGTAGTTCTCCAGGAACGTCTCGGACAAATCTCAGGAGTCCGACTTTAGTATCCCTGCCTCGCCGGCGAAGGGTCTCTTCGATTGTCTTTCTTGAACGGCGTGCTTCGTCCCAGGGAAATGAAGGAGGTTGGGCGACATGATTGCGTTTATAAAGGTCCGCATAATCCATCACCCAGACGCCTATTGAGTCGCTTGTAATAATATCGCTGGAAAGCCAGCGTCGAATGGAAATTGCGCTGGTACAAGAGAGTTTCGTAAACTCGATTGGAAGGCAGATAAATAATGCCCTTGCCAATAGGGTTTGAATTGCCCCAGTTATCGTGGTGCCTTGATCTCGACAAGATTTTCTCAAAGCCGCGCTGTCCGACTTTGATAATGTTATATGATGCACCTTGTTTTTGAGAGGCAGACTTATTTTCCCACCTGCCCATAGTTCAGGATCTGGGCGATTCCAAATTTTGGTGTAAAAAATTGCTTTTAGAATATAAAAAATAGAGACTGGAAACGGGTGAATGGATTCAAGGCTTGGGAGAAGTGGCAGACTCGGAGACTGAATAATGGTTTTCGGTTCACCAGAATTTACAGCCAAAGCATCAGTAAAGGCCCCAAGGAATGTCGAATGGAATGCCGTGCCTGACGATCCATCTCCAATGGAATGATGGTAAACGAACACAGAGATGAAGTCCTGCTCGGTAGTAGATGTGGAGATAATGTGAAGTCTCCAAAATGGCAACCAATTGACAAAGGGAGTATTATGCTCAGTCTCTAAGAATAAATCAAGGTTGGAATCACCTGATCCGACATTTCCCTCCTGGTCACACTTGTCAGTGCTGCCGGGAGATGCATCGCTCCAATCGTGAAAGAAAATCGACTGTTCCAAGTCGACTGCTGGAAGACGGACAAAATACGGGTCATTGGTATCTTCCCCTACAGGGACCGCGGAGAGGATAGGGTGCTTTCCAATGAGTTGTTCTGTGGCCTGATAGACATACTCCCGCAGCGGCCGGCTGAGGCTATGTGGGATTTTGTATACTGCAGAAACTGCGACATTGTAGTAATATCCAAGGTGGTGACGAATATTCGAATATTTTTCCAAGGGGCCTAGCGCTCATTATTAGCATATGTGGAGAGCATTCATGGAGTCGTGTGAGCTACTTGCCGGCTGAGCGGAGCTTCTCCAGCTTCAGCAGTGCTGCTGATGATCCTACAACCGTAGCCATTGCGTCCGCTTGGGTTTCAACGTTCTAGGGGCTATTATTCTGTTGCTGATAAGGAATGAGGAGGCTAGGACCTGAGGTTTTTAGGCAGACTAATTTGCTTAGTGCCCATATACCAAGCACACCAAGCTCTGGTACGAGCCACCTTTGTAGCAAAGACATGACATGGTAGTGGCGCTTTCCGAAGCTCCACGTCCATCTTCAGCCTCCGGATCCGTCTTAACAATACCGCGAGGGGCGATGGGAGCGACAATGGCGCTGCCTTTTGCAGGATCAGAGCCTCTTGGCGTTGGATGGGAACGGTGTACGATAGCGCTAGTCCTAATTAGGATGCAGAATGGCCTTGGCGCCAAGTTGGGACTCCATGTGACTTCTTCCGTCACCGCCAAGACACTTTCGGTGCCCCGACTTCCAGCCGCCGTCACCAGAGATACAACTCCATCGTTGCTGTTGTACTCCGTACTTTGTCCATTTACAACGTCGAACCAGCTGCAAGCTCTCCTCCCTCAGAATGAAGATTACCTCCACGGCTACTTTGATTTCCCTCCTCTTCTCGTCGGCTGCTTTGGCTGCCCCTTCACTCTCTCTATGGAACGAACAGTCACCGATCCAACTAAATAAAGAACTTTCAGTTCCTGGAGAAAATCCGTTGACATACTGCTCTGCTCCAGACCAGAATATTTTGACGATTGAGCGAGTGGATTTATTCCCAAATCCCCCTTTGGCGTAAGCATCAAACATCGATCCCAGCCTTTTTAACGTTTTCTAACAAGTTGCTGGGAACAGGGGCAAAACTCTCACAATCAAGGCCACTGGAACTTTTTCCAAACAAGTTGAAGAGGGTGCTAAAGTTCTACTCCAAGTGAAATATGGCCTGATCCGATTGATCAACCAAACCGCAGACCTATGTGAACAGATTGAAAACGTTGACCTGCACTGCCCTCTCGAGAAAGGCAAGATGGTATTCACAAAGGATATTGAGCTGCCAAAGACTATCCCAGCAGTTCGTACTCTCTTCGAATGCAATAATAACAGCCACGACTGACAATGCTCCTAGGGGAAATATACCGTAAATGCCGACGTTATCACCAAAGACGGTGAAAAGGTAACCTGTCTCGAGGCTGCCGTTACCTTCGACTTGATGATCTGAGCCAGGCCTTGCTCCTTTGTGTGGAGCAACCACAGACTTGATGAATGATGCGCCACAGGTTCTGGATTACGATCACATATTCTTTGCTCAGCCGTATGAAACATTTGACTTTTTGACACTTCATTGAGGGCGTGCTAATGATTATTTACTTTTGATGGATATGCTCTGTTGGTGTTGCAGTACTAGGTTAATCAACTATGCACGACAATGAGGCGCACTGGGACTGGCTTTATATCTATTGTTTCTTGTTTCGGACTTAATTTCTGGCCTGCTTAAGTGTTCAGTTTGTTGAAAGTGCGCTTTTATGTTTGTAGAATAATAGAGCCACACATTTTGAAATCCTTGTTTTCATCTGAAGACGATATTATTGACTGCTGGCTAAACCCGTCTGCTGGCTAAGTCGTCCAGGGGATGAGTAGTGTCTTCCCATGTCAAATACATTTCATCATTCTAGAAGTCGGCGATTAGGGGAGGCCTCGGCGAGAATCCATTGGTAGGGAGACTCATTCCTACCCACGACCTGCCCTTCGAAATGTCTCTAATAAAGGGTTTCCCCTTTACTCTCCGAATAATCTTCTCACACGCCGCAGTACACTGTCCTTCTCTGGGTCATAAGGATGGTCTTTACTTGGAATCTCCAGAACCGCCGGGAAGGCTTCCGTGAAGTTATCAACGCTGTTTCTTATTCGCTCCGCAATCTACGGGACGATCCATATTAGCCTTGACCACTCCAAAGTAAACCATAGCGCATTACATGTTGATTTATCAGTACGACTCCAATATCCTTTCTCTCTTTAGTGAAATTGTGAAACGCTTTCTCAATTGCAGATGTTTCAGTTTTCGAATCTACCACAAGGAAATTTCGCTGGGAGTCTGGGGGATCGGTCACATGCTGTCTATCTATCAGTTCATTACCGGGTATAATTTAGAATGAGGAGTGCGGGCATTGCGTACGCCGATGCCAGCAAGTAGTAACCCGGTCACGGAACTGGAGTAATGCTTCAGGTATAAGCATACAGTCTTCTAACAGAGAGCTGAGCGGAGGATATATACTCTTCATCGCCTATGACAGCTAAGAATTGGCGCTCCTAGCATAGGGATAATGTGTTACTACTCAATTTTTGATTAGGTAGGGCAGACGCTATACCTTCGATGCGTTAGGAGCGGAGGCCATTCTTAGTATGTCTGCTAAATTCGTCCCGTGAAGTAGAGTATCAAATAGCTGTCCTGTTAGCCAAAGACGGTTTAACAAGGGTATTATTGTTAAGATAGGCCCTCTTCATCCGCGGCCTGAATGATGACACAACATCAAACGAAATGGCCCGTGCGTCGCTTAGTAATCATGTTGACCCTAAGCTGCGGCTCTGGAAGTGGAACAACATGAATCCTCTCAAGGTTTGTTTGTTTACTTTGATTCTTTGATTCCAGATTGCGGTCAAGAGGGAAATGCGAACATTCAAGCTGGTCGCAGCATAGGTGCTGTGGACTTTGATACACAAGGGTTGTCATAGGCTCTAAAAATTATCTCCAAGATGCCACGTTTAGTTCGACGCCGGCCGTTTCTTGAACGATTAAAAACATACCTGAACCCGCTTGATTTCCTGTTATGGCTATCCGAAGAATTTGACTCAAATGACTGGGAACGACTGGAAAAAGAATGGGCTATTCCTCTCGGCGTCGGGGTCAATATCGTCTTCCTTATTGCGCGCGCAAATAGTCGCAATCGCAGCAAAGCGTACGATGATGTATTTGGGGAAGCTGGCGGCATAAGCTACTTGACCTGGCTGGTAACTTGTTCCTGCTCTCAGTCGATGATCGAAAACCTGTGCTGATCTTTGGATATTTTTTTGCGACTTTAGGCTTCCTTTATAGTGCACTTTCTCGCCCTCCTATCTGTTGTCAATACGGTTTACACATTTAGTCGGAAACGTAATTATCGATTATTCGAAGCGCCGATTGACAATGTACCCACTACGCCTTCAGCACAACGAGTTCATGTTAATTCATCACCAAGCACTTCTTCTCCCTTCCGCCTCTTATCCAACGTATTCTCTTCTAGTTCTGCAGAAAGCCGGTCCCATCCTCGACCGGAGCGAGATGTGTGGCAGGTTGGAGTCTGGGATCCTCATCCTTTGGCCATTAGGCTATTCTGTCTGTTCAGCCCAGGACATGTGCTCGTGTATTGGCTTTTCCTCCCGACACTGCCATCCGACCCACGACCTAGTGTCACGATCGTGACAACCATCTTTCTTACCACTCTCCTAAGTATCCAGATGTCCACGCTAGCGTCTTTATACACGCAGCAGTCCAAGGATGCCATGCTAGTTCACAAGGAGGTCCTAAATGAATATGACGTAAAATACGTTCATCCTCGAACCCAGCCTTTGATGCGTAATGTCGGGACACAGTTCAACACCGCTGATTCCTACCAATCTCACAAAGATGACAAATATAATACTGTTGAAACTTATACTCCCATCGTGATGCGCCATGGTTTCAAGACAAATCCTAACCCGAACTATATGCGTCATATTGACCCTGAACGCTCCTCAGAGGCACACAGCACACCCCGCAGCCCGTCGTTTTTCACACCAATGACATCTCGACCTGATCCAGTACGAGTGTCAAGTGTGCAAACTCCAAACTACGGCGCAGACTCCCCAATCGTGTCTCAAAGCGCTATAAAACAGCCCAAATTTTATCCGTCCCCCAGCAGAGGTGATGGCGGTAGTTTGGGAATATACACGCATGCCCAATCTCCACTACGAAAAGCCGCATCAACGCATTTTGACCAGCGTCGCGGCATTCGTCAGTCTAGTGATTATGATAAAAGAGAGGCTATGCAAGGCCCTACAAAAAGACCAAGCAGTCCTCTTAAAAGAACAAGTGTTCCTGGAGGGTTGAGCACATCTATCGCTGCCCAAAGATGGGGACATCTCGCCAATAGTGGCCGAGGAAGAAGGGATAGTGACAGATTTTGATAGTTTTTAAAGGTTACGTTACTAAAGGCAATGGTTATTTAAACTGTTTTCTTCGCAATGTTTTAGTATGATAACCAAGCATCAAGTGGGCTCTGCGACTGCATTTACGGTGTTTTGGGCTTGTATGTTAATTTCCATCGACTAACGAGTTGATTTTGATAAAATAGGAGCTCTGTTTTTACTCCTATTGGCTTTTCTCCTATTGGCTTTTCTTTTACTATACCCGTTGTATCTCTCGTGAGATACTAAATCCCAGCTTTGGGTAGCTCTTTCCCGCCCGGCCGGTGGAACTGAGTTTGCCTCCCAATAAATATTTCATTCGCCCTCGTCTTTATTGCCTTGCGCTGGTTAGGGGCGATTAAGTTCTTCTAATCCGTTCGTTTAACGATACCAGTCGAATTTTTACTGCTACAACTATTTTTAACGTTTTTACACTCTCTTGGAATGCCAGATCATCCCGCCCGTACTTACTCTTCCACTTCGAGCTTCTCTCCCATCCCTCCAACTGAACTGCGTAAACTATCAGCGCCTGGACACAAAGAACGCCGGCGACCTTTATCTTGGTCAGAACGTATCAGAAATTCGTTATTTTATCAGCCAGATGCGACAAGCAGATGGAGATCCCGAAGCCGTGGAGAAGGCGAACGACTGGGTCAAGCCACGATGCTACCGGTGCAGGGCTTTAACAAAGGGGAAAGCTTAGCTGATATCGGGGAAATTCCGCAAGCACAACGAAAGCAGCAAATAAGTGAAGCCGGAACGGTAAAAATGCCACTCAGGGCTGATACTATCCGGGAAGCAGATGCTCCTCCACCAGTTCCTGGCGCTCAGGTTGGTCATAGTCGCAAACGCACTGTGAGCCATGAGGATTATTTGACGGGCCGCGGGGCAAATCCAAGGACCGGCATCATCAGTCCAAGTATATCAAGCAGTAGCAATACATCAGATGACCATCTCTCACACAGGGAATTATTAAATCACTGGAATACCCAAATGAGCAAGAAGTGGCGGCTAAAGGGCGACCAGTGGATAAGTTTGGGCAAAGATGAGAAAACGCCATTGCCTTCCCCATCTTCTAAGAAATCAAGCATTGATCCGGATATTGATGCTGAAGAAAAGGTGCGATCGTACATTCGACGTTTCCACCGGCGTGGTGTCCCGCTTTCTCAAGTTGAAGATCGATTTGTCGTCCACATGCCGTCCGCCAGGGAGCCTTGCCCGCCCACCATGACTGGCGAGCAAATCCTAGAGTTTCAAAAGGCAATTGATAAGCTCTACAAGAACGGCGAGTGCACCTTGGATTCAATTTCCTTGCTTCCTCCACAACCTAACCAAGAAGGCCAAAGATCTCCAGGTAAAAAACTGTCAAAGAGGAGGCTTCATAAATTACAGCCAACGATAAAGGACGAAATGCACAGTGTTACCGAGAGAGATCATCATGTAGATGCATTCGATGGGCGCAATCCTTTTTTAGGGGTTGCGGCGAAGGGTACAGAACTTCAAGAACCAGACGAGCCACGCTACCCTTCGCCTCTGTGGATGACCACCCTACCGATCCAAAGGAAACCTGTACAGAATCAGTATTGGTCAACGGGGACAATGCAAATGGAAAGTGTGGTGCTGGCGCAACATGCTCATCTCACCACCTTTCCAAAGGAGTTGCTGAAGAAAGGAGAAATAGCAGATGTCCCAGCAGCCAAGGCTTGCCCCCAACTCAACCAGGGAGCTGCATCCACTACCACTACCACTATGCCCCAAATGCTCCAGTTCCCAACCCTGAATCGCAACAGAGTCGAGGACGCAAACCTAAACGCGGCTCTAAGTCTCGCAAAAGAGAGGAGACAGCTTTGTGCATCTGTTTCCCCTATTTCTCTGAATCTCAACGCAAATATCGGAAACGTCGATTGCGTGAAAGACAACAAGCACAATATGGAAAGCAACGGTTGGAACCCGACAATAGGCATACAAGCATCCGAGCCTATCCATCCGCTCACGGACAGCAACCATGGCAGTGACTTAAGAAACTCTTCCTTTTTCCACTCTCAAATGCAATTTTCTTGCATCCAGTGGCGCCCTAATTGTTCGATTGGAAGCAGCATCTTTCCACGGCCCCGTGAGCGTCATCTGAACACTCCTACTCCAAAAATCATACAACAGTGGATTAATCTTTTCTCCTTCGTCCTAGCTTTATATCTTATCCGAGCAGTCTTCATTTTTATTGTTTCTTTTGGAACCTACACGAGCCGTTGACCCAGCCAATCCTACGATTCTGTGGGTACGCCAGCTGTATCTTCTTCTTGTACCATTGGATATTTTATGCTAGCAAACACAAACGCAGTGTAGCAGCTGGTCCTTGAACCCGTCTTGGGGGGGGGGGAGGAACTTGCCCGAACTTATCATTGTTGAATAAAATTCAATACCCGCGTATTAACAAATGTGGTTCTTTAAAAGTCAACCAAGTACCATGTAAGAAATCTCCCGGGCACTAGTTAACTATACGGGAAAACCCCGAATAGAAACATAAAGGCACCAAAGCCGTAAAAATAGGCTAAAGAAAGGAAGTCAACCAACCCCATCTAAGAAGAAACAATGCCCAAGTCAAAACCCAGATCGCCATCGCTTAATGAATAATCATGTTGAAGATTCGTTTCATCGCCCCCGGTTCGTATCTATTCATCCCATCCGTGTGTTAAAAAATAGAAGAAGAGCGCCGTTTGATGAAGTAATCGACGTTTTTGTTGAAAATTAAATAATATGAAGTGTTGAAAGTTTCATTTGCCATAATCGGCATTCATGAGGCCATTTTTGGTAGCAAACCGCTGATTGAAAGCCTCCCAGGTAGTAAGTGTGGTTTAGGGGAAATGGATAAAGTGAAGCCACGTAGAATTAAAACCAAGTTCCGGCTGTTTTTTTGAGGTAATATGGAAGGATAGATATAAGCCACGGCTTCTCGAAAAGCTGTGAGACAGATAAGAAGGCAAGGAAATTCGGATCGGTCGAGAAATTTGCCAGTAGTAACTCGGCTAGCAAGACCAAGAATACCTTGAATGAATTAGTTGGAACTCCCACTAGCTATCGTGGGGATCTCCTTCGTCTGCCCAAAGTCGGTATCTTGGGATTGCTCTGGGCTTTCATTGGGCGATTGGCTGACAGGCTCCGTGCTTCCCGTTGCCTCGACGTCAAGACCGTCTACAACAAGATCACTAAATAGATTAAAGATATCGTGTGTTTTGTGGAAATCGTTGTTAACTGTGAAGTATTAGCATTTGACCATAGACTGTGGATGATATATTGCTATCTTACCAATATTAATAAGGTACCACTCATCCATGACACCCTGAATTAACTGTCTGCTTGGGCTACTGGCGCTATGGCATTTCGCCCAATCATCACCAAGACGATACGCCTCATCTTTCCATGCGAGAAAACTGACGGTCTCGACAATAGTAGGTTGAATGACCTCCTTGGAGGCAAAAATACCCCAAGTCACGGCGTTTGGACTATCACTGGTATTAGTCCTTAGTTCCCCCTTTTTGTTGATTGCATAGTAGGTAAGATCTTCGTTCATTCCAATACGCGAGATTACTTCTTCAATCAACTCTGGATGAATAAGCAGCTCAAGGTATGCCTTTTGATAAACGTAACCGTTCTTAGGCCCCCATCCATATACAGGGTGCGACGATGGTGAACCATTGACAGCTGGCTGAGAGTTGATGGTGAGAAATCCTCTGTTATTAAGATCAATTAGATCTGCCTTAATGACGTCCGTTTCGTCTGTGACAGAGCCCTCACTCCAGGGCAGTCTGTCAAGTTTGTTTTCCAGGAATCGAATGAAAATGTCAGATAAATCTCTGATAGATTTTGGTTGCCCCCAAAGCTGAATATTCTGTTCATTGGACCCCTTTAGGCCAATGCCGTAGGCATCAAGTTCACCAAATGCAGGAGACCGTGAATCGGTCCAACGGCCGTTGGGAAATTCGTCCCAAATTTGGGTACGAGCAACATATGATTGATGCCGATGTCTCCAGAAAATTGGACGAACATCTTCCTCTCGTCGACCGAGGCCCAACGATTGACGCCAAGGGAGAGGTTTCTGCAGCGGTGTTTCGTTTGATGGGGCTAAATTCAGCTCCTCAAGAACCATCATTGTGGCTTGTGCGAGATTCATTGTGTAACTAAACAGCCCAAAGTGTTAGTGAGGAAAAGAAAGGTTTAAAAAAAGCGCCTTACAAATGCAGGTGATAGATTCCAGATTCGATAAGCTTTTTGCACATATCGGCAATGAGCCTTTTTCCAACCTGTTTCACGGCAGCGTCGTCATTTTTGACAGGCTCCAGTGCTTCCATCCATGAAGGTGGAACATGGCACTTGACCCAATTAGATCTTCTTAGGAATGACGCATAAGTAGAGATAGGCATGATTCCGGGCAGAATGGGAACCTTGATGCCGTTTTCTCGGCACCTCCGGACCCAATCGATAAAAATGTCAGCGTCGTAGAACATTTGTGTGATGATAAAAGTGCCACCAGCCTCGACTTTCTCCTTTAAATGCGCCATCAAAATCACGGGGTCCTCTTGGTCTTCGCACCCCTCTGGATAACCTGCGACTCCAATATCAAAATGATTCCCATATTTCTCCCGAATATATTTCACAAGATCCTTCGCATAGCGGAATCCACCCTCTGTAGGAGCCCAAGACTCTTTTTCTCGGGGAGGATCACCACGAAGCGCCAAAATGTTGGTGCAGCCAGCCTTAAACGCAGACTGCAAGGCCGAATCGACTTTTTCACGTGGCATATCGGTACAAGTCAGGTGCATACATGTTTCAAGGCCATAGACAGACTGTGAGGTATTGACCATTTCGCATGTCAAGTCAGATAACCGACCTCCAGCTCCCCAAGTTATGTCTATGAACGCAGGTCCAAGCCCATGCATGCGGTCCATGCGGTCGTACAGATTCTGTACACCCTGAGCGGTTTTGGGTGGGAAGAACTCAAAGGATATACTTGGGCGGCCAGAGGCCTCCGAATGGGCCAGCTTTTCCTTGATATGCATGGTAGGTTATCTATAGGGCAAAGGTTAGAGACTAGAATTCGTAGAGAGAAGAAAACTGGCATGGAAAAGCATTGCTATTCAAGGAAGAAAATCGTTACGAGAAGTAGCGATAATGCCATGGTGTACCATTGCCTTCCACTCACAAAAAGGGAAGTTTATTGGAAAGAGTGAATCAAGGAAAAAACGCACCTTTTCCTCCACACGACGGAGTGACACGTCAATGGATCGCACGAACCCTCAAGCTGCACTGGAAGTCTCTTCAAACTCGGTATTTGATCGAATTTTCAATTGCACGAGCACACTCGCACTCTTCATCCAAAGTATCTCTTACGGGCCCACCGGTCTGCAAGCTCCCGCGACATATACGACGGATCAGCAGGCAGAAAAATCCAAAGGGACAGCAGTCGAAGGAAAGATAAATAAAGAACCGGCTGTTCGTACGCTGAAGAGGTTTGCTTGCTCTGGATGCCGCGAGTGGTGAGACCGGTGTCGGAGCTGGTGAAAGGCAGACCAGGCGACCTGGAACAGTCAGCGGAAGGGCTCAACGCCAATTATGCGAGGACGCTCGCCCAACACCAGACCTGGCACTTACAGCAGAAGAAAGAAGGCTTTCCGGGCGCGGTGGCTGGGGGACAGAGATGGAAGAGGTGAAGTGCAGAGAAAGCGGACGATCAGATGGAGAGTGAAGGTCGCCGGTGGGCTGGTTGGGTTTGCAACGAAAAAGTCTCCGGCACACCCAACAGATGCTCGCTCGCTCTATCTATCAACCAACAACTAGTTACGCGGCTCCTCGTCAGCCCGTACGGCGCCCTGACGCGTGCGAATAACCAACCAACTAACTAGTTAACTATCAGGTCTTCAGCGAATGTCTAGCACTACGTCCACGGCTCCCTAGATACATGAGTGACTGCCTCGTGGGCCGTGATGGATGGAAGAGTTTCCAACCGGTGTCCAAGCTACAGTTACCCACCTATTCTACGGAGTACCGATATCAGACCTATCTTTCCGAGGAAATCCAGGAGTATGAGGGGTAGGGTGAGATCCCTGCGTTCTCCGTAGATATCCCATTGGGCGTCAAGAACTTCTGCAGATCATTGTTCTCAGGGCACTTAGCCCCTGGCGGACGCTTGGTCACGGTGCGCTGTTGGCCGGCGGTCCCGCATTTTCCACTCAGATGAGAGTTATGCTGGTTTCTGCTGGATAGTCCACGCGAGCCTTTGGTTGGAAACTAAATCGGGTTTGTCCAGGATGGCCCAGCCCTTGTCAGCAGTTGACACCAGGATAGAATCGATTTACCCCAATGCGTACTGAAGGCTCAACTCCTAGGATCATGAAGAAGATAGGAATTGTGGGACTAGCAGCAATTTCAAGAGTTCCTGCAAGCTTTGGAAGACGCTTCGAATAATGCTGAGAGGTGCATCTTCGATGGCCTCTAAATATTCCGGATCTTGGAGCATCACGAATAACAAGTAGAGGTCGCCCAGCTGTAAGCCTAGTTAGTTTACAGCTTCCTTGAAGCCCCATGAGAGGTGATTGATACCAGGCAGGACCCAAAATATTGAAGTCCGCAGTTTATTCGTTTCAGCGGTTTTCGGAACAGAATACCGCCAAGGGAACTGATGAGGGGCAGAGTAGTTAACGTAGTATGTAAAGCGTTGGCGGTTGGACTGGTTGCGGATCCTATGATAAGCTGGCCGGGAAATTCACCCGCCACGGAACGGTTGGCACAGAGTATTAAGACTCGTATGCTATATTGATAGAGATTGAAGGCCTCTTCTCGTTGATACATACTCGCATGAACCAACCCCGCCATCCACATGAGCTTATGTACTAGTTAGTTAGTTAACTAACTAACTAGTTAACTAACTAGTTAACTAGTTAACTACCTACCCCGCGTCTGCCGCAAAAAAAAAATTCACCACCCAAGCCATCGTTCCAGCGCTTCCACGCCTCCCTGCAACTCTCCAGGCCCTCAATCCGCCATGGCCGCCTCCACTGACTACAAGACGAAGCTCCTCTCTCACCTCATATCCAACAACGTCCTCTCCTTCGGCTCCTACACCCTCAAATCCGGCCGAAACTCTCCCTATTTCTTCACCACCACCCTCCTCCACACCGCGCCGCTCCTGCACGCAACGGCCTCGGCATGCGCAACCGTGCTATCCTCGCCGCCTTTCGTAAATGCCTCAGATGACAGTGCATCGCTGCAGCCCAAATTCGACATCATTTTTGGGCCTGCGTACAAGGGTATTCCCCTGTGCACCGCCGTGTTGAATGAACTGGGCGTCCGGGATACCACCGGCGCCTGGGCTAATGTCAGTTATTCGTTTAATCGAAAAGAGGCCAAGGCGCACGGGGAGGGTGGAAATATAGTCGGTGCACCCTTGAAAGGGAAGCGCATCGTGATAATCGATGACGTTATTACAGCCGGCACGGCATTGAGGGAGGCTGTGAGTATTATCGAGAAAGAGGGCGGTATTGTTGTCGGGGTTTTGGTGCTACTAGATCGAGAGGAAAGAGTCAATGATAATGAGAAAAATAGCGCTGTTGGCTGTGCTCAGAGGGATCTGGGTGATAACGTACCTGTAAGGGCTGTCCTAGGATTAAGCGATATAATTGAAAAACTAGGGAATGATATTGGGGAAGAGAATCTAAAACGGCTGAAAGAATATCGGGCACAATATGGAGCGGAATAATAGAACAAAATGCAGTGATATCGTACCTGAATCACCGAATATTTAGCTAATATAATTGCAGCTATGCATACATTCTACCAGCATCGAACCCACTGGCCAATTCAAACCACTTCCATAAATTCTGACGTGTATGGATAAAAGCATCGCCAATTCTAAATATGCACGTCCCCAAAACGATCATGTCAAGCTAATGCGAATGCGTTTCTTCAAGGCTTGCTCAACTGCTCTCGTCGAAAGAACACAAAGAAAAGCAAACTGGTAATGAAATGTCAGCGCTCTGGAAATTGAAAAGAGGCAACAGTGACTCACGGAATCATGCACTGTGCGAATAGTGCCACCCAGAACCATGGAGTCGCCAGCACCTTCACCCCTCCAGAGATATTGGGGTGCACAGTTCCAGGGCCTGTGTTATTCGGCCCAAGTGCACGGCCACAGATAGTAGCGATGGACCCAATGACTTGTGCAGCCAGGAGGGTGAAACAAACGTGGACACGGGTCAGTGTGTGGAGGAGAACTGTTCCCAAACCAACACCTTGCGCCGAATCCAAGACACCGAGCCAAAGCCACAGGCATCGAGATATAAGAGCTCCTGATGTGTAGCTCCCTGCCCAGGGCAGAAATTGTCCTATGCCACTCGTTCCCCACCATATCTGGGCCCATCTCGGAGATCCTTGAGACGGCAATGGTTAGTTAGCTACATATAAGCCATTAGTATACCATAGGAATGGCTCACCAAGACCCATTGAGAACACGGGTAATACCCAAGTATGAAATTGGGACATTCTTTTCAATATAGCTAAGAAATGTTAGTTAATTATCCTTGTCAGTGTAACGTCAATAGATACGCACTGAGCATATAACCCCAAATAAAAATAAAAAAGAGAAGGACAAGCAACAATATTTGCCACGACTCCGCGTGTTTTGAACTCCAAAGGACTGATTCAAATTAGCAACACGCACTATATCCTGAAGAAGACGACACATACAGCTCCAATTACGACCGTATGGTGCACTGAGGAAGAAGTTCTGGAGGAAAATAGACAAAAGGAAAGATAAAACTATGTTGCGGCGTAAAATTGACATATAAAATGAAGGCACTTTAGACCGAGGTCGGCGATAACAGTCCGGCACCCCCTGGTAGATTATAAGGCCGATCAGCCAAAAGAATCCGGCGAACGGGAACGAGACAGAACTGCCCATGACAATTAGCACTATGGCATCTGATAACACGCGTTAGATACCAAACTCACTGAATTTGCCATGATCCAAGGATCCCATCATTCTGCCCTTTAGAAATACCCTTTAACATAATGCTGCCCCAGTACCAAAGAAAAACAATAAACAGCTGTTGTGTGCCCTGAATTGTACAGGAGCGAAATACCCAATCCTTCACTGAAGCGTCTCCTTCGTCTCCGAAATTCAGAGCGAAAAACACAGATCCACTAGCAGCAGCAAAGGTATAACATCCAGCTCCAACATTCTGGAGCCACCGAGCTGTTATCTCGGTATGAACGAGTTGAGCTGCTCCAATGAACAGAAAGGACATTCCGTAAAAGAAAAAAGGAACGGAAAGTGAAATAACGGACTTGTAAAGGCGGAATGTCAGCCACCACGCAAGGGAACCAAAAAGGTACACCGTTGCAACAGCGTACAGCTTTTCTCCAGATTGGCCAATTTCACCGGTTATCAAGGTGATTTGATAGGAATTTGCGGCGATTACCTGGCCAAAGGCAAGCACAAATGAATAAAGAGGCCAATCTCCACATCGCATCATCATCAATCGTTTAAACCATTGATTAGACAGTGGTCTGTCAACAAACGAATGGCCCTTCTCCTGGTCTTCGGGCATCTCGGGCCTCAGAGTCTCGTCCAAAGAGTATACTGAAGACGTGCTAGGCCCAGGTGTTTCTCTTCCCTTTGGCATAGTAGCGCACTGGTTACCCTCTAGTTGAGCTTCCCTAATGCGACCAAACCACTCCTTTTTGCATTCAATTAAGAAGTCCTCAATGCAGAGTGAAGTGTAGGAGGTGCGGCCATTTAAGTTCGTAAGCCTCCTTACGAATCTTTCTGTAAACTCTCCTGTTTCATCGTTGAAACAAGGGTCTACTTGTTGTAGGTGAAAGTCCTTCTTCTTTCCCACCAGTGAGTCCCAAGATAGTGGAAGACAATGAATTGGTAGGCCAGAATTTTCAACCGGCGCAATGAAAAACCCATCGCTGCGTTGAGCATCTAGTAATGCCTCACAACTCCTCCTACTAATTTGGTCTCCTAGGAGTACCTCTTTCTTAGGAGCTTCAAGACGAGGCGAAGAGGTATTCTCCTTATGAATTCGGATAGTTTCCCTCTGTAAGATTTCCAGTCCTTGAACCCATTGAGAAACTGGAAATCTCTGCTTGGTTGCCACAGAACGCATTTGAGCACGCACTCCGGGACTAGTGGCCAATGCCATTTCAATCGACCGCCTGAATTGATATAGTAAGTGGCGGGTGGATGTTGACTGGACAGAATACCACCATCCTGGCATTTGACCAAGGCCGCCGACTTTGGCACCCACTCCCAAGACGCCTTTCCGACCAAACTCTACTGCAACCAGACCAAATGGCTCGTCTCTAGAAGGAATGACTGCAAAATCGGCCCCAGATTGGACGCAGCTCGGAATCTGTGTGAATTTTGGTCGGGAATACACCCGGTTCGGATACATTTCCATCAGCTTATGAAGTTTCAGGGCAGCAAGACGTCCATAAAGATCAATTATCGGACCAACACAGATAAGTTGAACGTTTTTCCGCTTTTCCAGTAGTCCCGTAAAGGTATCCGCAATTAAGTCAATTCCTTTCTGTGTAGACCATCGGCCAACGAAAACAAACAATTCAGCATTGGAGTCCTGATCAAGGCCCGCCCACCTTTGACACTCCAGTTTTTCTTTGGCCCTACAAGCCTCAAAGTTGGGATCCACACTGATTGTAGAAATATCAAGATCCGATGCTTCAGCGTCCTCTATATCTTGAGGATCGGGGTTAGGGAGACCTCCAATCTTACTCAGGCCCCAGAATATAGGGTATCTTTTATAGGTTCGTTTCGCGTATTTATCAGAAACACCAACCGCACCAAAGCCATTCTGATGAATCCGAAGGTAGCTAGCTGCGGCATGTAACAAATTGAAAACTTCTCCAAACTGAATGTATGTTCGAGCGATTTGCTCCGACAAGTTAAACACCCCGCACAATTCTTCCATGTCGTGCTTACTTCGAATCGCCCAGTGGCCTTGAAATCCAGCATTATGAAGTGATAAGCACACAGGAATGGTGTTCGGAAGTAGATATAATGGAGCAAGGGCACCATGATAGTCATTTATATGGTATATATCAATGTCGAATCTCTTTATCACATGGGCGATGCATTGATTCCAGGCGGAGTAATATATAGCGCTATCAAGATCGTCCATTCGTGGGGGATACGGTTGACTCTTCGATTGCTGTCGAAAAATAGGGGCATCAAAAAGAACGTACGTAATATTCCCAAGGGTATGATACTGGACCTTGACGTTGCAATCCTTTTCAAGAAGCTTAATCGTGATAGGCGTTGCCTGTTGATGGACTGGATAATCCACGCCGGAAACACAAGGAGCGACCCATATTAGGTCAAGGTGCTTCAGGTGTCTCCCCATAAGATTGGCAATCACCCCAAGCCCTCCGATTTTTATTTTGATATTCCAGTCCTCAATATCATACTCCATTGTAGCGATAAGAACTTTTCGTCGATCATTGAATTTGGGATCGGGCACGCCATGAGATGGAAAAAAAGTCAAATTTACCCCCAACTTTGTCGCCAAATTCGGGATACCCTTAATTTCCTTGACTATCCTTTTGATCCCAAGCGTAGAGATTAAGGCCATGATGGATGACTTGCTGTTGATATCGCTAACCCCAGTGGTGTTAGTAGTGACATAGCAGTAAGACCACTTGAACGCAAAAACGGCAGTAAAGCCTAACACCAAGGGCATAAATAGCAGAAGAAAAAATAGAGCCATCTGCGGATACATTGATCCAACCGGGAGTAATTGGAAACGAAGAGTACCATCGTCCAAGGTAAATTCCCAACATAAGTACGGGGATGGAGGACGTTCTGTGATATTAACCACCGGGAGCTTCAAGGACGAAGGAGACGAACGATCCAGAACAGAGTCAGCATTCGAATCCCCAAACACGAAACTCTTATCTATTTTCCCATCGGGGTTTACCCCCCAAACATTCACATGGGCTATTGCAGGCCATTCAGTCATGAATCGTATAGTCCATTTTCCGTTATCTTTGAGCTCCACGACATTTTCCAGCCCAGCATCATAGCCAAATTGGTTATAAGGCCCGTTCCAAAACATGTGTGGAAAGCGTCGAGGAGGACGTTTTATGCTCCAACCAATATCACCATGTTGAACATGGGAACTACTTCCTGCCAACCGGCTCCAATACTCAACAATGATGTGTTCTCCTTCCCATTCTTGGGCTTTAGTGCCAGTCCACTGCAGTGGTTCGATTGTATCATTGCCGCCTGTATAAGGAATCCATTGCGACCAGCTAGACCCCCAATTTGTAGAATACCGAAAAGAATCAGCGCCAGCAGCGTGATGACTTACATATAAGTCGTTATTTTGATGGCGGTGAAATAAAGTGCGAGAATAGTTTGCAGCACGCGTAAATACCATTGGGTTCTCCGGCTGTCCAACCCGAAAGAGGAGTTGATCTAAAACATTCGTGTTTCGACTCCCATCTTTAGCCGTTGCATTGTGAATACTGAGTCGATGAATACCATTGTAGACTCCATTTAGCTTTGCAGACCATTTCCAAGTTCCAGGTAATTCTCCGCAATATTTTGTCATAGTCGGTTGGATAGAACTACACTGTACGCTTCCAGCGTCAATTTTTGGTGTTTTCCCACTGTTTGTTCTTGATACAATAGATATACCACGAGTGACACTATTGCAATCCATTTCCTCTGAAAACTGGAGGCTCACAAACAGTACTTCATCCTCTTCGGGGCCAACTATGGACTTTATCCGAGCATCATGACGAGGTGAGGAACTTGTGAGCATAGGTCTCGGAAAGATGTGGCTTGATTTGGGCACATAGGCTCGAAAATCCCATGGTTTCATTTGGAGAGAGCCTAGACACCCGTTAAAAGCTGAAGATCCTTCAATTCCGAGCTTCACTGGGCCAGCTTCCAGCGTATGTTCATCAAAGGGGTAGAATAGGTTTTTCACAACGGTACCCGCATCAAAGGCGGAAATGAGTGCGGTTTCTTTGTTGGTGCAGTTAAAAGTATACTCAACTGTTCGATTATCGTTCTGGTAAACAAGCCACACTGGTATATTTTTGGTTCCAAAATCTTGCGTGGCCTCGAAACGATTGCGCAAAACGGACCACATCCCAGTCTCGGTTGGAACACCAGCAGAGCCTGGAAGAAATACGTCATGGGTTGACTTAGATAGATGCTGCAAAAAGTAGCCATCATTAAGTATAGGATAATTTTCTCGCATTTGGTACATTGTTTTGAGAATATTTCGCACTGGATGAGATGGGTCTCTGTGGTCATAACCAACAGTATCGTCGTGACAGCCATGGGCAGCAGATCCAAGAGGCCATTGATGATACTGCGATGAGCCAACGCCATAGCATCCATGGGTTTGCCAGGCCGGTGAAGAAGACATAGACTGCCGACCAAATATGTAGTTCTGGGCTGTATTATCGAGAACATAGAACGCCTGTTCCTCCCCCCAGAGAACCAGTGGTATGCCAGGAAGATGTAGTGTAACAATATACGCGGCGAGTAGTGACCTCTCAACCCCTTCCCGAACTGCAGGCCAACGAAAAACGTCCTGATTTTCTGCACCAAACATGTGGCGCGGATCAAACTTTCCAGTATTGGCATTGATAAAGTCGTTTGTAATGAGCATACGGTACCATCCCTCCACCCAGTCACCTGGTATATCGTGCCCGGCGGCTAATTTACCGTCTATCCCAAGGAACCTAGTCAAACTTCGATAGACTGAATAGTGGAAAGCGCCAGAATCCAAGGCAGACTTGCCCCGTTTTCTAATGAAATATGTGTCGTTTGCATGGGTCAGAAGAAGAGCATCTTTTAAATTCGAAGGTAGCATGTCAGGCTGTCGCCCACGACCGATATATATTGCGCCAAACGTGTTGCCACTTGTAATTTCTCCAGGAAGGAAGAAATTGTTTTTCCCGAGTTTTCTAGCACAAGACCGGTACGCTTCGCTAATATCCGCCAGAGCGTCAATTGTGGCTTGAGTAGCTTTATCATACCTAAACCCATCGATATCAAGCTGTTCAATCATTAAACAAGAATGCCGAATTATCTTCTCTCGAACCGAGGGCACCCATTCACGTAATCGATCCTGAACAGATGCAAACTTCGTTAACTGTCGTTGCCAGTCCGGATATACGCCAAAAGCTTCTGTATCACCGTATTGATCAAATTCGCTATCATAGCAACCTTTCATTTGGGTCTCCTCGGGAGCAACTTGGTAGCCTTGCTCGTTCCAAAAGACAGGGTAGTCACACGTTTCGTTGTATATCTCCCCCAGGTGAAAATCGACATACCTTCTGCTTGATTTCCAGACGGCCTTGTGCTCCGTGCGTCTGAAGGGTACGGTTACGTTCAAGTGGCCTTCGAATCCAAGGAGGTCTCCAAGCCTAACAATACATTAAAAAATAAATCTGAAGAAAGTGGCATGTTGGAAAACATTGTATAGTGCTCACGTTGCCAGGGTATTGTCCATAATGATGTACATGCCCCGCTTATGAAGCTCGCCAATGGCATATCGCCACATTGTTATATCTCCAAAATGGCGATCAAGAAGGGTTGTGTCGAGAGGTGAATATCCATCCGTACCCCATGGCTCGTTCATTAGTATGGTTCCAGCGAGATAGATCCCCTATGGAAATTCAAAGAGTTAATCATGCACGGCAATCAAGATAAGTTGTTCTTGCCTTGATACCCATGCCGCTGAGGTAGTCCAGAGAATCAACAAGGCCCAGGGCATCTCCACCATGGTGCATCTGGTTAGAATTAACGTCTCGCTCGAAAACTGAACCGTTCACAACGTCATTGGCAGGGTCACCGTTGACAAATCTGTCAAGAAAAAGGGAGTAAATCGGAAATCTCCAGTTCTCAGGCGACGGGAAATATGTGTGATTTGGCCATATACTAGAATATTCAACGGGGCTGTTTGCTGCTTTATTTTCGTTGAGATTGTACCCTACCTGATCAGGGTCGTAAGGCCAACATCTCGAAAGTCTGGCAAATACAGCCAGGGCCGCAATGCATGCTCCCCAGTGCATCATGTAAATGGCAGAAGCAACTATGTCATGTATCCCATATCTGGTCTGCTGATAGATTCCGTGCTTGTCTTGCGTATGCAGTAACAAAAAGCCAGATGGGGAAGAGGAAGCCTGATATATATCAATTGACGTATAGAATAGGCAAAACTGACTTCGCAACTCAAACACGTCTAAAGAGGGTGCAGTAGAATGAGGACGGGTGTCCTTCAATATTCTCGGACCGCTAGAGAATGAGATACTTACAATGACACCCCTGAAAAAGGTATTTCTGCAGGACAGAGCGCAATCAAACAGCGAAGGTAGTGAAGCATCGTCTCGTCGCTTCCAGCTTCCGGCTGGCTGCTCGTGCCAACGTGGAAGTGGCAACTGGATACCTGCCCTATAGCCGGATGACGGACTCTTCATTGTCGACCATCAGAGATGAAGACACAGATGCAGCCGCGGAATAAGGATTCTGGAGGTGCTGGGGTAGACTCTCCGGGGAGCTAATGTGTATGAAACATCATACAGGAAACCAGGACAACGAGCCGGGGGCCTCTCGCGGAGTAGCCATCAAAACTTCAGGCTCTCATCGAAATATACTCGATCTACGCGCCTCGTCGCGCTGAGAGAGCATGAACGATACGTCCTTCACTGTACTCAAGCCCCGGTGCAGTGCCGTTCGGCTTCACAGTAGATTGAAGTACTGCGAACCCGTGAGACAGGCTTCGCTCGCAAATGGAAAGATCAATACCGCAGGCATGGCGGTTTCTTAAAGTCCACCCCATCGTCCGTAGTCTGTCTTCGAACGCTGAGGACGCTGCTAATGGGAAATGCAGTGGGTTTCAAAAATACGGAAACGGAACAGTCCCTTCAGGCATCTCAATAACCAAAATTCTTAATGTATTAGGTAGGCGTGGACTATTAAGTAACTAAGCTCTGATGTGGTAGAATAAAGATAGCAACGTACAGTGTGCAATAGCTATACCGTCCAGATGTTTCAATAGCGACAATTTCTGTCGCAAGGTCTTATGGTTTGAAGGGATAGTTAGAGCCAAGGACTAACTAGTGGTAGTTAGTTAGTTACATAAATTTCTCACGGCTAACTACAAAAGATCACTAAAAAAAGTTCTCCAGAACAGAGCCTTGTATTAGTTAGTTAGTTAACTAAACAGGTAGTTATGGGTTCACCTGTGACCTGGGGTGATTGCGGTAGTTAAGGAAGTACTTAGAAGTATGCACTATTGTATTGACAACACAGTAACAGAAGAATATAAGCATTTAGTTAGGTAGCCCAACGCCAGTGATATCCCAGTGAAATGGTATTTTAATGCCAGCCATGAGGTACTCCATATTGTAGAATGGGAAGGGGGTCCCATACACCAAAAAAGTCTGCAAGAGAAAAAAACGACGCACACTTTTACCATTCCATAGGCTCACCCTTGATCTCGCCCCGGTTCGTCTTGGGAACAGGAGCCGCTTCAACCATCACTGCGCCAGCCCGTTTCCCGTTGTTGCGTTTCAAATACCCACTGCCATCAAGCCACGGTGTTTCCAGTGTGCGATGAGTCTCGAATGTCTTGATTTTGTCTTCCATCTGCATGGTGAGGCCAATGTCATCCAGCCCATTCACAAGGCAGTGTTTCCTGAATTCCTCAACATCGAAATCCGCGAGCATATTCCCCGCAGCATCGTTAATCCTCTGGTTAACAAGATCGACTTCAATCTCATTGCCGTTTTCTGCCTCCACTGCTATCCGCTTAAGGATCGCCGTGTCGGAAATGATGATAGGAAGCATACCGTTTTTGAATGTATTGTTGAAAAAAATATCAGCGTAAGATGGCGCGATAACACACTTGATACCAAAGTCAAGAAGGGCCCATGGAGCATGTTCACGAGAACTGCCGCAGCCAAAATTCTCTCCGCTCACGAGAATCTTACTATGGCGATATGGTTCTCTATTAAGAATGAAATCTGCATTTTCACTGCCGTCTTCATTATATCGAAAGGCATGGAACAGCGCGCTGCCAAGTCCCGTGCGTTTGATTGTCTTGAGGAATTGTTTTGGGATAATAGCGTCTGTATCGACATTTGCACGGTCAAGGTGAGCTGCAATGCCTTTCAAAGTCGTGAATTTTGGAAGACCGGCAGAAGATTTGGAGACAGAAGTATTAGCATGTGGCTCATTGTCTTCAGGGCAATCGAGGATACGATCTAGCTCATCCTCAGTTTCGATATCTTCAGTCTCTGGCTCAATATCAACTTTCGGAGACGGGCATTTGGAGACTGGAGTTGCACTGGTGAAATTCCTAACATCCGCAAGTTTTCCAACGATAGCAGCGGCAGCAGCCATTGCTGGCGACATCAGATGTGTCCTACCCCCCGCTCCTTGTCTACCTTCAAAGTTTCTATTCGACGTGCTGGCGCATCGTTCTCGTGGAGAAAGAATATCAGGGTTCATTCCAAGACACATCGAGCATCCAGCCTCTCTCCACTCAAACCCGGCATCAAGGAACACTCTGTCCAAGCCTTCCTGCTCCGCTTGCTCTTTCACCAAACCAGATCCAGGGACAATCATCGCTCTTTTGATATTTGCGGCAATCTTTTTGCCGTGAACGATGCTTGCGGCAGCGCGGAGATCTTCAAGACGAGAGTTTGTGCAAGAGCCAATAAATACTTTGTCAATTGGAATGTCCTGCATGCGAGTCCCAGCAGTGAGTCCCATGTATTCAAGAGCTCTCCGAGCACTAGCTTTCTTGACCTCGTCGTCAAAATTGTCCGGTCCGGGAACAACTCCTGTAATTGGGATGACATCTTGAGGAGATGTACCCCAGGAGATTGTAGGAATAATGTCCCTCGCGTTGATAAAAACATCTTTATCGTAAACAGCCCCTTCGTCCGATTTCAAACTCGACCAATATTTCACAGCCTTTTTCCATTCCGGGCTATCATATTTAGGAGCAAGAGGCCTTCCTCGAAGGTATTCGAAAGTGATCTCATCGGGTGCGATCATACCGGCTCTAGCTCCACCTTCAATTGACATGTTGCATATGGACATTCTCGCCTCCATACTGAGCTTTCGGATTGCAGAGCCGCAGAATTCGATAACACAGCCATTGCCACCGGCGGTGCCAATAACACCAATGACGTGTAAAACGACATCCTTGCTGGTGACTCCTGGTGGAAGTTCGCCTTCAACTTGTACGCGCATGTTCTTACTTCGCTTCGTAATCAATGTCTGAGTGGCCAAAACGTGCTCAACTTCGCTAGTACCGATACCGAATGCCAGAGATCCGAACGCTCCGTGCGTCGAGGTATGGCTGTCTCCGCACACTACCGTTGTACCGGGGAGAGTGAATCCTTGTTCAGGGCCAATAATATGCACGATTCCTTGTCTCTTATCCCCAAGCCCAAAGTATGTAAGGCCAAAGTCTTTTACATTTTCTTCGAGGGTCAAACATTGTAAACGGGAGTCCGCTTCTTGAACGAATTCGGAGACGTTTTTAAATAACTTTCGCGATGTTGTAGGAATATTCTGAGGCGCGCGTTAGAGAATTTTATCGCAGAAAAACAAATCAAAATGTCGGGAAGCTCCATACATGATCCACGGTAGCTAAGGTGCAATCCGGCCTCCGAACTGGACGCCCGGCATTTTTCAAACCCTCAAATGCTTGCTGCAGGCAGCCGTCAGCTATTCGTTTTGCCGTATAAACAGGGATAAAGAGAGAAACTCACGGGTGATGTCACTTCGTGTACGAGATGTCTGTCTGTAGGTGCATCAGCGCCCGCAAATTGAAGCCAATTAAAGACGAGGTACAGTACCGATATATAGCAGAATCGTGCCATCTTCCTGCTCGTTGACTACATGGTCTTGGAAAACCTTGTCATACAAGGTCTTCGGTTTCTTTTCCGCAGATGGCATTGTGAACAAGGTTCCCTCTTCAATCAAGTTCACAGATGGCAAGACGAATGATCCGAAATTGAACAGCAAGTCGGAAAGAGAGCTCTTGGGAGCCGACTCAGTGATATAGCTCTTTGGCCTTTGAGGAGGGGCCGCCCGAAGTCGGGAGTCATCACGAAGATGTTCACTCTGATTGGCCAGTATGGCAAGCTAGCGGCGAAAGCGCCCCGCCGATGATCGGAGCCAAGGCCGGCGCAGCTCCGTTGCCGGGAAGAGCTCACAGAGAGAAGCGCCGACAGCCGATGACAGCCATGATGGTGTAAAGAATATCACATGTATGGAAATATATACAAAGGATACATATTGTGAGCTTAAGCGTCGCTCTATAAGACAGGGGAACCAAAGCCGCGATTGTCCTCTTTAAATACCCATAATGCAAGTTTATGCCGGGTCAGTAAGGCAATAAGCCCGCAGAATACCTGAAGTCCGACGATGTGAAGTGCCAATCTATCCTCACGCAAAGGGCCAAACCATAGGAGCCAGAGATTCAGCAGCGTCATATTCGTTGACTCGACAATATCACCATCTTCGTTCTTCCTAATTCGCAATAAACGGAGCTTATGCAAGAGCTCCAGCCCCATAGCTATAGGTTTTGTCGGCGGGCGTTGCCATTCAGTCACAGATGGCTCAAGCAAACCTGATCGGATGTTAAACCGGGGAAGCCTATGCCTTGGGCATGGAATTAGGTGAAACAACTGAGGAGTGGAGTAAAGGAAGTTAAAGATCTGAGGAATAAAGAGGAGAAGTAGTGTCTTGCTGAAATGACCCAGTATTCCCACTACCGCAAACACCATTCCAGCAAAGTAGCAATAAGTATCCCCAACGAAGACCTTCGCTGGATACCAGTTGTGCCACCATAGTGCCAAAGACACGGCGAGGAAGGGCAGGAGGAAGTAAATCGAGAACAAGTGTGAATCAGTAGCCGGATGTGGATAAGGAGTTATTGGCGCCAGATACAGCAAGTCATTGAACATAAGAAGTACCGCAATAACAATAGACTGCGATACCTCAATTCCGTTAATGCCTGCCAGCATATTTATGCTGTTGGGGCAAAAAATGGCAATCGCAGCCATGTACACGTAGTACAGCCAACTTAGGTCAATCATTGGACCCAAGTACCTTTGTAAAACGACGGGCACCACCACGTGGGTGACCCCAAAGTCCACAAAATATACAATAAGCATTGGGATAGCAGCAAAAGCTGGTATCAAAACTTTGTCTCGCCATCGAATATCGAGTAAATCGTCGCCAATACCCAGAATCACAATTGATTGTAGCGAGAGGAGCCCGGAAAGGTAAGATGCTAGCTGTGAGGATGGGCTAGGTTAGCCCAGTATCGCCGAAATAAATCCTTCTACAAGCCATATATCACCTTGCTATGAGGGAAACGATGTAAAAAGCGCCCAGTTTCCACATGATGAACTGGCAGAACAACATCACGATTCCCGCCCCCTGAAGTCGCAGCCACTATGTCCTTGTAGAACGGGAATGGTATAAACACGATAATAACTAGTATATACACAATCGCACAGACTGCACCCATCGTTTCTGGCCTAGAAATTATGTAACATTAGCAACACCCCTCGCAAGTTCATTAGGGTGGACATACAATTCGAGCTGTTTCATTTTGGACATGTCCTTGCCTTTGAGACCGGCTTTCATAAACACAGGCCCAAGCCATCGTATTAGGCAAAATGATGCCGCAAAAGCTATGCCACTCAAAGCAACAGAGGCAATCAATGGTTCCCCGTCATTTTGAACGTTGCTCACCAGAACCCCAAAGCACGCAAGAGCAAGGGCCACAAGGCTCCAAATCTCCGTGCGGGTGAGCGTAACTATCATTCTGAATTATGCATGAGGGCTCATGATATAGTGAGGCCTGTAATCTGGAGATAGTAAGACACTCACATTCCAATTGTTGTTGCCAAAGTTGTTGCAAGCTGTTCAGAATATCAAAGGTATACTGCCGCACGTCACCGCTGCGCAGCTCCGCCTAACTAGCCTTGAAATAAAGTTTCGGCCAAGCTATCAGATATGATTAGCATCCAAACCCTGAATACAGATCGCAATCTCACTCTCCAACAACAATCAGGCTTGGTATGAAATGCCGGGATTCACGGAGTTTGAACTTGGTCACCGTGACCAAGTGAATGCTATTAAGTTTAATTATTACGGCAACCGCATTCTCACAGCTTCCTCCGATCACCGCATCAAAGTCTGGGACCAGACAGAATCCGGTTGGGAGGTCGTGGATACATGGCGGGCCCATGATGCGGAGATCATTGATGTAAGCTCATATGCGGCTGCTCAACCGTATACTTTCACCACGGCGGGACTGACTGTGGATCTTCCGGACAGGCTGCATGGAACGGCCCCTTTGCAGGCCAGCATATCGGAACAATAGGCGAGGACATGAAGTTCAAGCTCTGGCAAGAAGATATTACACAACTTCCTAATTCTGGTCGCCGATTTCGAAATATCTTTCGCCTAACATCTCCTATCAGAACTCCCTACGTCGCTTTGGACTTTCGCAACATCGACCTTGATTCATGGCTCGCAGTGATTACTCGCGATGGTCTTCTTACGGTTCTCGAGCCAAGCGGTAGCGATAATTTGGCCGAATGGCAACAAATTGACCAGTTCAGAGTCTGTACAGAACCCCACCGCGGCGAGGAAACAAGCTTCAGAGTCAAATTCCATCACGACCCGGCCGACATAACACATATAGTTGTGCCGTCCTGGGATAGTAAAAGTTTGTCTATGGTTGTTGCAGCGATGGACACCGTTAAAATCTATCGTATGGGAGCGGATCGGCAATTTTACCATGCGATTGAATTAACAGGACACACCTCTATGGTGCGTGATATTTCGTGGGCGCGTGGTTCTGTTAGAGGGTACGATCTCATCGCAAGTGGCTCCAAGGACGGTACAATCAAGATATTTGAGGTTTATACAACGACGCAGGGGAACAATTGTGTTACGAACGGGAATAGCGACGCACCTCTGCCAGAAACGGCACCGTCTGTATCACCAGCCCGGCCCGCAACCCACTCCGGAATCGGTTCTGCGCTAGCTAGTCGCGCAAGTGGGCCAATTTCAGATAAACAACGGTATGGAAAGAGTGTTTTTAAGCATACATTTACCGAAGTTACTTCGATTGACAGCAAGCATACTTGTGTGTGGCAAGTCGACTTCTCTTATGCTGGTAAGTTTAATCTTTATTTAGCTCACCTATAATCATTTACTGACGAACGCCTGCAGGAGATTGCCTCATGTCGTCCGGCGATGATGGTACAGCACGCTTCTGGAAACGCGCCGTTTCCGGAAAGTGGCTCGAATTTGCCGAAACCGACACGACAACAGAAGAGTATGATGGTTTCTTTTCAACATGACTAGTTTATACATCGCTAACGGGCAACACAGGTCGTAATTGCATTGGGGCGAATAACATATTCGGTGTTTGGTGAGCATGGATTGGCCTTGATCTTATTTTACCCTGGTTTTTGCTTCTTTGCGGAGTTTGGTGCATGAGAATAGCTCACTCTCCGATATGAACGTCAATGATACCCTTATACATCGTCAGGTTTCACTAAGTAGCGCTTTCGCGTAAGGTAGTCCAAGGGCGTACAGTCATGTACAGGCAATGCAGAGTACAACTAGAGCTTTATGCAGTAACACCTTTCATTGATGCAACTTCTGGTCGCAGGACCGACTGTATGTACAGCGAAGCACAGTATCAACAAACGTACAGCCAGTCGGCACGGCACTTACGAATAATGACAATAATAAACTACTACAAGAAATAAAGGTTAAGTGGTATGTTTGGACAGCAGGTGACTTCCATGGCCATAAAATAGGTTCAAAGAAGCCTTTTAAATTGCCCGTTATAGCAGAGAGAACGTAAAAATTACAGTTCTAACTACCTCTTAGTCTAGTACGCCAATATGACCTGGCCATCCTATGGAATAGAGGAAATTGGAGGTTGATTATGCGTTCAGAGGTATTATTTAGAAAGTGTGAGGAAAGAAAGAAAAGAAGGAAAAGACGGAGTGAAGTTGGGTTTTTTACTGCAGTGTGCCAAGTATCTATGCACGTGACCGATCACGAGTATCGGACCAACCAATTACCGGGCCGACGCACTGAGGTGAAAATCTCATATCCAGCTTTTCCATCCTTTCGCGTGACAACTTCGATAAAATTGCAGTCCCAAATACCAGATCCAGCATATCCAATTTGGTAGATTACCTGTGTCGATATATGCCCGTTATGCTTATGATAATGCTATTTTCTTTCGATGAGTATGCGGTTGGCAGCACAGCTCTTCATATCTTCTACGAAATCCCACCATATCCAGTTGGGTAAATTACCTATGTCGCCATATGCCCGTTATATGCCCATGATAGTGCTATTTCCCTGATTAATATACGTTTGGCTGCACAGCTGAACAGCTCTTCAGTTTTCTCAAGGCTCAATGGTTCCCCTGCGTTGCAACCTGAAGCCCAAATACCCACAACATTGCCAGCATCTTGAGCTTTTCAGTGGTCACTGATGCATACTTCGTTTTAAAAGTAGTGGAAGATCAAATTTTCAACAGTTTTTTAGCAGGAACTGACGTCTTCTCCACCCTGCTGCTTATGTTCTGTTTCGCAGTTAGGACTAAATCAAGGACGGACATTGCCCGCGCGCTTCTCTAGTGATTACTGTACATAGACTGTCTAGCTACCAACAATTAATAATATGTGAAACTGCCTTTCTATTAATACCCGCTTTCGATCCTTCTAAACTCCCATTGGCGTAGAAGCCGCCGGCCTCGCTGTGCTTCGCTTGACACCACCCATCAACATCGCTTCCGGCGGTCCAGCCAGGGCAGCTTAGAAAAGCTTTCGGCTTGTTTGTAACTCGCATCGGCCGCTCTCTGATTGGCCAGCTGTCGCAGCTCTCAGCCAACCAGACAGCCGCCCGTGCCCCATTCGCCCTCATCCATTCCCCATTCTTCTTCACAATTCTTCCCCCATCTTCCCTCTCGTTTTCCCTTTCTGCAGCCATTGACTCTCTTGCAAACTACCTTCATTTAATTGTCCCTTCCTTCAATCATGGCATCCGCAGCCCGTGCCCTCACAAGAGCTTTTGCTCGCTCTACTCCTGCTACATCCTCGGTCAAATCCTCTGTAACACGGAGCTCAGTTCGGTTCAGCACACCTAACTATGCCTTCCGCGCCTCGTCCCGTAGAGGTTACTCCTCGAGCACTGAGGGAGGAAAGTCCTCCTCCGGCATGATCTGGGGTATTGCAGCAGTTGCTGTTGGCGGTGCTGGTGCTTATTACTACTTAACCGGCGACCACTTGTCCTCATCAGCCAAAACTACCGTTATTACCAATCCAACCAAACAAGATTATCAGAAGGTGTACGATGAAATCGCAAGGCTGCTTATTGAAAAGGACGAATATGACGATGGCAGCTATGGCCCTGTAAGTCTCCTCGGTTGGAGTGCAAATAGCTCGTTGCTAACCGATCTTTTCACAACAATAGGTTCTCGTTCGATTGGCCTGGCACGCTAGCGGTACCTATGACACCGAAACAAAGACGGGAGGAAGCAATGGTGCAACAATGCGCTTTGCGCCAGAGTCTGACCACGGTGCCAATGCTGGGTTGAAGGTTGCTAGAGACTTTCTCGAGCCAGTGAAGGGTAAGTCCGATCCGTACCACTCTTATAAGCTATACTGATTATACTTTTCTTGTAGAGAAGTTCCCCTGGATCACCTACTCTGATCTTTGGACACTGGCTGGCTCTTGCGCTATCCAAGAGTTGGGTGGCCCCACCATCCCATGGCGCCCTGGCCGCAACGATGCCGACTTGACTGCCTGCACCCCAGATGGTCGTCTCCCAGATGCCTCCAAAGAACAGAGCCACATCAGAGCCATCTTTGGACGCATGGGCTTCGATGACCGCGAGATGGTTGCTCTTTCTGGAGCCCATGCCCTCGGCCGAGCTCACACCGATCGTTCCGGTTATGACGGACCCTGGGACTTCAGCCCTACTGTTTTCACCAATGATTTCTTCAAGTTGCTTGCAAACGAGAAGTGGGTTCAGAAAAAGGTATGCCGTTTTAATTTGTCCAATATCATGAGCCTTCGCATTAACGTAGCAAATAGTGGAATGGTCCTAAGCAGTTCACGGATAACACCACTAAGACTTTGATGATGCTTCCAACCGACATTGCTCTGATCAAGGACAAGGAGTTCAAGAAGCATGTTGACCGATATGCTAAGGACAGTGATGTTTTTTTCAAGGAGTTCTCGGACGTTTTCGTCAAGCTCCTTGAGCTTGGAGTGCCATTCAAGTCCAAGCCGGAAGATCGCTATGTTTTCAAGACTAGCGATTAAGCATTCCATCCAGATGATTTGTAATATTGATTCCCTATCATTGTTCTATTTTCATATTTCGACAGCTCCGGCAGCGATTCGTCAAATATCTTTGCTGCTTTCTCTGGTTTCAATACTTCGCCCCTTACCCTTTTGAGAATTTGGAAAACGGTTTCTATTTTATCTTCAGAATGCCATAGATATTCCCACTTGCGTGTTTAATGATTTCCGCGCTCTGTTTGATGGGCAGCCGCTTTCCGATGCCCGTTTGTGGGGCTATCAGTAGGCCTGTCTAAGGCGCCAGTCGACGACTCGCGTGAAAAGTATTATGATATGGGAGGAGGCAGATTGTGTTACTTGTAACAATCTAGACAGTTTTGAGCGCCAAAGTCGTGTTTCTTCGAGTTGCAATTTTTTCTCTTGGAGGAGTACGGAGCAGGGTGGAACAAATCCCTCATAGAATCCCCCTAGGTAGATCCGACGCATGTTCTCCATAGCTTACCAAAGATCTTCATAAAATATGAACTCCATTCCTTCGGAGGACAGCCCCCCAACTCAGCTCCATATTCCATCCTCTCCAAATTCTTTATGTTACTTATGCTTAGTCATGGCCTGTCTCCCCACTGACTATTTTTTTTGGAGCTGCTTCCTTTTCAACCCGTAATTCATTCTCAAAACGAAACATGCACTGAGACCCGCTAGGTACGGAGTAGTTATTTTAAAGTATACTCACTGCCGTGTCAAACATGTTCCCCACGGTGGAGGAGGATTTGCCTCCTCCCACCACCTTCTATGACATCCTTGGGCTTCCACACCCGCCCGTTACTCTCCATCAACCGGCGTTGAAAATGGCGTATCGCCGCGCGTTGCTAAAATATCATCCAGACAAGTCAGGGTCTTCAGTTCCTCCGAAGATATCAATACCAGAAAGCTTTATACCCACTAAAAACTCAACCGCCACCTCTCAACCTCCCCCTCTGTTCTCGGTGGACCAGATCACCACAGCGTACAAGATCCTATCGGACCCTCTTGCAAAAGCCGAATATGATCGCTCACTGCGCGTTGTATCCAGCGGCGTTGGTAAGGGTGGAAATCAGTCTTTCCGCACGGGGCTGGAGGTCTTTGATTTAGACGACATGCAAGTCGGCGTGGAGGCTGGAGGCGCTGAGTTCTGGTATCGCGGCTGCAGATGTGGGGATGAGAAAGGATTTTTGGTGCGTGAAGAGGATCTGGAGAGTGAGATGGAGAGAGGAGAAATATTGGCCGGTTGTCGAGGGTGTAGCCTGTGGGCTAAGATATTGTTTGCAGTAGATGAGGGTGAAGAGGAAGAAGATTGCCCCGCGGAGGATGCTTGCAGACCGGAGGTGGATGTTAATTCGTGATGAGCCGTGGGCTGTTGGTTGTTTTCATCCCCGATTCGGAACACGCACGTGTGCCACCCACAATGCTCCAAGCGTGGATTATATCTGCGACAGGTACATCAGATCTGAGTACGCATTCGATCCCGCTAGCATGCGATCTACTAGTACAGCTACACCCAACCGTGGCTCGGATTACCACATTGAACAGTTTATCCTCTTTGGTTTCCTACGATGCCATGGCCAGGACAACGAGGTCGGCTGCTTCCAGACACTCCAATGATGAATGCGCAAATGCAAGATTTGCGCCCATCTGAGAATGTGCAGTGTCAACATAAGTATATAGTTACATTTTGCGCTCTAAAATCTCTCATTATTGTTTCTGTTTGCTCAGATGTGCAGGGCGGTTGCGCGACAGGAAGAACTCGTACATTCAGCCACATATACGCAAGGGGCCCAAGAACCCTGCCAGGAGTAGAAACGCAATATAAGCAGTAGTTTTCCATTGGCACCTTGAATTACCGAGAGACACCGTGATATTCCGTGGTGAAAGCAGGTTCACGCCGCGAGGATGGTCGACTGATGACGTTGACGCCATGTTCTCGCGCTCCAGACTCAAAACCGCCCCCATAAAATGGGTAGCTAAAAACACGTTACCCGTCATCACAATCCCTCAACAACCACCACAACTACCCGCAATAATGAGCAAACCAGTGGTCGTCAACTCCTCAGAGGAATTCTCCCGGCTACTTACCTCGTCGAAGGTTGTTGTAGCAGACTGTAAGCTTTATCTCCATCCCGCTCCTTATCATCCTCAGCGCCCCCGCCATGCCCCGCGCTCGACCTTGATTTTTGCGCTTGTCAAAAACCCGCAACGCCAGCGGCCACTGAGGTGTTTGTCGGCTAATGATTTTTTGCTACGGATAGTCTACGCGACCTGGTGTGGGCCATGTACGATTATCGCCCCCGTTTTCGAGGAACTGGCCGCGCCGTTCTCGTGGCCGGATGTCACATTTGTTAAGATCGATGTCGACAAACAACAAGACATCGCCCGGGCTTTTAAGGTCGCAGCGTGGGTTTAAGTCACTACCCCATAGCACACCTGCTGAAAGCTAATAAGTTATCCCGCGATGTGTCTCTAGTATGCCGACGTTCTTAATATTCAAGGACGGTAAGGTCGTCGATACAGTGCGTGGCGCCGATTCGAAAGGCCTCACCAGCGCAGTCAAGAAACACACATTAGGACTCGAGGGTGGAGAATCAGCCAGTGGGGGCGCCGATTCTTCGCCAGGCAGCACTTGGCTGGGCGCCGCCGTACCCAGGGGCTATCAGGATATCACAGCGGCGGTTGAAGTCAAAGGAATCGACTTGCTCAACTGCAACAATGACGTTGCTCCCGGCCGAACACTCTTCGATGCCTCTCAGCCTTCAGCGTTAACGCCCAAAGCCAAGTCAGATGCTAAACCGGACTGGGTGGAAAGTGATACTGACGAGCAGTTGATGTTGTTCATGCCGTTCAAGGCCTCGCTCAAGGTCCATTCGATACAGATCACCTCCATTATTCCACCCAAAGTAGAGGACGAAGAGATGCCCGTGCGCCCGAAGACGCTGAAATTGTACGTCAATCCGTCGCATATCATCAATTTCGACGAGGCAGATGATACGGAACCCACCCAGCAAGCCGTTATCGCGCCGTCAGACTGGGATGCAAAGACGGGAACGGCAAAGGTGGAGCTGCGGTTTGTGAAATTCCAGCGCGTCACGTCCTTGGTGGTATATTTTGTTGATGGAGATGGGGATGCAGAAAAGATCCGGGTGGATAGGATAAGACTGTTCGGAGAAACTGGTGAGCAACTTGAGATGGGCAAGCTGGTCAAGTTCGGAGAGGGAGCAGAGTGATACACTAGAGGGGACAGCTACAATGTGATGCGATCCATACTCCATTCCGAATTGGTGATGATAGACTCTGGCTTCAAATGCAAAATTCACATTTATTATATTCACAACACAATATCCTGACATGGTCATCGTAAACCCTTCTCCAATTTCATTATCAAAGTTGTTCGATCCCAAACCAAATGGCCATTTCCCCAGGATGAAGGCGAGTCGCCCCCAAACAAAATAAAACGACCAGTAAAGTACGAATCGACGTGCAATTTTCATTTCTCTAGGACGCAGCCGACACCTAATAATAATATCATCATTGTGATCCCACCGAGGAGACCAGATGCATAGGCAACACGGGTAAATTGAGGGCTGCGTTCGCCGCAAAGAAAAGAAGAAGAAAAAAATTGAAAAAAGAATTTGAGTGTGGGATATTTAACTGACTAGGCTAGGCTACATCTGGCTAGCAATGTTTATATAAGCATATAACTATATGATTACATAATCTGGCCCCAATGTGAGCTTCGTTTTTTCTCATCAGATTCTTTCTCTCTCTTTTTTTCTCTTTTCTCCAGGCTAATGATGCGGGTGCACAGCTGTGTACCCGAGAAATTTATAAATAGGAAGAGACTGACGCTCACACGAGCAAATGATCTCAACTAGACACTTTCTCTGAAGCCTGAAGTTGACTGCTCTGATTCCTGTTCTCATAGTCGTCATTCTTTCAAAAAAGCCCAAAATTTCTTTTACCCGATCACACTGCTGCTCCTTTCTGCTCTTCGACCCGATGCATCTTCCAATTAAGCTCTGTGTGCTATTTGAGGCTGCTTCTAGTTCAATTAATCGATTTGATAAAACTTACTCCGTACTCAATTTTTATTTTTTACTTTTTATTTTTTATTTTTTTTTTTTCATTTTCACTTTCTTATGATCGCTGTTGCTCCCGCATCTTGACTTCTTAATTTTATTTTTTCTGAGCCCGTCTTTGTTCTAAAATGCATGGCGTTTTCAATAATCGTCCCATGTCTCTTTTCACCGGAATGCACGGAGTATGTACGTGATCCAGACGAGCGGTACGGGGTTGCGTTGAAGCGAGCTGGGCGTCGGGGGATGATGGGCTTTCGGCACGGCTCGGTTTCCAGATGATCCCATTGATGAGAACATGCCAGCTCTCGTTCGGCCATCCCGTACCGGTGCTGTAAATAGCACTCCGTAGGTCATTTGCTATTTGCGACAACGCTGCATGGGCCCTCCCGCGATGGGGGTTTGGAACAGCGGAAGGACACAGACCGGGACTTGGTGAAATGCCAACCCTCTGCGCCTCACTGGTCGAGGCCAGGCCAGCACGGCCTGCGGGCCTGTCTCCAATGCCGCACCTGTAGTTAATTCGTCGAGCGTCGCGATGTATGGCTCGTCTCCGATGCACACCGTCGCACGTTCTGGGATTTAGGTACCCGCCCCGACATGAGAAAAGCAATATACGGAGTACATACGGAGACATATATGCAATGCGGATGCGGCGGGACGACACGACAGCAGCGGCACGACGCTCGTGCCAGGAACAAAAACCCTCTGTTTTGCACAGCCATGTCGGTATTATTATTGCATACGGAGTATTGACTGCTCATTTCCCTCCTTCCCCCCCCGCCAGCGCCGTGGCAAGGACGGCCCGGAAATAGAGGAGGAGAATGCAGGGCCGACGGATCCTCCCACAGGCGAAGATCGCACTTTCTAGAGCTTCCAGCCATGCCGTCAAGGCAAAAGTCGCGAGACCTCGAATCGCTTGGCGAGGGCTGGCTCGGATTCGATCAGGGAAAGGGAAAGAGAGAAGAAAAATGAAGATTGAAGAGCGCCCGGGTCGCGCCATCCACAGGCGCTGAGGATCACTGCGAACAATCACGGCGATCGTCGCTGATCCGCGTAACCACCAGCAAGTGAGCGTTCATGTTCGAAGCAAAACGGTTTTGTGGCACGATGATCGCTTTTTCTTCCCCGGCGCGAGACAGACTCTCTCGCTCTCTCGTCTTTTTTTAATTAATATGGAGCCCAGAAGTATCCGTATCGCCATCCCGTGCCTCCGTTTCCGGACAAAAGATAATCGATACCCAGAATGGTCGATGGTGATCAAACGCAGTCTTCTTCAGCCACGGGCGGAGACCACCTCGATCCTCGGGAATAATCAGAAGTCAGTCGTAGCACTGCTGGCCAGCGACAGCGATACAGACCTTGTTCCATGTCCGCCGGCCGCCCACCGGGCCCCCGCTTTTGGGGTATGATTTACTACTGGGGCGGCAAATAATAATGCTGACCCCAGGTTGCGTGTTATTACCGGCGGGGCATTTTATGGCCTATCACCACTGTCCGCTGGCCCCATCTCCTGCCGCTGCTACAACGACGACGACGACTACTACTACTACTACTACTACTACCGCTACTGCATATCTACATACTTCGACGAGCTAAAGTGGTGTCACTCGGGCGTTATCCGCTGCAGCAACCAGATCCGTGCAAGCCCGCGGGGTAAATCGACGGTCGCCCATCGTCGGGCACCAGTCCGCAACGAGGCACTCTTGTAGGCGACGGTTGCTCGAGATTGACGTAGTCACGCAGTGCAGATGGCTGCAGCGGAGGAGGAGTATCCAAAAAGGAAAAGAGAGTTCAAGCCTTGGACGCTGATATTCACCAGCCAAACCGCCTGTGTCTGACGTGCTCGCTCACCAATCAATTTTTGGCTTTCCCGCAAGTGGGAACGGCAATAAGAGATTTGCGGGGAAAGCTGTTCTTTGTCTAACGAGCTTAAAAAATAATAATGCAGAAACATGAAAAAAAAAGAGTGGTAGAAGGCGCCGGACGTGCGGGATGTCGCCATAAGGGCGGGTGTCGGCTGGAGATAGCACGGCCTAAACAGGAACGGGACTGGTAGAACTTGGTCACGCCTGTCCGGCTCCCCCCAGTGTCCAGTATCAGCCCGTTGCCACAACAGGCCACTCTGCATCACGCCTGCGGCTCAGCAGAGCACACTGTTTCGTCGGCGGTGGGTATCTGCGGAGCCCACGTCCACGGCTCAAAGAAGGCCCCAGTAGTGAGGGTTCGCCTCTTCCAGGGCCAGCTGCAAGGTGGTGGGCCAAGCGGCCCTGGTGGGTGGTCTTCTTTTGATTTTTCGGTTGCTTCTTCTTCTTCTTGTTGTTGTTCAGGGTTTCGGAGCCCATGCTGGTATCGAGCCACACAAAATGTGCTCATCCACATCCTTATTTGCAGATCTGGGAAGATTTTGGGTTGTCTGGTGCCTTCGATGATGACCATGGGTTACAGACCTCGGTGGTCCGCCGGGGGCTTGCTAAGGTTGAAACCCTGTGGCTCTCTTGACAGCCAACCTCGTCCAAGTAACTAGTAGGTAGTGTGTGCGCCCGCGCGTGTGGGTTTCAGATCTGCCAGGCGAAGTTTCGTTTTTTCGAGAACCGTCCCAAATCACACATACACACACACCACTCACACCTAACTTTCGCGTTTCGAGACGCCAGGCCACCCATGGTTCAAGAGAGGGGGGCTACAGTCCGATCACGGCTAATCTAGACGAACTCCCGGGGGCCAGCCGGTTTCTGTCAGCGACGTCAAGGTCATCTGGCAGCTTACTGTCTCTCTTCTGGAAGCATGACCGCAGAGATGCGAGACGCTGGAGGCGGTGCGCCACAGAGACGTCAAACTCCCAAGCAAATAGAATCCGCGTATATACTTTCAGGTGCCGACCTCTAAGCGACCTACTACTTGCCAAGTTGCGAATCGAAATCGTGTTTTTTTTTTTTTTTTTCTCGTGCTCTTGCAAGGGTGGGATGCAGGAACACGATAAAAAACACCGTTAGGTGTGTTTCACATCGCTCTTTTGAGGGGGTTACAGGAAGGGGGAAGAAAAAAAAAAGGAAAACGGCCGGAAGGGCCGGGGTGGTGCATGGAAGAATCCCAAGAAGACCTCGTCGAGTCGTGTTGAAAGGGGGTCTGATCCCTGAGGCCTGAGGCCAGAACGTGCAGGGGGAATTTGAGTCGATATATGGCCCGATTCCCGGCGCCGACGGGGTCCTCGAAGAGGATGTGATACCATGACATTCGCCACGGCAGCCGCAGCAACCTCCGATGGACGTTGCGAAATGAGAATCCGACACTTCGGAGAATTTTGGCTTGTGTAGCAAGAAAGTTGCCAGGCGTCGATCGTTTGGCTTGACCTTGGATTTTCCAGCGAAAAGTGTATCCCGCTGGCGGCGCATGTTTTTTTTCCCAGCAGTAGAGAGCGAAGACTTTTTGGTCATTCCCGGTATCCTGGGATTTTCGCTGTATGACGAGGGAAGCTTGCGAAGTTAAATCAAGCCCAGGAGCGTCAAGACAACGACGAGCGATCCGGCAGGCTCGGAGCTACTACTTCTAACTAACTACTACGATCAGAGTGCTGGGAACAGGCGTGCACGATGCTCGCCACGATGGGTTCGCTGCTGGTCTCGCCGGCGGAGATCTGCGACATGCATGGCGGATGCGTTGTTTCTGTTTCAAGAGTAATAATTGGCCGGGCCCAGGATGTAGCTCTGAGAACACACAGACAATCAATATCAGCAGCTTGCCCGCTTTCCATGTGAGTCAAAACAGATCGCTTCGTCTTTCTGGTCAGAGCAAAAACGATAAAAAAAGACTTGGACGAGGCAGTGCTGTTTCACATGTGGTTGTCTCGGTAGTTTTGGCGGGAAAGGAAAAAAATAAAAGGCGCCACGACTAGCGCAGCACGGATTCACGGCAAACCCCACTGACTATTACTCTTTCGCTACGGGATGAGAAGCCAAAGCTCGACAAAGAAAGGGATCGATTATTAGTCCATCCGTCCCTGACGGCAGCCGGATTTCCTGCTGAGCGGTGCGGGCTGCGACGGGCGCTCCGCCGGACTGGTTCAGGCGAGACGCGCCGTCGGCGGAAGACAACCAGGAAATTCCTGCTCTGGTCCCGTCGCCGCAGTGAGACAGCTCGATGTTTATTTTCATATTCTTTTTTTTAATTTTTTTGGGGCCCGTGGTGTGGGAACACCGCTGGATGCCCCCCGCCCCAGTCTGGCGAGCGGGAGGCGAACATGTGCCAAATATGCTCAAGCCTCTGAGGCAATCAATGTGGCGGCCCAGCGCGTTTAACCATGGACTGGAGCCCGGTTATCTGACTTTCCAACGCTTCAACTCTGTCCGGCTCGCACCCACACCTCCCAGGCAACACAACTCTGTCTCGCCATCGCGCGTGTGTACTCCGTATGTGTGTGAGCGCACGGTGTCCCGTTCCCAAGGCGGAAAATGCCAAAGAAACTCAATAATAGGCCTTTTTCGTGACGGAGCGGCTGATTGCGTTCCAAAGGACGAGGTGGCTCATGACAAGACAAAATAACAAGAATATGACTAAAAAGCCTGTGTCGTGTGTGGGCCTTGAAGCTTTGTAGGAATTTCTTGATTGGAAAGCCAGCTGTGCGATGTCTTGCAGGTCACCGCAGCGGCTTTTTGTTTTTCTTTTCCAGGTTTCAAGAAAGGAAAAAAAGAAGATTATTGAGAAAAAAACGATCTTCCCTACTGCAAGGTCATCCGATTCGGCGGCAGCGACTGGGAAGCGTGGAGCACAGAGTTCCAGCGATGGAGCCGTGTTTGTGATAAGAATAATAATAATAATTGATGAGAGGGCGGTAGGAATAATCGCCTGACTCTCGATTGGAATATCCAGCGCTCACCGAGAAACACGCCCGAGGACGGGCAACGGCAGCCAACCAGGCCATCAGGATTTGTCGGCTTCACTCCTGCTCGGGCCCCCATTCTAAAATCTTCGGCGCCAGAAGATAATAATAATGGAGACATGATGGGGAACGTGGCACGGTGGTAGCGTACAGTATGATGATGATGATAATATTAACCATAAATAATGACAGCCAGCAGAAACAGCAGCTGGAGTAGCAGCGGAACCCACTCCGCGGGCCAGCAGCAGTGATAGCAATTCAGGAAGAAATGAAACTGGCGGACAAGGCAGACCGATTTTATACGGTGCGAGCGGGCCCGGACTGGCGCACGCGCGGACGGGCGAGGCACGCAGAGCCAATGCCGCCGACACGCGCAGGCCACACAAGCTTTGCCGGCCACAACGGCATAATTAAAAGGAAAAAGAAAAACAAAGCGTTAAGTTATACAAACAAATAATAATGTCTGAGAGCAGGCCAGCAGCGAGTAGTAGGATAGCGCGAGAGAGAGAGAGAGAGAGGGAAAAAGAAAATAATAAAAAAGGGGAGGCTCGTTCTTGGGGCGTCGATCAAACATTGCTCGCCCGTTGATTCGCGTGGGCGGACGGGGATGGCGCGCGAGCTCCATCGTTCCTCGCTGGCGCGAGAGTATTATTATTATCATTTTATTGTGCGCGCGCCCACGGCGCGGTGGTGGCAGCGGTGGGAAGCGTTCCGATGGGCGGGTGTGCGCGAGGGCGGGCTAATGCAGGTGCCAGTTGGGGGGCGGGCGTTCAGGCCATTTGATTGCTTCCGGGGGCGTGCTATTGGGTGCTGGCGGGTTTTCTTTTGCCATGAACGCTGTGCGAGTACGCGTGCGCGTGTGCGTGGTGCATTTCTGGAGTACATGATAATAATTTTACGTGCAGGGTGTTGGTGCGCAGTACGAATCCTGCGCGTGCTGCTGCTGCTACTACTACTACTGCTACGACGGTGACGGCACAGCTATGTACCTTGCTGGATGGTCTGCCTTGGGGCGGTGCTGGGCACCGGCGGCAATTCCAGCGTGGCGCCCAGGCCGCGCGACTCGCCAACGCCGCCACGCCCGGCGTTGGTAGCTCGGCCCACACCGCTCCAGCGTATCCCGTCCCTGTCGAGACGTCTGGTGGCCTCAGCGGCGGGAAACTTCGGCGCCGGACTTGGGGCGGTGGATGGGGGGGGGGGGGGGGTGGTTAGGGGGGGGGGGGGGGAGGGAGGGAGGGGGGGGGGGGTGCCCTGGCCCAGCGCTAACGCGAGCTGGTTCGCCCGCCGCCCGCCCCAGCCCACCGCCCACCGCCCAATTGCCAGCCGACTTAGCGTCTGCGCGCCCTGACTGGCCCAGAGCCCAGGCAAGGGCGCTGAAACGGCGTGCGACCGGACGTCGCTCGCGCTCTCGTCTATCTGTTCGCCTGGTTGTCGCGCAGGGCCAGCCCACCGCGATCAGCGCCAGTAAGTACGGAGTATGGAGGAGTACACTACTAGTCAGTCCGCTGGACGGCACACACGCCTGCGCCATCGTCAGAGGCGCGCGCGCACCGCCGCCCGCCAACCAGCTACACACGACGACGACGCCTACGACGCCGACGACGACCAGCGACGCTACGGCCAAGTCCAGCCTAGCCGGGGCGCTAGTGGGCTAGCGGCGTAGGGTGCCCGCTGGCAGGGTCTGGTCTCTGGCTGTTTCCGCCCGCCCAGGTTCGCTCGCTCGCTCTCGCTGCTGCTGGCCCGTTTGCCCACCCGTCGCAGTTGGTTGGCTTAGGCTTTGGCGGTACTCCCTTAGTCGTGCGTCGCCTTTTCGTCACCAACCAGCGCGCGCCGCCCACCGCCCACGCACCCCCCCTCGCTCGCTCGCTCGCCCAGTCGCCCTCGTCTCTCCCCGTTCCCCTTCCATCATCGTCAATCTTCACTGACACTCTCTCATTTTTGGATTTTTTGGTTTCTCTGTTTTATCTTTTTTTTTTTTCGCCGCTTGCTCCAGTTCACCTATCTCTTGTAATCTACCTTTCCTCAACTCAAAATTCCCGCCCCGTCGCTCGTTTGGCCCGCCGCCGCCCAGTATCCTAACTAATTGCCCGCGCGCTCATCTCCTCGCGCGCTGCCTCAGGCCCTCTCTTTGCCTCGCTTCGCGGTGGCTTTTGCCCGGCTATCATTCTTCTAATCTGCTAATCTTCTTCTTCTTCTTCTTCTTCTTTTTCTTCTACTACCTTGCCTCTTCCACTTCTTCAATCTTTCTTCTTCTTCGTCTTAGCCTTCGTCCACCGCCCATCGCCCATCTAGTTATACTACTCTCCTCCCGTGGCGTGACTTTTCGCTGGATCACATCCCAAGTCCCTCATTTTTGAAACACCGCCCACCTGCGATGCGGCCTCGACAATAATACCACGCCTCCGTTGATCTCTGCTGCTGCCGCCGAACGCCCAGCGGGCCCTTTTTGCGTCGCCCTATCCACCCACACCGCGTTGCATGTCCTCGCCCACCGCGCCCACAGTCGCTCTTTAGCACCTCCACCCTTCTTTCTACCATTCTTACGCTCCTTGTGCCCTCGGCACAGATCTCTCTTCCAAATACTATCCTCATTTATTTATTTTTTCCTCTCTCCCTTTCCCTTAGCATAGCCAGGCCATTCTGCACCCAGCTGTGCTTCCGAAGCCACCTGTCCCCTTAGTCGTAATACGCCTTGTCACCCGCGGGAAAAACCTCGCCCTGCTCCCGTGTCCCCACCAGGACTGCTTCATTTTCTTGTTTCATTTTTCTTTCCCGCTCTCGCTGTGTGCTGAACGGTAAAGGCCTCCCCTACTGCCTCATCTTCGCTGCTCTCTAGTGTCTGGTGTGGCTGACCGAGATCTTGTCGAATGCCGTGGACAGCCATGGAGACGTACGCCGTACAACCTGCTCCCCCAGCCGGCCAGCCGTCGTTCTTCTACTATAACCCCGATCCCGATGCCTTTTCTGGCCAGCATGGCTACTTTTCCACTCATCCCGCCGAGATGCAGCCCATCGAGAGCCACGCTGTCTTTTCCCACGAACAATACTCACCACATCAGCAATTGCAAATCCCCGACCAGCACCACCACCCCCAGCATCACCTCCTCCAACAACAACAACACCACCACCTCCACCAGTCCGGTCCCATGCTGGCCCCGAAGACCTTCCTGAACGAGGAAATGATGCTCAGCCCAAGCACATCGCCGCGTCCGCTCCACATAAAGCCCAGCATTCTGCTGCACGGCTCACCCGGGCTGATGTCGCTCGACACCAGCTGCATCAATGATTTCCACACGTTTCCGTCGACGCCGCCATTGTCGACGTCCGGGAGCACCATCAGCAGCCCGCCGTCGAGCTGCGGCCTGCTGCGGACGCCAATCAACGGCACCGGTTTCTATCGCTCCGAGAGCATCGAGGGCGTCAAGGAGGGCTGCGAGGGCGACGTGAACTCGGAAATCTTGGCCAATGGCGACTGGACACGGTCGAATTCTCCACCGCTAACACCTGGTAAGTTGCAAACGACTCGTTTGTGAAGAAACGCGGACAATTGCAGATTTTTGAAGTTTTTATTTTTTTTCATTGCTCCTCGTTGTCAAGTTTGGGATTATAGTTTTTCCTTTTTTTTTTCGCGCGCTGCGAAGACGGGTAAAAACCTTCATTTTGGCTTTTTTTTTTCGTGAGGCTTCAAAACGAAACAAGAAAAAAAAAGGAAAAACACAAAACAACAACAATCAACGCAACGGTGTCCTAGACGATGCGATGAACACCTGCTGACGCTCATTATTTGTTTTGCTCTAGTTTACATCCACCCTCCTGCTGTGAAGACCACCACCATCTCTCTTGCTCCCTCCAGCCACGTTGCTGAAGGCCTTTCGCGCGTTTCAACCAACACATCCTGTCCTTCTCTCTCACCTTCTCCATCGCCAGCGCTCCCTGCCTTGCCGCTGAGCGAAGTCATTTCGACGCCTCTCCTGCCCCCCTCTTGTAGCGGAGACTTCTGCGATCCTCGCCAACTGACCGTAGAATCGTCGACGTTCTGCACGTCCGACTTCCCACCCCTCCCTTCTCTTAGCTCCAGTGAAGAAGACAATGAAAAATTCCTCCTGAGCGCTGTCAACGCCTCGGAACATACTAGCACTCACGCTGCCGACAGCTTTACCAGCTCCATTGGCTCTCAACACGCTTTGTCTGCCTTGCCGCCCTTTGGAGGCCTGTCTGATCTTGATTCGGACGACGAGTTCGTGAGCGAGATTGTCAATTTCACTGTTTCGGACGATCCCCTCGTCCAGGGCGATAAGCGTCGACGCATTGCACTTTATGCATCGGATGATGATGACCTTATAAGTGAGGAGAGCTTTGAAGAATTGGACGAAAGCGAACTGCTTGCACAATCAGAACTAAATCTCCTCGAGTCCGAATCGGCAGCCCCAAGCTCCGCTAAGATGACAGCAATGAAACCGAAGAAACGCTCCACCCCTCGAAAACTCATGAAACGCTCAATGTCAGCGGACACCGATCCCAACTCGATGATCATGGAGAATGAGACCGATAGCCCGGCGGAAAATGCCGACGGCGATGCAGCAACCGAGCCTGAACAGTCTGCTGCCAACCAAGATGCCACTGGACACAATGGTGTATCAGCCAACACTCCCACCGCTTCAACGCCTTCTGGTGCGCCTGTCAGCCGCCGTGGCCGCAAACAATCCCTGACCGAAGACCCATCCAAAACTTTCGTATGCTCCCTCTGCTCTCGTCGCTTCCGACGACAAGAGCACCTCAAGCGCCACTACCGCTCGCTCCACACCGAAGAAAAGCCCTTTGGCTGTTCCGAATGCGGGAAGAAGTTCTCTCGAAGCGACAACCTGGCCCAGCACGCCCGCACGCACGGCAACCCAGGCATCGTCATGAACCTTGTGCAGCCACGAGAGTCGCGTCCCGCGCCTCCCCCGCCACCGCCACCCGTCACCGCCTCTGCTGTCGCGCCCCCTGCGGTCTTCGAGGAACAGGACGCCGGCGCTCTCGGCACCATGCTGTACGAAGCCGCCCGCGTCGCCGCCTACCGCTCCACCACCAGCGAGTCGTCCGACAGCAGCCTCTCGTCGTCGCGAAGCGTCGAGTCGGACCGCAAACGGCCGGCGAAGAAACGCAAGCGAGAGCAGTCCGGGTGATGGGTCCCATTTTTCCCCACGCCTGGGGGGGTGAAGGCTCTAGACCGCCACGGCCCTGGGGTAGCAGCAACATTTTCATCTTGTTGGCCCCGCGGCCGGTGACGGGTCGATTTTCTTCTCTCTTTTTCTTCGGTGGATTCAATCGGCGTCATATCATATGGAGTTGGGGTTCTTGCAGCGTGGGGTGTATTACCCGACGTCTCCCTCACCGTCTCATCGGAGAGGGGGCTGTTTCTTACCCATTGGTAGGTGTGTGTGCGTGTGCGCTATCTCTACGCCGCCGCGCCCCATTCCCTCCTCTGGGTTCGGGAGTACTAAAAAAATATTGTGCGTTGCATCAGGCTACACTATAGATCGGGGACTGTGAAAAGGAGTTCTTTTTATATATTTTTCTCATCATATTTTTTTTTCCCTCCTTACCCCTTCCCTGGTCTCTCTACCTTGGGAAAACATTTTTCATTTTGGCGAAGGAGAAACAATTTGGGGCTGAAGAAAAAAAAAAGAACTACAACCATGGAGGCACATTCTCGACTATAAATCATCACCGTCATCATCTTACATCCTATCATATCGATCCACTATATTGTTTTTTTGTTTGATCCTTGCGTTCCTTTACTTTTTTTTTAATCCATTTTGCTTGTTTATCTTATTCGTTTTTGTTTTTTCGACTCAGCGAAGCATTCTATCTCACTTCTTGGTGTCTGCGTCTTTCCCTCCCCCTTCCCCAACCCCCCCTCCCATGTTGTTGCTCCTCTCTTGTCGGATGGCTTATTTCCTTATTTTTTTGCCTGTATACTCCATTTTTGTGTGTGTGTTTTTCTTTTGTATGTTTATTTATCCCTCTCACATTTTTTTGTGATGACTCGTCAGTTTTCTTTTTTTCCTCTCTCCCCCTCCCACATTCCTTGGCTTGCGTTGTATATTATTATTTTCGACTTTTTCACTTTACTTACTTCTTTTTTGCCTTCCTTTTTTTAATTTTGTGTTGTCTCTTTTCTTTTTTTTAATGCGGAATATCCTTCTGGTTGATTCTCTGCGTGGCTGGGCCACAGCTACCTTCTTTTATCATAATTCTTTTTCTTTTCATTCTACTTCTCGAGGCTGTTACAGTATATGTCTGTGTCGGGATTATTTTGTCTTTCTTTTAATTTTTCTTCATTCTTATCCTTTTTTTAATTTGACGCCTGTCTAGTCTAGATATTCATCCTCAAGCCATCGAATTCAAATACTCCTAAACTACTCCGTACAGTATGCTGCAAATTATTCAAACTCTATATTTCAATACGATGCCTTGGCACCATCTTATCAATATCAATCAATCTCCTTATCATTACTACTTCAAGTGTTGTGGGAACGTGATCATAAGCGAATTACCCCGCGCCCTGCGTAGATGAAGCCGCTCGCTGGGCCTCGGGTTGTCCCGTCAGTAGATCTACCTTGTTTAGAACATGTGTGATTTCCACTGTAATTGCGGTGAGTGCGTCCCGCCATAACCTGCCTCTGCAGTGGCGGGCTGTGGGCGGTAGTTTCCTTATCTTATCTCTGGTCCCGCGACATTCAAAAATCCTTCCACCACACCATGCAATCTGCTCCCAACCAGAACCCGTCTCAGGCCCCAAGCCAGTCGAGTTCTTTGACAGAATGTCCATGCGGCCAATGCTCTGACCCTCACGAGCATCTTGCACACCCTGCTTTTCCACCTGCAGTGGAAAAGCACCCCTCTCAGGCCACCACCATGGCGGGCACCATGCCGGTACAGAACCTGAACGTCATCGCGTTGATATCAGGCGGAAAGGACTCTCTCTACTCCATGCTGCACTGCATGAAACATGGACACAAGATCGTAGCATTGGCGAATCTATACCCCGCCCCAGAAAACGAAAACGGAGAGCAGGTGTATGACTCGGATAGCTACATGTACCAAACCATCGGGCACAGCGTCATCCCGCTCTACGAGGAAGCGCTCGGCATACCCCTCTACCGCCGGAAGATCACGGGCATGCCCGTCAACCTGGAGCTGACGTATTACGGCGCGCAGGGCAGCGCGGCCGACGAGACGGAGGATCTGTTTGAGCTGCTGAAGGAGGTCAAGGAGCACCATCCCGAGGCCAACGCCGTGTCGGGCGGCGCCATCATCTCCAACTACCAGCGCAGCCGCATCGAGAATATCGCCATGCGTCTCAACCTGGTCCCGCTGGCGTACCTGTGGATGTATTACTGCCTGCCGCCGCCGACGGAGCGTGACACCATTCCGGCGGGCTGGTCGCCGTCGGTCATGGGCTTGCTGGAGGATATGGCGGACGCGGGGTGCGAGGCGGTGATCGTCAAGGTTGCGACTGTGGGGCTGGGTGTTGACTCGCTGTTGTCGAATATCACGTCGAAGGATTCCTCCCATAGAACGAATATCCTGACAAAGCTGGCGCGGTATGTTTCGCAGGGGCTGGAGACGGCGATCCTAGGAGAGGGCGGCGAGTACGAGAGTCTGGCGCTGGATGGGCCGAGTGTACTGTGGAAGAAGAGGATTCGTATTGTGAAGGCCAGCCGTCATGATAACGGTGATTATACTGCGATTCTTCAAATCAAGGGTGCGAAGTGTATTGAAAAGCCCGATCCTCCTCCCTGGAAGCTGGCCCAGCTACGGGTCCCGCAGGTTTTTGATGCTACTATACATTTTGCCTTGACGGTGCTGGTGGAGAAGCAGTATGATTACAGCATGGACGAACCCCGAGCGCCACTTTCCATGTCGCCGGCTTTGTGGGGGACGCCGGTCGTAAAACCGGCTATATTTTCCTCACATAATTTTTTGATGGTCTCCAATTTATGTGGTTACACTGGCCTCACTGGTACAAAGCCAGCGCCAGGGGTGTTTGCCCAAATAATACTCATCGAAAAGAATTTGCTCAACATTTTACACACTGAGGGAGAGAAGAGGAAAATCAGATTACCCGTCAGCTGTATTCTTTCGACCACGATGCTGCTTAGGTCTAAGAGCGATTACCAAATAGCCGAGGAGGCATATGGTCGAGTTTTCAATATTATTAACCCCCCTACGCGGGTGGTAATAGGTTGTGGTCATGCTATGCCAAAAGGTATAGATGTCGTTCTCTCCTTTTTCGCGGATATGGCCGCGTGTATGCCGAAACGCGCCTTGCACATCACATCACTGTCATATTGGGCACCAGCAAGTAGTTATTCGGTATCGCAGGCTGTAGTGAGTCCTCTATTAACCCAACCTACTTACGATCAGTGCGATGAGTTGGTGTATCTTTCAGGCCAGTTGCCTATACACCCGCAATACATGACATTATTCTACGGCGACTTTGCCTATAAAACTGCCATCTCACTACAGTCTGCATGGAGAATTGGAAGAGCGATGGCTGTCGATTGGTGGGTGAGTGCGGTTGCGTTTCTGCAGACCGGTCCCAAAGTTCGCACCCAGGCTAAGCTGGCTGCGCATGGCTGGGAGGTATTGAATGCGGCGCGGACTTATGGGATGGAGGAAGATCCCTGGCCGCATGAGGAGTACTCTACGGATACTGACGATGCTTCAATTACCAGAGAAGTTGGAGTATCCGTAGCTGCCGTACCGCCTAATGTACCCCGAAAAATTGATGGCAGAGAAGAAAGCGAAGAAGAGGAATCGGAACTGGATCCCTGGGATGTTAAATATGGTCGATCAGGGGGTGGGAAGCCCGAGACAGAAGCCCCACGGCAGTTACCTAACTTTTCCAGCGTTCACTCCGAATTCAACATACCCCCGTTTCTGGCTGTCGAGGTGGAACACCTGCCTTACGACAGTCCCATTCAATGGCAGCTTATTGGGGTACGCTCCGGAAGAATTTTTGTCACAGAGGAGGACTCAGAGTCCACATTTGTCTGCAAGACTGAGAGTCCGTCTTTGGGGGAATATATCTGCATTGGCATTAAAACAGGAGAGCATGCGCCGGGTATTCTCTCGGCAGGCAAAGTACTAGACCGGTATGTAACAGTTGATACCGAATATCACACCACCCTCTATACGACGATTCCGATTAAGATCCAAGAATGGCGTGGTCCAATCGTGCCTTGTATATCTATCTGGGGCCTTTATGACATGGAGTTTGCGGCTGCAGTTACTATGCATATACCAGCTACCCCTGAAAGGAGGTGGTGAATAAACGAGTCTGTGTTTTGAAAAATGTATCGATGGTGGAATGCATTCGAAGCATCAACATTGCATTGGATAGTTAACTGATGACCAGTTAGTTACTTGGTTGTGTGGCTGGCGTCGTGCACTGCATACGGAGTATTTTTTAGACTTTCTTGCTGCCTCCTTTTATTTCTTTCCTATTATTGAGCCTTCACGTCAACGAATACCATGTTCTATATTGTTATATCACAGAAAATAGACTCACGATGTTCGTCTGTGAAGGAGCAAGGAAGCTCCACACTAGAAGATTTAAGTTCCGGAGCTTCGCGGCAAACCCAGTTTAGTTCTCCCACACGGCGCTTCGAAACCTGAAAACATTCAAGCTCAATCCGCAGACCTTCTTCCTTACCTTTATTCTATTCTTCGCCAACCTAGATAATTCTCCTGTTCATCAAACCCTCGTCCTAGCTTCGAGCTCCCTTCGTCTGCCCGCAGCATGGCAGCCCAGATCCAGCCACTACCACCACCACAACACAGAACTTGATCGCCCCCCCTAGCAGCATATCGATGGCATGGCCGCACTCAACGACACGGACAACAGCAGCTCAGAAGACCTCGCCTCCCCGCGCCGCTCGCACATCCACTTCGCCGCTGAGCAGCTGCAGCTTCAGCAGCAACCCCTACACCGCCGCTCCCCGCACCCCTACAGCCGGCGGCGCCGCCGCGCGGACCTGCTCAGTTCGGAATTCGGCTCCAGCGACTACAGCTCGCGCTGGGTCCGCAGCCAGCGCACGTCCAGCGACAGCGGCACCGACGCGGACGACGAGGGCAATGGCATCCTGAAGAGCCTGCCTGCGCCGCTGTTTGCGGATGCGAGCGACAACGATGACGACGGCGTGTGCACGGGGAGATTGTTCAGGAGGGCTAGTCGGAGTGCAGGGGGAACTCGGAGGCGCGCTGGTGATAATGCGGATGCGCAGTCTTTGTATCCGGGCCGGTGGAGTGGGACAAAGTGGGTGGTGGAGCTGCTGCGGAGAGTGTGTGAGACCATCTGGCTGCTTACGGTGGCTGCGACGGCGCTTCTGCCGGATGAAGCGCGGTATGTTACTGGTTTCTGGCGGCGTGGTGAGTTTCTACTGAGAAGAGGGAAAAAAAACTCCCCTGGGGTTTCTGACGGTGCTAATCGGTTGGATTTTGCTTCTAGAACTATGGAGTTTTGTCCTTTTGACCACAGGCCTATATGTCCTCCTGCCTATACGAATATATCTCCGCAGGTTGCGCTGGTCGGCGTTTAAGAGAATTGCCTTCTTTCCCTTCTCGAGCGACTTTGATCCTGCTCCGCTAATATACCCTATATACCTCCCTGTGCTGGTGGCCGTCTCACTGGGAAAGCGATGCCACACTCTAATTTTACCAAATATCATACTCGGACTGTCATCGTTACCGGCGTACTCCGTTCCCCTTCAATATATGCTCAATGGTAACAGTGTCTCGCATTGGGTGGTGACTGTCATCCCGCTGATCGCGGCGGAGTTCGGGTTTGTGGGGGAGGACCCTGCGAGAGTGCTTTCGTTGCTCGACCTAGATCCCGAAAGCCTAGTTCTCCTTTTCCCTTTACACCAAGCGCTAGTGTCTGTGTTGCAATCTCTAGTCTCGACAAGTCTCCTGCCGGCCGAAATTCCGCTCCTGGCTACTGGATTGATCAATGCCATGCTTTTTACGGTTTCGCCCCAAGGCGAGATTTTCAAAGGAGTTATTTTGCTTGGAGGAATCAGCATCTTTATTTCTTGCAGACAAGTTCTTCGTTGGGGGCTAGTGCTGGCAAGAATCCCTTCTTGGAAATTTCGGCGTCCCTCGCGTGGAAAAATTAGTTCGCAAGGGCTTTGGAATATCATTGACCGCCGTGTATGCCAGAAAATCTACGGGCCGTTCAAAGCCGGATATGGGTCGCAATCAGATGATGCTGACGGCTGGGTGATTTCAGCAAATGCGAATGTGGATTTCCACTATGGGCTCAAGCTGGACACTCAGTTTGAACGTGTACCAGAGCGAATGTCGGCCAGTTTGAAGCTTCAGAACTCACTTTCTGCTGTGGACAAGCCTAATCCAGATCCGATCTTTGGCAGCGAAAGAAGCCGTCCGGTTGGCAGGCGACGAAACACCTTTTCAACCGCAGATGATGTGAAAACCACGCCGAGCGGTCGTCGCAAGCGATCCCTACCCCCTAGCCTTCAGCCATTCTTGTCGTTAACATCGGTGCAGGCCGAAGTTCGCAAACGGGCCTACGCTGCATTTGTGTACCTTGCAATCCTTTTAATCATACTTATTCCAGTCCGATTATATATCAAGCAGAATGCCCTTCAGGGCCAAGAACCATTTGGCTGGGCGATTGGCTACCTTTTTGGGAATATCCCTTCAGTGCGACTCTGGCTGGTGATGTCTAGGCTTGATGGATGGGCGTGCCTACCTTCGTGGACTAGCGGGTCAACGGCGTTTTGCCGCCTAGGCTGGATCGAACATCAACGACAAGATACATTCGGAGAAGCGAACACACGACTCTTGATCTGTGCGTACTGCGTGCTAGTTTTATGTGTGGGAATGGCGCTCGTCTTCCGGCTTAGTGCTGTTGTTGAAGTGGACACACGGCGCAAAATATTCCATGGCATGATGGTTGCAATGTTCCTACCCACGACGTTTATTGATCCAGCGTTTACTGGCCTGGCATTTATGCTTGTGCTAGCTATTTTTCTTCTACTAGAAGTTTTCAGAGCGTCACAGCTTACCCCGGTGTCTAGACCGATCACGTACTTCCTTGCACCTTATGTTGATGGAAGAGACTACCGTGGGCCTGTCGTCATTTCGCACATTTTTTTGCTGATTGGCTGCGCCATTCCCCTCTGGCTGTCCCTTGCGGGTGCACAGCATACGGGAAGCAAACCCTGGGCGGGATGGGAGATTGAAGGCCGAGATGTGAGTATGGTTAGTGGAGTCATCTGTGTCGGCATGGGCGATGCCGCAGCTTCACTAGTTGGCCGGCGATACGGACACAGAAGGTGGTTTTGGGGTGGGGACAAGAGCATAGAAGGCAGCATCGCATTTGCTCTCGCTGTCTACGTGGGGATCATGGTAGCAAAGATGTGGCTTGTGGTAGGAGGCTGGCGTGCCGAATTCCCATTACCGACAACTGCGATCAGCGCCTTTGTTGCAGCACTAGGGTCGAGCTTTACAGAAGCTGTTCTCACAGGGGGAAACGATAATGTCGTCGTCCCGTTGGTGCTATGGTTGCTTGTACGGGGCTTGGAGTTGTAATGCTTGCTTGCATAGCCCGGCAACTGTCTGGTTGTAATTATAATTACCTAGGATACGGAGTACTCTCTGTACATAACTGCATGTCGGCCAGCGACTGCCGATCACCTTGATAGCCGACTTCTTCATTCAGATTAGCATGAAAAAGACCTTTCGAGACGAAATGCGAAGACATCAGAGACTAGCAGATGACGTGATAGAATCAGAAGTGGAGCTTTCTCTCATGTATGCACTGCAAATCTGTCGTCGGCTGAGCTAGAGTCTCATGGTCCAGGATCGGCTTTGTCGGCAGTGCCAGCAGGACGATGCCGCATGTCGACTCAAGACCGGTCTGGCCCAGCGCGGGGGCCAGCTGAGGGTGTGGTGGACAGGCCGCTCTGTCGTCGAGAGGCCGCAGAGTCACGGCGTGGTGGGTGCTGGCGGTTGACGGGCGACGGCGCCCGTTGGCGGGGGCTGCGGCACGCCCCTGCGCTGTGGCGTGGCGTGGCGCGGTCGCAGGTAGCGGGTACTTCTTCGCCAGGCGTCCGGGGCATGCGAGGCGGGTACCCGATACCGCCAACGAAGCGGTCGAGTCACGGGGGGGTGTTCTAGCGTGCCAAGCCCCAACTGATCCAGCTTCCGGAGGTTTCATCCCCAGCTAGGCCTGATACGGTATCGCCCCTCTGCTGACTAAAGTAGAGGTACGCGACGTGGCAGCCTAGGTACGCTGGGCTTACGGTACTGGTACCTCGACGCCTCCCGGGCGCAGGTCATGCAGCGTGTTCCCCCCCAAGCGTCGCCTGCGGTGCCCTTCGGCACCTCCAGATGCCATCCTGCCTCGAACTCACCTCCCCCCGTCATCTGCCCGCAACACCACCCGTTTGTTTTCCTCGCCCTCCCGCCATCTCCTACTCGTTATATCTACCACCTCGTCTAATTTGACCTATCCAACTTGCCTCTGAGCTTTCTCTTCTTGACTTTCGCATACATCTCCGCCATAATACAACGCTCCCTATCTGTATCGTATCGTATTCGTCATACACGACCACCCTGCTACATTCCGGCCTCACCAGTAGCTAACAATCAAACCTTCAGTATCTTAGTATGTCTGCACCAGCTGCCTTGCAAGGGAGAGCTTCAGCTTCTCTTCACTCACTTTTATTTGCTTTCTGTTATCTTTCTCCCCTGTTCGCCTTATCGTCTGATGTCACTGTGTGTTTGTGCCTGAACAGCCAACAAAAGACAGCTCACCAGAGCTAGGATTGGCCACTATTTGCCTCTAACAAGAAATGAGGTATCTTTACTAACTGTTTTCCCCCTCATAGAACCTCCAGACAGCTTGTCTGTTGCCCACACTTCCAGACTCCAACACTTAATGCTGCCCGCTACATCGTTGGTCCGTATCTAATCGCCGCTATCGGGTCCTTATCTCCCACTCACCCCGGCGTCTTGCCGCCCCTAATGGGCCCCTGGCTTGACGCCTTGATCATTCCCGTTGCTATTTGCATGACGAGGAGCTCTTGGATCATAAATTACGCCAGAAACACGCGCTGAGCCATTGGCCACGATGACGACCCCCCATTCCCGCGAGTCGCGATCGGTGCGATCGGGGCGCAACGAAGGTGGCTACTCGAGCGAGCTTATACTGGGCAAGTACTCCATGATAGAGGAAATAGGAAAAGGCAGCTTTGCAACAGTCTACCAAGGCATTCATATTGTGAGCATCCCGCCCCCTACACCGCTTCTCGGACCCTCATGCAGGGACCCGCATTGGCCCGAGCCCAGTTGCTAACAGTCGTGAATGGTAGAAACATCGAACCTATGTCGCCATCAAAGCTGTTAACATAGGGCCTCTTAATAAGAAACTCAAGGACAATCTGAAGATGGAGATTGAAATCTTGAAGGGCCTTCAGCATCCTCATATCGTCTCTCTCATAGATTGTGATGAGTCATCCCCCTCCTGTATTCACTTAGTTATGGAATACTGTGCTCTCGGAGATCTCTCCCTTTTTATCCGAAAGCGGGATACCTTACGACAACATGAGTTAACCCGTGATATGATTGCCAAATATCCCAACCCTTCTGTTGGCGGCCTGAATGAAGTCATTGTCCGCCATTTCTTGAAGCAGCTTGCCAGTGCGCTACAGTTTCTCCGATCTAAGGACCTGATTCATCGTGATCTCAAACCACAGAACCTCCTCCTGAACCCGTCCCCTAGCTCATATACAAAAGGCCTTCTCAGAATAATGCCCTATAAAACTAGGAGTGATTCATTTACCCCTTTAGTAGGGGTTGCGTCATTACCTATGCTTAAGATAGCCGATTTCGGGTTTGCGCGGTCACTTCCTTCCACCTCGCTGGCAGAAACTCTTTGCGGCTCTCCTCTTTATATGGCCCCGGAAATCCTTAGATACGAAAAGTATGATGCCAAAGCCGATCTTTGGTCGGTTGGTACCGTTTTATTCGAAATGCTTTTAGGACGCTCCCCTTTCAGAGCCGGAAACCATGTCGACTTGCTTAGGAAGATAGAAAAAAATGAGGACAAGATACGGTTTCCATCGCAGACTGAAGTATCGGAGCCCATGAAGACGCTGATACGTAGCCTTTTGAAACGAAACCCGGTAGAGAGAGTGAGCTTCAACGACTTCTTTGCCTCATCAGTTGTTCAAGGCGATATACCCGGACTCGCCGAAGAAGATATACGGGAACAGATCACAACACCTTTAAGTATCGCTCTACAAGCGGCTCAGAATGATCCTTTCGCGACTCGTTCAGGAAGAGAGCCCAACTTGGAGGACTCTCGACTACTTAATAAAATCGCTACTCCCTCTCGACGACTTTCAGGGAATTACACCCGTCAACCTATAAACACCGCCAAGAAATTCGAAAAGACGGATTTGCAGCGGGTAGCTGTTACAGCGAGAAAATCTATCATAACGGCTTCTGCCTCTGTATACGAAGATTGCCAAACTAGAGACGATAGGGAATATCCCGGACCGTCTAGCCTACCAAAGGACAGCGTTATGAGGAGAAAGATCTCGTCAGAGAAAGAGGCCCAGGCTATCTTGGAGAGAGAACGGGCTGAAATTGACCTTGCTCTCGAACAGGATTACGTCGTGGTGGAGAAGAGAGCTGTTGAAGTAAATGCTTTTGCTGACGAATTAGCTGCCAGTCCCCGTTTGCAACAACACCATGCCACAGGGAAGCACTCTGGCGCTCTTGTTCGTCGTGCAACTACCACAGCTACCCCACAAGTATCTAGTTCTCCTCGTGATTCCCCATCCCGAGCAGTGCCCATTGCATACAGTAAATCTCGCTCTGGATCAATTCATCAACGCCATGCATCGTATGACCCAAGATACGGTCCTAGCCCGACATCTGCAACTTCCGCCATATCTAAAGCAATCAAGCAGGCGAGTGGACGGCTTTTTGGGTACAGCTTCTCTCCGCCTTTAAACCAAAATAAGGCAGGGCGGTCTCCGCCTATCACGTATAATTCGTACCCATCCTGCCTAGTGGGTCAAAGCAAGCGGACGCAGCCTGTAGACGAAGAGGGGAAATTCGCTGCAGATCTTGAGGCCTTGGGAAACCGGTGCAATGTCGTTTTAGGCTTTGCTGAAGTGAAGTATGAACAAATATTCCTATCTCCAGCTAAAGATTCAACTGTCAATCCTCCAAATAACCAAGAAGCTGCGGAATCCTCCGAAGCTGGTGATACTGGTATGACCCCTGATGCAACGTTCTCCGTTGCGGAAGAAGCTCTTGTTCTTTATCTAAAAACCCTGGCATTACTTGCTAAGGTACTGGATATTGCTGGCGCGTGGTGGGTACAAATAAACTATGGCGAAAATCTTGGAAAATACCCAGGTGTCAATACAGGTATTCGTGTCAATAATGTTGTTCAGTGGGCTAGAAACCAGTTCAATGAAGTGCTACAAAAAGCAGAGGGATCGCGACAAGGACTACTGGATGCTCAGCAAAAATTACCGGTAGACCACCCATACCATGCTAACCAAGTCGGAATTCAACACATCGACCCCATTGCCCAGTCTCCTGACCAAGCTATTCTGAGCTCTGGTATCACTGCCGAGAAATTACTTTACGACAGAGCACTCGAGCTAAGTAAGTCAGCCGCGATTAGTGAGCTTACTGGCGAAGATTTTTATACCAGTAAGATCATGTATGGGACGGCAATACAGATGCTCGAGGCGGTGTTGGAAGGAGAAGATATACCTCGCTTAAGAAGTGATCAATCCAGCGAAGCGGCAAATCCGTCAGTAAATGATGATGATTTAGAAATGTCGAGCATACAGAGTGAGGACCGAGAAATTGTCACAAAATGTATGATCTGCCTTAATACACGTTTTTATACAAATGGCCGTTCACTAATTTATATATAGTGATTAACAGTGTACGCACACGAATGGCAGCACTCCATAAGAAGATAAAAATGAAAGAACAGGCTGCTTCACCGATGCTACCACCTCTACGAGGAACAAACTCTCCAAAGGCGGTCGCATCTCCAATAATACCTCACGCCTCTTCGCGTTGAATGTCTTGCCACAGATGGTATTGGCTCTGCCATCCAAGATCGAATGGTAGAAAGCCTGAAGACCCGAAATCGAACTTGGGTAATTTTATACCTTTCACTCCAAATGTGCCGAAAAAGACACAAATTCCTTACCATTTCAGCCCGTCTCTCATGGCAGTGCTGTTTTCTTGCTCGTGGATTGCAATTCTGCGAATAACCATATATAGCCTTTTACTACATTGCAGAAGTAGTATTAAGGGCCATTATATAGTGATATTGACACTCCAGTTTCTTCTCCTGCGAAACCCTCAGATGCATTCTACGTTCGTCTTACTTTGTGTTCTGCCATTCAGCGTCATGCCATGTTGTTTCTCACATTTCTCTTAAAGATATTTTCGGGGCTATTTACTTTCATATTTACTTCTTATAGTGCATATCTTTCTTTCCCTGACTATTAATTTCAGCTTCGATGCCTCAACCGAAGGTCTTATTCGAAGCTGACCGATTGAGCTGCGCATTCACAAATTCTGTTATGTGCTTTCTTTTCTTTTTCTTTTTCTTTTTTTCATTGCTGGAGCCTGTTCAATTTGGAGTTTTAACACAATCCGCCTTCCAGGAGTTTTGGTTACTTGGAGATGGTCTAGGCGAAATATCGATTTTTTATTCCCTGTATTTCGATTTTCTTCTGGGGGTTTCCTATCCATACAACGTTCTGGAAGTGGGTTTGTCGAATAATGTGGCACTCCTTGTTCCAATGAATTGGCTATGTCTAGTCGGCTTTATATTATCAGGGTAGGATAATGGGAAAGATGGTCGGTCCCCTGGAGTGGTTGGTAGCTTTGTTTGCATTTCACAAGAGGTGTTATATCTCCTTTACCCGTGGGTTGTCTACTCTGCTACACAGGTTTGCAGTATGTGCTGGATGAAGATAATTGTTGAGGGTTGCACTGACTCCCAAGACCCTATGAAACAGGTGACGGAGAAATAAATGCCTCATGAATAAATAAACACCTTTGAAAGTATCCTTATATATATACTATGCACTCTTGACTTTCAGGCATAAAGGCACGTTGTAAGAAGTGCAAAGTGGCATTATGCTTTTCGCCACATATTTGCAGCAATCCAGCACGCGGAACAACCACAGTATTCACATATCCCAAATTTCTCGGAGGGTGGCATCGAAGTTCCTGGGCTCCGCCTGTTTTCAATTAGTGAGCATCGTCTTTTTAGTTATTAGTTGTTGAGTCCAGTGCAATGTCTTGGAAGAGGATATATGCAGGTCTTGTTGTTGTGCTCGAGGTGGAGGCTTTTACTTCTGGTTAGCTAGTTAGATGTTTTAAACCCAACACCAAGGGGTCATAAAGATGCTACCTCGAAGGTGCATACATCGATCTGCATGAAGGGATGGCCCCGGATGTATATATATATATATTGTACATATAACTGCACAGACAAGTAGCGTGTGTGTGCATCAGCCAGTATATCCTGTAAATAGTTTGTCTGGCACGGCTATGCAGTGCAGTGGTACGAACTCTAATGAGCGAATCAGAGATCGCTCTCAGGTTGCCGTCTGTGCAGAGTCCAAAGGCAACAAGTCTTTATTGACCCTATCAGGAATCTGGGTAAGCAGATTTCAACTGCGCAGCATCAACCTACCAATGTTCGCGTCGGCAAGAGGGCAATATCGGCCGATGCTCGGGTTTCTGATGCCATATGAATAGTCTCTAGATATCGTCAGTCCACTTGCGAGAGAAACTCTCGCGTAAAGAAGCTAAAAATGGCTCATTTCACTCGCCATATGAAGCTATCTTAACCCGAGTGTTTAATTATATCAGAGGATTTCAAATATCCCTTCGGTTGTATGGGATGCTCACTAAAGCTGGATACTCTTAAGAGATGCAGCACAGAAACGAAGTTGGCCGTCACTTTGGGCTCTTTCTCTTGTTTGTCCGCGCTTTCCTGGATAAACACCCTATGCGCTATAGCGACATTTCTAGCGGCGTCGTAACTTCGATCCCAAAACATATGCACATTTCTATTGCAATAGTATAAATGGCTCCCATAGAAAATATCGAGCTTCAGTCTATCTCAGCATTTGGTGTTAGTAGTGACAGCTCCACCCAGGTCTCGCGAGGATATGTATCGGACACTGCCCAAACTACATTGAGTTCTAAATCTCTGGAGCAATTGGGTGCGTTGGCCTGTTCCATGTTCCATTTATCCACATTGTTAAATCTAACATGGGTGGATTTTTTAGACTCGGAGGGAACGGTTCGGTACGATGACATTCCCGAGGAGCGAAAGCAGATAGGAGCTTTCACAGCCACCTTCCTTGTCTTTAATAGAATAATCGGCACAGGGATATTTGCCACTCCCAGCACGGTTTTAGCTTTGACTGGAAGCGTGGGAATGTCGCTGGTTGTATGGTTTTTGGGAATGATCATTGCTATGGCGGGTACTGCGGTTTACCTAGAGTTTGGAACAGCCATTCCTATGTAAGTTGAAAATGGCAAATTGTGGCCCATCATATAATTTACTGGTATGAAACATTAGAAACGGCGGAGAGAAGAATTACCTGGAGTATGTATATACAAGGCCAAAATTCCTTGCGACAGCGATGTATGCCTCGTATGCCCTCCTGCTAGGCTGGGCTGCCGGAAACAGTGTTATTTTCGGCGAATATCTTCTCCATGCTATAGGATTCGAAGTCAATCGATGGAACCAGCGAGGTATTGGGTTTTTGTGTATCACAGCGGCCTTCGCTATTCATACTACGGCTGTGAACTGGGGCATTCGTGTCCAAAATGCGCTGGGCGTTATGAAATTGGTCGTCGTTCTTTTGATTGTTGTTGGAGGCCTTTTGGCGTGTGCTGGGTTTGTGAACATAGAGCGACCGCGCAATTTCGAGCAACCTTGGGGCGAGAAACCGCCTACAGCGTATGGGGTGGTGACAGGTTTGTATAACGTGATCTGGTCGTATGTTGGGTATGCAAATGCAAATTATGTACGAGACCCAAGGCCTTTGGATCGTCAATAATCCGCTAACATTGTATCAGTGCCTCAGTGAGACTCGACACCCAGTACGCACACTTAAAATAGCCCTGCCAGTTGGTATTTGTATGGTTGGGGCTCTATATTTCCTTGTCAACATCGCCTACTTTGCCGCTGTCCCCAAAGAAGAGATGCTAGCATCGGGGAGAAAACTGGCAGCATCTTTCTTCCGAAATGTTTTCGGATCTAAAGCAGAGCGAGCTTTATCAGTATTCGTTGCGTTCTGCGCTTTTGGAAATGTGCTTGCTATTCTCTTCTCTCAGGGACGCAGTATGTAGTGGCTCGTCCTCTGCTCCAATGGTGCTGCTAACCTGATGTAGTTATTCAGTCTTTAGGGAGAGAGGGACTCTTGCCATTATCGTCGTTTTGGGCCAGTAATCGACCGTTTAATTCCCCCGCCGCTGGGCTTCTTGAGCAGTATGTGGTCTCGGTATTTATCATGCTCGTGCCACCTCCTGGAGATGCATATGATTTTCTTCTTAAGTGCGTCAATTCTACCCTTGATTTAAAATTTCACTTATACTGTGGCCCTGACGGACTTATAGTCTCATCGGATACCCTCTTTCGGTTATAAACGTCTTTGTCTCTGGGGGGCTTATTCATATTTATTTTTTTCCAGCTCGTTACCAAAACTGGTATCCCGGCTTCCGTGCTTCTTTACCGGTTGCTATATTTTTCTTTCTTTGCAATCTTTACCTGGTCGTGGCACCGTTCCTCCCTCCACCAGATAAAAGCGACAATGTATATGACAGCATGCCATATTATATCCACTGCGTGGGTGGAATTGCGATCTTTGGCATTGGAGCACTGTATTGGCTGGTTTGGGCTAGAATTCTTCCTTGGACAGGGGGATATCAACTCAGCGAAGAAACAACTGTAGGGAGTGATGGCTGGAGCCGAAAGGTGATCAGCCGCGCATCAACTGCTCCAGAATTAGGTGCAGCTGAGCACAAAGATAAAAATATGTGGGCATGGGTGGGAAAATGGCATACTGCGTAAATGCCGAAAAAATATTAGTCCAGTTGAACTTTTGAAGCGGCAAAGAGAAGTCATTGACTTATGATAGAGCTTGAAAAATATAGCTATGCTGACTAACTTAGATACAGCATAATATAAAAGCAGGCGAAGATGTCCCAGGCTCCTATGGGGATGCATTCCACATCTGGTATTGCGAGAACACCACGGATCGACCCCCTCAAACATGCCGGTGAAACCTGATCTAGCAGGAGAACCTAACTAGCGAACTTATACCTAACTGTGTGTAGTAAAAAAAACACCGTAGGCAATACATGTCCGCAATTTCTGCAAAATAATAACTAGTGGGCACAGCCATGGTTGCACCCTGAAAGGCTGAAATCCGGACCGTTGTAGTGCTATTTGGGTATAGACAGACCGATGGCTTGAATTCGAGGCGTTTAAGTAGAACGGCAAGTATATACATATATACAAAAGGTGAAAACCGGATGGGTGCTTCGTCACATCATCCCTTTTGAAATACCATCTTAGGAGAATCTGACCTAAGCGTAGTTTGTTAAGTTGTGGTCACTCGTGATGGCCATAAATTAAAGGACCATACGAATCGCATAATTCAAGGAATGCTAAGTTCCAACAGCACTCTGTAGGGCTCAATAGAGAATTGTGTTTGGCGGATCTTGAACAAAAATCAAAACGCGATGAAAATAATCTGAGAATCTTGGCGGACACTCGTTTTAGGCTTAGCCTTCGGATATTAGCTGTTCCGTTAAGGCTTCGGAATGCATCATTGTTAATCCGAGAAGCCAACCAGGAGGCAGAAGTCATTAGTCTCTGCTTACATAATCCAGCAAGCTTCGATCGAAAAGCTTTCGAGACGCCGGATGCGGAAATGCGAAGCCAGATTGATCTCGACGCGCGCATGATATCTGGCTAGTGTTTGGCGGTGTTGGGTATTGGTGTGTTCTGCGGTCTCTGTAGCCAGACATTGGTCTGCTGTGCTGGATTGGCGCTCGGTTTCCAGTACACCCTTTCTCTCTTTTGTGCGCAGACGAGGGCTGGCTTTGTCTGTTTGCGGCGTGATCTCGGAGGGATTAACTAACAAACTCGGGCGGGCTGGGGCTTGGGGCGGCTGAAGTCTTCGCTAATTAACTAGCGGTGTCGTGCAGTCCGTCGTGCCTGCTGAGGTCTGGCTCGATGCTACCCCTCCATCGTAGTAGGCTTGTTCGCTCGGCCATCAACATCGTCGGCCGCACCCAATTCCTTCTTCCTCCCTCTCGTTTAACATCCTCTACTTTACGACCAAGCAGCGCTCGTAATCTTAGATCTCTATCCTCCGCCGTCCGTTCTAGATCTTCCCCGCTACTTCCTAGAGCAACTACCCCTCGTGTTTCCAGCTTTGGTCCTCGCCAGTTCAAAAGGGCGTGCTCGTGTCGAAACATGTGTCGATCTATGGGAGATGATACCGCTGGGGGAGCCGCCTCAATTGCCGCCGGTCGTGAAATCTTGCCTACTAATGTCCGGCCTTTACATTATAATTTGAGCTTGGAGCCTGATTTCAAGACTTTTACTTACGATGGAACGGTCATTATTGAGTGTGTTATCTCTTACCTCGAATATTTCTGTCCAAGCACGTTTGCTAATCATCAATTCTTCCAGTCTTGACGTCGTGGAGCCAACCAGTTCGATCACGCTAAATGCATTGGACCTCAAAGTTGATTCCGCAACCCTGATGTGGGGTGATGAATCGGAGCTGTTGGCTCATAGTATCAAAACAGACATCGAGAAACAGACCGTAACTTCTACATTTGGACTAGAGCTAGCTGCTGGCTCTAAGGTTAGGTTGAAGCATACATTCTCTGGCAAATTGACGGACAACATGGCTGGTTTCTACAGGTGCTCTTACCAGGACACTAATGGGAATACAAAATATATCGCCTCCACTCAGATGGAGCCGACAGATGCCCGGCGAGCGTTCCCGTGCTTTGACGAGCCGGCTCTTAAGGCAGAGTTCACGGTCACGCTCATCGCGGACAAGAAAATGACTTGCTTGAGTAACATGGATGTTGCCCTGGAAAAGGAAGTTAGCTCAGAGATGAGTGATGAGCTTAGGAAAGCGGTCACCTTCAATAGGTCTCCCCGTATGTCGACTTATCTCCTGGCTTTCATTATCGGAGAGCTTGACCATATCGAGACGAACTCCTTCCGCGTGCCTATTCGTGTATACGCTACCCCTGACCAGAATATCCAACATGGTAAGTTTTCTCTAGAACTGGCGGCTAGAACTTTGGAATTCTACGAGAAGGCCTTCGACAGCAAATTCCCCCTCCCAAAGATGGACATGGTTGCCATCCCGGATTTCGCAGCTGGGGCGATGGAGAATTGGGGACTGATAACCTACCGTATTGTGGATGTGCTCTATGATGAGAAAACCACCGGTGCTTCGACCAAGGAAAGAATTGCTGAAACAGTCCAGCACGAGCTTGCCCATCAATGGTTCGGCAATTTGGTGACGATGGATTTCTGGGATGGATTATGGCTCAACGAAGGCTTTGCTACCTGGATGTCATGGTATTCATGCAATAAGTTCTTCCCTGAGTGGAATGTCTGGCAGAGCTATGTTGTGAATGATCTTCAGAGTGCTCTGGCCCTTGACGCTTTGCGAAGCAGTCATCCTATTGAGGTTCCAGTAAAACGTGCCGATGAGATTAACCAAATTTTTGACGCCATCTCTTATTCTAAGGGCTCGGCTGTCCTTCGCATGATATCTATGTATATGGGCGAAGAGAAGTTTCTGGAGGGTATTCGTTTATATTTGCGAAAACATGCTTACGGCAATACAACTACCTCGGACTTATGGGCTGCTCTCAGCGAGGTTAGCGGAAAGCCGATTGAGTCCGTTATGGAAGTTTGGACCAAAAAGGTTGGATATCCCGTTGTCACTGTTGAGGAGAAGCCGGAGGCCAAAGCGATATCCGTCCAGCAACATCGCTATCTCAGAACAGCAGATGTCAAGCCCGAAGAAGATTCAACGATCTACCCTGTCGTTTTACGATTGAAGAATGAGACATCTGTGGATGAAACCGTCATGTTAACAGAGCGAAAGCAGGAGATCAAAGTTCCAGATATGGATTTCTTCAAGCTGAACGCGGATCACTCTAGTCTCTTCAGAACGTGCTATAGTCCCGCTAGACTTGAGAAGTTGGGTAAAGATGCCAAAGCTGGTCTTCTCAGTGTTGAGGATAGAGCCGGTATGATTGCCGACGCGGGGGTTCTTGCTTCTTCCGGACACCAAACCACCTCTGGGAGTCTTTCCCTGCTGAAAAGCTTTGACAATGAGTCGGAATTTGTTGTATGGAATCAGATTATCAGTCAACTGGGTTCCATCCGCAGTTCTTGGGTATTTGAGGATTCCCAGGTTAAAGATGCTCTCAAGGCTTTCCAACGTAATCTAAGCAGTGCCAAAGCTCATGAGCTTGGATGGGAGTTTTCGGAGACCGATGGCCACGTTTTGCAACAATTCAAGGCTATGATGTTCGGCACAGCCGGAGCAGCTGGCGACCAAAAGATCATTGATGCGGCTAAGGAGATGTTCCGTAATTTCGCCGATGGGGATTATACAGCCATCCACCCCAACCTGCGAGCCAGCGTATTTGACCTTGTTCTTCGGAACGGGGGAGAGAAAGAATATAACATCATTTTTGATCGGTATAAGAAAGCGTCCACGTCTACGGAGAAGAACACGGCGCTCCGGTCTTTGGGAAGTGCTCAGCAGCCGGAATTGATCCAACGCACCCTGAAACTAGCATTGTCGGATGAGGTACGGGCGCAGGACATTTACATGCCGCTGTCCAGCCTTCGAGTACACACAGCCGGAATTACCGCGCGGTGGGAATGGCTAAAAAAGGACTGGGATGCAGTGGTCAAGCGATTACCGCCGGCATTCTCCATGCTAGGCACAGTTATACAAATGTGTACTGGTTCTCTGACAACGTATGAACAATTGAAGGACGTCGAGGATTTCTTCAAGGATAAAGAAACGAAGGTTTGACGGCCCTTTACTTTGTAATTTGAGTGTGGTTGTAGCTAATGACGGTGGATAGGGATTCGACCGATCCCTGGAACAAGCCTTGGATTCAATCCGCGCAAAGGCCGGCTGGGTTCAGCGTGATCGACAGGAAGTGGCGGCATGGCTAAAGACGAATGGATATCTTAACTCGAAGCTGTAGATTGGCCCTGGGATTAAAGTGCGACGAGAACAGTACGGAGTACGACCGTTGCTTTGGGGTGCATGACCCAGTTCGAATCCAAATGGAGGCGAGCAACATAACTACTTTCTCGAAGGTCGGGAGTAACCCAGTATAGAGTTATAGAAGAAGAATACGATTATCCGTCTCAACTCATACCCCTTCTAAGCAGACTGTACGGAATGAACAGGCGGCGGGTCCGACTTCACGGTCAGTCGTAGCATTTGATGGAGGAGGTTCGCCTCGTGTCTCTATTTTGGCTGTTTGGCCTGTTTGCTTGCTAGCTAATTTAACCAAGCCCTGTTGCTGACATAAGCTAACCCCGCACGTGCGGCCCGCCAGGCCAGGGCAACGGGCCAATCAGCGCAGAACGTGATGCGACTTCACTTCCAATCACGCCTGCTGTTGCCGGCTCTCTCACGCTGCGAGCGGGCTCTCTGCGGGCGTATTTATCCCGCCCGCCCTGCTCGTTCTTTTCATTTCTTTTTTTTTTTTTTTCTGCGGCCTCCATAACGTCCTCCGTTGGTTAGTCTGAGCGTTTCTCGCGGAGCATTGGTTGGGTGATTGTGCCATTGAGCTCCGTATCAATTTCAATCTCTACCAAGAGCTTTCAGGGCCGGCTCCAGAATGGCTGATAGAGGCTCCCATGCAGCTCTGCTGTCATACCAGGACGATGAGGAGGCAACTCCTCGTCGAGTCGAGGCTCATGCCTCCGCAGCAAGGCGACGGAGCTTGTTCTCAAAAAATGGCAAGGCAGGGCCTCTGATGACATTTTTTAGTTTGAATATAGTTACTGTTGTTACCGCTTTGGTGCTGATGGTGCTTTTTGGCGGAATTATGGCCCCGCTGTATGTTGCCCTGTGGTTTTGTGACATCTATCATTTGGGCCAAGGCCCATAGCTGGGAGCTGAAAATTAACTGCTGGGAAACAGGGTTTCACGCCGAGTGATGTATCGACGAGACTTCCAATGCAGCACTGTTGAAGATGGCTATAGATGCTACCAGCCAGAGGCTATGCTGTGGGGCCAATACTCCCCCTATTCGACTTTGAAGTTCAAATCCCCTATCCCTCAGGATGTTCCGCGGGGCTGCACCGTCAATTTTGCCCAGATGCTATCTCGCCACGGAGCAAGATATCCTACTGAGTCAAAGACAAAAGCGTATGCCAAGCTTATCACCAAAATCCAGAACACCACCACTTCTTATATGGATAAATTCAAGTTCCTACAGACCTTCAAATATGAGTTACTGAGCGCAGAAATGACGGAATTCGGTAACACTCAACTCGTTCATTCCGGGTCCAAGTTCTACCGACGTTACCAGAACCTTGCAAAGAACCACCAACCGTTTGTTCGTGCCTCTGGGTCCTCTCGAGTAATCAAATCTGCAGAACGATTTATTGATGGTTTCCATCAATTCAAGCTTCGTGACCCAGATTCCGTGGGAAAGGAGCCTCCAAAGCTTGGGTTGATTATTCCAGAAGGAGACTTCAATAACACACTTGATCACGCCATATGCACCAATTTCGAAAAGAACGAGTATGGTGATGACGTCCAGAAGAAGTTTCTTGCTACCTTTGCCCCAAAAATCCTTGAACGTGTTAAGAAAGGTCTTGTTGGAGCAGATCTCAGCACCAAAGAAGTTATCTACATGATGGACATGTGCTCTTTCCACACTGTTGCACTGACAAAAGATGCAAGCAAATTGTCTCCATTCTGCGAGCTTTTCACTCGTGGTGAATGGATCGACTACGATTACTATCAGTCCCTAGGAAAATATTACGGTTACGGTAATGGACACCCACTTGGTCCCGAACAGGGTATTGGGTTCACGAACGAACTCATCGCCCGCTTGACAAACACTCCTGTTAAGGATAATACAAGCACAAACCGAACGCTCAACGCCAACCCAGCCACCTTCCCCCTTAACGCCACTCTTTATGCAGACTTCAGCCACGACAACACCATGACATCAATTTTCGCGGCTCTCGGCCTTTTCAACGGTACTACGCCACTTCCCATGGACCGGGTCCAGACACCAGCGCAGTCAAACGGGTATGCCGCCTCATGGACTGTGCCATTCGGAGCCCGAGCTTATGTCGAGAAAATGACTTGCGACTGGTCCCCGAAAAAGAACACGGAATACGTGAGAATTTTGATCAACGACCGGGTCTTCCCACTGTACGGTTGTAAAGTAGACTCTTTGGGACGCTGCGAGCTAAATGACTTTGTCCAAGGACTGGGCTTTGCTAGGAGTGGTGGAAAGTGGGCCAGCTGCTTTAAATAGGGAAACAGCTTTTGACTTTGATTATTTTTCCTTTGATACACAAGTATTAGTTAAAATCCGAGCTGTTAAGGATGGACGGAATTGATTGGCATGGAAAAGAGCATGGTGAATGGGACAAAATGCATGGTATTATTCTTGTTTGGTATAGCATACCTATGTTACCTGATAAACGCAGTAATAGATCATCATAGGAATGACAAAAATTCCAACCGAGGTCTATGAAGCTTCTCACACTCGATGTCCGTTCTAAGATAGTAAAGAATTGGCTCTTGCGAAATTGCGTCTAGATTTCTGCCTGACATGCTTGGGGACTCTGGACTGTATCTATGATGGCAAAAACGAGTTCAAAATCGGGGGACATGGGTCATAATAGGGGAGTATCGTTACTAGCGGTAGTACACAATGGGGAGAAAACGATGGAAAATATATACAGCGTAAAAACATCGAAAGCTAGTTGGCCATTAACATATAGCTGAAAGAAAAGTTCATTAAGCGGATAGGCTTATTGGTTGAGGGGAGAATGGATGACGGAGAAAATACGCCCAGGGGAAAAGGGTCATGTTGTTGAGCTATTTCTTGATGATTCTGTGGAAGCCGACGAGTTGAACGATTCATTCGAAGACCCCGAGGGGGGGAAGGCATTCGCTCCTGGAAGGCTCCGAGGTGTTTTGTCGTAGAATACTATTGCAAGTGGGTTAGTTGGGGCTTTTCATGATATTGATTCAGTATAGAATAGCTCACCTCGTTCATATAACGCCCAGCTGGTACATATTAGAATTGGCATCGCAACCATTCCAGCTAGCCATCTATTCACGAAGCCCGGCATGTTAGCTCTTCTACTCCCTCCAAGCAGCAAATATGACAAGGGGGTAACAAACCTTCTCGACAGAGCTTTGTATTTCTTCGTCTTCCTGATATCTTCCGGTGCAGGAGGGTACTGCGCCCTGGGCTGCGACGGCATACTCCTCTGCGCTCCAATCCGCGTTATCTCATCTAGGTTTCGAACAACGGCCTGTTTACCGGTCGCAGGGCCCACTTTGAAGCCATTGTTCGTGGGGTCTGGGAGTATCTTCCGGGATTTCGAGATTGAGGAGGCGAGATTGGAGACGGGTGTTTTTGGCGGAGGCATGGCGGTGACTGCAGGAATAGCGGGGGGAGGAGGAGGAGGAGGAGGAGGGATAGAAGAAGAGCCGGTGGTAGCGCGTAGGGCGGAGAGGATTGTTGACTGCTGGATGGCCGTGGGAGCTGGCGACTTTGGCCCAGTCTGCGTGCGTTCCGGCTCTGTTGGCGCGATCTCGTCTGCTTTTGATATGGCGCTTTTTTGCTGCGATGCCTGTGAACTCACAGCGGCTGTCAATGCTTCGGCTGGCTGCTCTTGATGGCCAAAACTCTCCAATTGACTGGCTTGCTTTGCTTTCTCTGCCTTGACTAACTTCACAGTCCGGGGTTTTCGAGATGTCGTCGTGGAGTCTTTCTCGTTTGTCTTCAGCTCAGCGCTCGCACCTTTTTCTCCCTGCTTTAATAATGCGGCCTTTGGGCGGCTTTCTTTGACCTTAAGAGCCTCTGCTGCTCGATTATTCCCCGTCTGTGCGCGCGCTGTGGCTTTGGGCTCCGCTGGTGCTTTTTTGCTTGATTTGGCGGGTTTCTTGGCCGGCGTCGCTTTGGCGGTTGACGCCGAACTTTCGACTTTCTTTGGGCGCCCGCGTTTCTTTTTGACTTCAACTTCGGCGTCTGACATGTTGTTCTGTTTCAATCGATTTTCCGAGCTCGCTGTGTCGCATCTTCCAAATAGCACTTTTTGGAGATGCACACTTTCTTCGAGAGCAAATTAACGGCCTTCAAATACGCGAGATCCGGGAGCATTCCTTTAACGACACGTTTAATTAGCGATCTCTTTTCTTGGGACGCGATCTTTTAGACTCCGTTGTTAAGAATTCATCCATCTTGGCAGGGCGCGTCTCGCGCGTTAAATATCGGAGCTTCGTGAAGACTGTTCTGGGAAAAAGCTGGACGCTATTTTTGGATGTCTATGGTATGTAATGCCTATCTAGGAAGAGGAACTTAATGGCTTTCTGTTTCTACGGCATTAGATACGGAGAAGCACGCCCATCAGACGATATAATCGAAGCCGTCATGACTGTCCGTCACCCCATTATGTCCATCCTAATGCGAGTTGCAACAGCTTAAACATAAGTGTACATACATACCGTAATTTCTATATGTTGAGTGATATATGGAATGTCTTTATTTTCCTATAGCTTTGACCAAAGGACTTTGGCTGGCAGCTGGTCTGGAAAATTCCTTGAGAGCGGCTATACGATATGTTGGAGCCAGATCATGACTATTGAGCTGTCATATTATGCATTTCATCAAAGCTCTACAGTAGAGATTTCGGCTGGCTGTATTAACTATTCATACAGCAATAAAATATTATTCATACTACGCCTGGAGGTTCGGAAACAGGAAGATAAAAAACAGGTATACCCACAGCAGGCCGACCCTCCGCGGGGAAGATGATTCTGTCATTATCTTTCCACTTAATTTTCCGAAATATTCGTGGTTTTTATGATCTGGCCTCGAACGTTACGCTCTGTCATCTGCCTCAACATCATATCAATTACCTCAGAATCGGTCCGCAAATGGTATATGTTGTGTTTTGGAGCGGGGTATGGTACAAGACCCGGGTGTTCTAGGCAGTGGTGGTCTTCGTAGAATTCAATGGTGCAAGCGTAAAATTTCATCTTCCAACATATTGATGCATCGGCGTTGCAATTTTCAGGAGTGCTCTCGAGCTGGGCGAACAATAGGGGCAATGGGTCGCCCATAGGTACAATGTCGGCAACAGCGTGATCCATGAAACTCTGTGTACGGGGCAGATAACGTCGAATGCGAAGAGTGATGGAGTCGGGGGAATTACCATCCGGGGTTCGTTCAGGAGTCGCAATATAGCCATTGGCAACCGAAAAGTAGTGGTTTAAAATCCCCGAAGCCATTAACTTGACGGCATTCTCATCAGCAGGTTTGGTCTCAACAGATTTAACCAATTCGTCCAAAATTGGTAGAGAGAGGTAGGGCAGCGGGGCCGCCATCTTCGCGCCCATGAGTGAAATAGAGATGAACGGGGACGTGTTTGTATGTCGATTCTCTTCTATTTTCTGTCTGATGATGCAAGATCAGGAATTGTTTGGTAGGGTGCGAGGCACATCGAAGGCACTTAAGGGGGTGTAGCCCAAAAATGGAAGGAAGCAACGCAATAAACAACAAAACCCAAAAGAGCGCTGCGATGCGCCTCTGTATCCATGGGAACGTAGTTTCAAACACTTGGTATTCGAAGTTTCAGGCATGGCAGGCGAAATGGCCGGCACTCGATAACAGGCAGAGTAGTTTTGCTGAACATCGAGGAGCAAGCTTACTATGCACGAGTTCAACGAGGAGGGTCGTTTTCATTTGCCCCTTCTCGGGGGTTGCTTCCTAGGAAACAAGCATAGCTCAAAGAAAAGAAAGAATAAAAAGAAAAGCGAGGCAAAGAACATCAACTAGAAAACACACATCTCCCTCCCACAGCTCATTCTTCCCTGTTCTTGAATATTAGTCTGGGAAAGCATTAGAGATAAAGGGAATATATACCCTTCAACCTCCCTAAGCCCTCAGTTCTGAAGGGAAGCATTAAAAGCCCTTCGAAGGGCATCCAAATCGATCTCCACCTCCGGTTTGAAGTCCGGAGTCAACGCTGCCGAGACCAGCTCGAGCAGCAGGCACACCGCCCGCTCGTCCTCCTCGTTGAGGGCCGTTAGAACTGGCCTTTTTATATCATCGCCATTGGCCGCGAGGCCACCTATAAAAAACGGTTACTATTCAAATCTCTAGTTTTATTTGATTGATATTGAATCATATGGTTTGAAGGCATAGTATTGAGTTCATTACTTACCGGCCCTTTGCTTCCCCTTGCCTTTGCCCCTAGCCGCCCGCGGCTTCGGGGCCGTCTTTGGCTTCGCCGATTTATCTATCGCGGCCACCTGGCTATGGGGAGCCACGGTGTAACCGGCCTCCTTGGCTCGCTGGGAGGGCTTTCTAACACGGGTCGAAGCCCGCAACATCTCTGTTTTTTTTTTTTTTTTTTTTTTTTTTTTTTTTTTTTTAAAGAAAAAAAGGAGGAAAGTGATGTTTTGAATGCTATTGCAAGATGTGAGAGGCAATAGTGGCTCAAGGTAAGGAAGATTCAAGCAGAGAAAGAAGGGCAGAATCGAAGATAGATATATCCCCAGAGGGAAATAACACATCTTTCATCGCATTCATTGGCATTGACGACTATTCGGCTATTCTTTTCGTACAATTGCACAGGCATAATCCGTTGGTTTATCAATAGACGACGTATTAATAAACAGCAACACAGTGCTATTCGGCCTTTTATTGAATAGGATGCAAGCTTTGACTCCCCTAATGAAAAGCGATAATTCCCTTAAAAGTTGAATATAGGCAGGATTCATTCATTAGGGTCATCTAGCGCGTAGGTGACCCTTAAATCTTCTTAAGGGGTAGGGCATTTTCAGTAGAGGTGACATAGAAGATCTATGCTTGTAGGGTGCAACCGCTTTGGCCAGTTTGACAAAGGGCATTCTGCGTGTTCCCAATCAATTTGAATTGGATCCAAAAAGAGTTCAGGGTGTTATCCCGCTGAGCTAGCTGGTGTTCCCCCCAAAGTGACCCATAAAAAGGTATGACAGATTCGTGAGGTTAAAAAATAGCAATTCTGGATAGCAATATAATCGGATGCCATCCCTCACCCAGATCTATATTATCTTAAACAAGTGGGTGTTAAAAGAGCAGCTCACAAAGTTTCCACAACGTAAGAAATATTCCAAATTTTCAGCCATCGAGACACCATGAAATGAAGCTCAATACCATACTTCGAGGTTGCCCATTCACACATGTTGTTGATAAATTCTAGTTTCTCGCTATTCAAGGGGAGATTACGTAAGTTTAAATGAAGCTCACGTGCCATGAACGTCGGCTTTAATTGTGCCAAGACATTTAAACCCGGTACTCGTCTGCTTACGTAATCTTTCCTGGGCAGAGAAGCTCCGCGTATGCAAATGCTGGCCTCAAGGCGACCGATCAATTCAGAACGATCCAGAGTCTGGACGGCCGCTGTCGCCGTTGTTCACCATGCATTTTAGTACGGCGCTTCAATTTGGCCTTTTGGCCCTGACAAGCCTTCCATTGTCCCTAGCTGCGACAACCTGGGGGTTTGCTGACGCCACGCTGTCCGTTCAGCAGAAGGGTGCTGGTATTGGAAGTGGTATCAAGGAGAAGTTCGATCCCCACTGCCATATACATTGTGGTGCGCCTTACTGATTTAATTGACCAGGTTGTCCGATAAAAGGCCACTGTCGACGCCGGTTTCGTTTGGGCACACTGGCACACTGAAGCTCCTCCTCACAGCACAAGAAGGTCGCGCCGCAAAGAAGCCCCACCAAGCTTTCCTTTTGCTCACGGATCCCGCGTCTAATTTGGATATCTCCTATCCTTTGACAATAAAGGAGAATGGAAAGGCAAAATTAGAGCTTGTTAATATACCCCCCATAACTTTACCGTTGCGCTGTAGGCACTAACCCGCGTCTTGATAGACTCATAAAGACCTTCCAGTCCAATTCCTCAACTCAGAGGCCCCACTCAATGCGAATCTTGTAATAGCGTCGTTTGGCTCGGCTCAGGGCTACAATAGCCCCGTGTTCCGCCTCTCAATCGGACGCGATGCTGACCAACCCCTCCCATCATCCGAGGCCGTCCGATACGGGAAACTTCCAGAGATACACCATATATTTAAGGCGGACCCAACCAGTCCTCCAGTAATTATATCACTCGTGTTTGTGGGGGCCGTGCTCGCCACTCTTCCTGTGCTGGGTGGTTTGGTACGTTGTGTTCCGTGAGATCTATTTACTATCGCTAGGCTAATAGAGATAATCAGTGGCTATCCCTCGGCGTGAATCTCGATCATCTATCCATTGCACTAAAATCCTCGCCCGTCTCTCATATCCTCTTTGTCGGCTCTATCTTTAGCTTGGAAGCCGTGTTTTTCATGTACTACACCTCGTGGAAGCTTTTCCAGACTCTTCCTGTGGCTCTGGCGGTGGGTGCCGTTGCTATTTTTAGTGGTAGCCGCGCTTTAGGGGAGGTGCAGGAAAGACGCCTGGCCGGGGTACGATAATGGGAAAATTCTAGTTTATGGAAAAAGGAAGTTTGATTGATATGCGCTGTCTCTGGCCGCTCCATATCATTTGTACGGCTTTTCAAGTATGTATTCGCCGTAAATAAGGGCTATGGCAATATTTCAATAGATCTGTTCAGCTTTACTCCACAACTGGCTCCCCGTCATTCTCTGCTTCAAGCTCCCGCCATAGCTCATCGCTCCGGGCCAATTAACTAGCGCCTGTGGAGACTGAGCAACGCGGCGGAAACCTTGTCTTAGTTATTCAAATCACTATTCTCCGCTGCGCTCAGACAAATCTCGACGCCCCGATTCCAACAATGGGCGCTTCTGCGTCCAAATCAGCCCGGACCGCTGCATTGGCAGCTTCACGGCGCCAATACCCAAAACAGCCTTCTCCATCGACAACTGCGCAACACTCACGATCATCACCGCCGCCACCGCCCGCCCGACCAACACCACAGACAATCCACAGCGCAAAAGAAAAAGCCAGTCAAACAAAAACCGAAGGTAAGTAGCACCGGAATCTTAGATCCTATATTAAAAAAAGATATCTTCTGCCTAACACAAACTCTCCTCTCAAAAATTGGCCTACAGCAATCGATCTCGACGCCCGCGATCCTGACTTCGCCGCTTCGCTCCGCTCCATCGGCCCCGTCACGCCCAGTCCTACCTTCTCCAACTCCAGCACTTTCAACCCTTCCTCCTCCTCATATGCCTCCGCCTCGTCAAACGCTGCACTCGGCACCCTCTCCGCGCGTTCCAACCTCAGCAGGCTCGCCGAGCAGGAACTGGAATCGTTTGGCAAACAGAGCCACCCAGGGCGGCAATTCCTCGATGTGGTGACTATTAAGAATATTGTTACCATGCGCGACAGGGAAGGGTTAAGCCCGGTCCAGATTGAGAAGCATTTACGGCTGAAGGCTGGGGTTGTAGAGAGGCTGGGGAAGAAGGGTGTTGTTGGAGAGGTATGACGAGGTTTACTGTCGGTTTTGAGGAACGATTTCCATATTTATTTGCGCTCCAGTCGTGTTGATATTGTTTATTTTTTTCCTTAGATTACCTTGGGTGTTTCGGATGCGCCCTGCCGCTCTGTAGTTCCTGTGTCCAGAGCTGAGATAGTACTACCAAGTGAAGCGTTCATTAATTCATGTAGTCTCATTTTTGTCAAGAAATACACAATAATATCTGTATTCAATACAAAAAGAAAAGAAAAAGAAAGAGTCCAATTTCGTATTTTACTCATGCCAATGACCAATGACCAATTCTTGGGTTTTCTGAATTCTGCCGTACAACCATTGTAGAAGGAAATACTATGTTATTCTTTCGACCAAAAACAAATTAAATATAGAACATAGAATTACGAAGGTCAGCATGGACTTGTAAGTCTGCTAAAGACGGTGCTTTTTCAGTCTGGCCGGAAATGACACTGGCAGTCGGAGTCGCATCATAGTAAGAAGCGAGATAACGACGAGCACGTTCGCAGGCAAGGTCAGCATAATAAGCCGGAGGACAGATGCTAACAGCTTTGGTGGCGCGGCCGAAAAGATAACAGAGATTATGTGTTAAATCTTCTAGTAAGTCGGCTGCAGTGAAACCGGGTAGAGTTGGCTTCTTAAAAATTTCATTCAGAATAACAAAGTAATGTGCAGGCCGAGCTGTTCCCTGAAGCGCAGTGTGTGCCTGCAGGAAGAAATCCCAATCTCTGGTCTCCGTGACTCCACGATCGACAATTGTCCCATTGAGCGTATTGCTAGAACGGTCTGCTTTCTCTCCATCGGTGGGATAAAATCTAGTATGATGTCGCTTGCCCACGACGATAACAGAAAAACAAGGCAGGCCTTTCGTCGTCATGGTAGCTGGGTAGATACGCTCGCAGGCCTTGCGCAGTAGAGGCAGTTCGTTCTCTAAGACCAGGGAATATTGGCCTTCAGAAACTCCGTCTCGGTAAACCAGGATGTTCTCCGGCAAGCTACCGTTCTTCTTGCTCCAAAATATAAGTCGAGACTCTAGCATTTCCTGAAGCGAATCCACCATTTCTGATTTACGCTCTTTCTGCAATCGAAGTACTGCGGGCCATTGACTTAATTCAGAATCAACACTGGCAACAAGTGCAGCAACGCTTGGTGCGAGGAGCGAGGATCCGGGCGAAGGGTGCGTGACATCAATGCCAACTACCATGGTCTTGCCTTGCCCAATAATTCCCAATTTTGAAGCCTCAAGAGTATGATTAGCACCGCCCAGCTTTAGGTTAAATTTCAGAGAAACATTTGCATAATACTGAACACCATTGAACTTTGTCGCGATCACACAAATAGTGTGGATGCCATGTTGGATATCGCCTTGGTATTTAACTCTGTTATACAATGCTGCATCGTCTTTGGGCAACACAACCAGCAGTACCTTGAGATTCCGGTGCTTATCCAAAAGCTGCTTGAAGGCCGCATCCACATTACTTGCCGTCTCCTCTGGGCTATCATTGTTCCTGAAAATAACATTGACATTCACTGAGGATAAAGGCTCCGCAACGCGCATGCCTTGTTTTGACGCCGTCTGTTGGAACTCTTTCACTTTTTCGCGAATATTCATGTTCTGTCCTTCCCCTGGGAGATGCAAGTATGTCCATTGTGACAATGTAGCACTGCGGGGAAACTGAACACCATTCAGGTTCCAGCTTGCCGATTTAGGTGTCACGTTTCTAGACTTATACTGGACATTAGGACCTGGCAAAATACGGGCAGGTACCGTGATTAGTTTCGGAACGAGCTTAATGCCCATGTTGCCCTAATCCAAAGTTAGCATATGGAAGAATAAATGCAAATGACAGCTAAATATAGCGCCAGTAATGAACAACAGGGCTTAGAGGCGTACCAGTAAATTTAGAGCGGTAGACGACCCAATGATCTGGCTACCCGTGTTGACAATGGACTTTGCATTCGTTGCTGGCTTTCGCACCGCAAACTTTATCATTTCCCTCGTTTCTGAGGGGCCCAATTTTCCCTTTGTAGCCTGCCCAGATTCAACATAGCACAGCTCCGCTGGAAGATAGCTTGGGCGTTCCATCGTGCCAACATTGACAACTGGCATAGTCGGATCCATATTAGTGAACTTATGTGCTAGGCGGAAATAGTCGAAAACACTTATGTAGCCGTGATCTTTGTCTTTTGTGTTTGGGGGTTTCCCGGCGGATTCCCCTTTTTTCCCCTTATTGCCACCCGGAGCAGACTTGGATGAGCTGCCTTGGAGGGGTCCTTCGATGTAGAACTGAACATTTTTGGGACCAGCTCCAATATTCGCCACTTTGGGAGGGTGGTCCTGGCTACGACCGTTCTGGGGGGATGCAAGACCTAGAATAGTTTTGACTCGTGGAAGCTTTTTGCCATTTTTGACCTTCTGCAGATGCGAAACTTGAACTCGAACGCCTTTCAGAAGGGAATGCACTGAACCGCGAGATGCACGTAAAGATTTGATAAGTGCGGGTAGAGGGCCGGAAGCAAAACAAGCGACATGTTTAACCTGGACATTGACAAGAAGGCGGCCTGTTGCAGGGCGAACGCTTACGAAATATCCTCTTAAAGCTTCAAGGCCGCTTTGAAGGCTATACTTTTCCATTCTAGCATCCACGGGATAATGGCGGTTCGCACCCAGGTTGACAATGCCAGGATCGGTTTTAGGATAGTGTCCGACAATGATGTTCATCGCCTGGATGATCTCTTCCTTGTTGTCGCATATATCACCAGCAGATGCAGAACGCAGATAGCTGATCAAGTCACCAGGTGCGAGAGTTCCAGTAGCAACCACACGCATTTGGTAAATAATTGGATTTTCAGGCGGGTCCTCATTTTCTAAGCGATATGCAACATCAAACACCTTTTCATCAAACTGAAGAGAATCACAACAAATCACGGTCGCCTTGTAGTCAGTCGCGACACGATCATAAACATCTTGGAAATGATCCTCTAATAGGATTTCAATGATTCTTTTGAGTTTTCTGCCCTTCGGCTCTGCTCCCTTACCTGTCGATTTGCATTCGAGCTTATACCGATGAAAGTGCGGTTTCGCCTTTTCTGGTGTTCCCGGATCAATCTCAAGTTTGAAGTAGTTGGCCCAGACAAGAACCTTGTCCCCCCGAAGTCCATATCCAGGACGAAGAGGAAATTGACGGTTTAAAGAAAGAAAGTCGAGGCTCAAATCACCAGTGCTCGTGTGATATTTATTTTCAACATTCATTACATCCGTATCAACGGGTACTCCTCCCGGAGGGCTGGCAATGTTATTAGTTAGGAAGAGTAGTCGCGGAACACCAGACTTACGCGAAGATCTCCGGGGCGGCTCCATAACCACCTCCACGGCCTCCGCCGCCGCCGCCGCCACCGCGACCGCCGCGACCTCCACGGCCTCCACGATTGTCACCGCGGCCACCACGGCCTCCACTGAAGCTGCCACGGCCCCTAGGAGAGTCGCTAAAGTCGCCGCGGCCTCCTCCGCGGCCACCTCTAGGGCCTCGAGCGGACATTTTGAGAGGGAAACAAGGGAAAATCGAGGTTGATAGGAGTTGATAATGGGATTGTAGGGCAGGTCAATCAAATCAAGAGTGGGTAATTGTGGACGCAGTAAGATGTGCGAGATGCAGTGCTTAAATACACAGCCTGATAGGTGAATTTTATTGGGCAGGGTGCACAATGAATCAGCAAAAAGCCATCAACGACGCGGTATCCGACTGAAAGAAAAGAAAGAGAGAAATGACTGGGCAGAGGGAGCAGAAAAGGCGGCTGGGCCGCGGCGGAGCGTCAATAATGAGCCTCAGTGGCATAGAAAGCGGAAGTTGCCCCCCTGTATGCGAGATGCTTGCAGGCAGGTGCCGCGAGAAGAGAGAGAAGACGCAGCCGCTGTGTTTTGGAAGCTGCAGCAGCGGGGTGGGAGCTTTGTGGTGGGCCAGCTGCCAGCTAGTTAGTTAAATCGTGTGACGCTACGAGCTACGAGCTGGAGAGAAATTATCGGACGACACAGGAGCACGTGATGATCATGTGACTGAGCGTCTATAATATTGTGTCTGGTCTTGCTCCTAATGAATGAGACATGGATACTTATAGATGAACATGCTATAACCAAGACTATGGAAAAAACATATGAAAAACCCCTAGCAAACCTCTGCCAGCCCAATAGACAAAGATAATGAAATCAGTATCATGGTCAAGAGAAAAAGATGACAAATCTACAGTTCTTCAGTTTCTTTTTTAGAGATCTGATCATCTAATAAGTCATCTGACTTCTGCTCAACATGTCTTCATAGCTTTGACAGCAGTGTAGATGATGAACTCTTCTCTACTAAATAATTAATATTCACAAGCTTTAATTGCTTCACAAATTTTTCAAATTTCTATCTAGATAAGATCTTTGTTAAGTCATCTGCAGGCATATTATCACTTTCAATTCAGATAATATTCAATTTCTTATTAGTAACTGTCTGCTGTAATCAGTGGTGATGAATATCAATGTGACAGAGCTTGATAATTGGTTGCAGAGCTGCTGAAATCAGTAATCATATTGTTTGCAAATTATCACATAAAATATCAAAATCTCTTTCTAATTTCAACATAATATTCTTAAATAAGTATTTCCACCACATGGTCTCTTTTGCTGTATAGAATAGTGCTAAAAGCTCAGCTTTCATTGAAGACATTGTAATGATCTTTTGTCTGAAAAATTTTCAATCAATTAAGTCTTCAAAGAGCTTAAATACAGAGCTCTGAGAGAAGCATCTTGAGTTTAAATTATCTGCAAAAGAAGAATCACTGATGATTATTAAATGAATATTAATGATGTCAGTATTATTATCCTCTCTCTGAATATTCAATCTGTCATCAGCATGGAATTCAAGAGCATAGTACTTCATTGAAAAAGCATATGAGATAACTCTCTCAATTGCTGTATGATGTTCTGATTCTGAGTTAATCAAAGTCTCACTTAATTTTGCAGTAGTAAATGAAATATCAGGTCACATTATAATAGCAGCATAGAGAGTCAAATCAATCTTCTGTTGATAGACATGTATTTATTGCTTATCTTACACTTTCATATAGAGAGCTATATCCACAGTTATCATTGATGTACATGATGACTTCAATTTCATAAGATTGAACTTATTAGCAATCTTCTCAATATAACTATTCTGACACAGTCAAAGCTTCTGAGTATCTCTATCACATAAGACACAGATATTTAGGAATCACTCTAGCTCTTCAATCTCTCAAAGCTCATAACACATTCATAAATTCTTCAATAACTGCTCAAATGTTCCAACATTCTTTCTGTGATATAAAAATACTATGTCATTCACATAAAAGAAGATAATAATATTCTTATCAACAAATAGACATGATTCTTCACAAATCTGACAGAATTTTAGTTTCCAGAGTGTTGAAGTGAGATCTTTGTATCAAAGTCATGAAGATTCAAAGTAATTGTATAAGACACATAGAATCTTTCAAACATTTCTTTTCTTACTGTAATTCTCTGTCAGCCTGCAATAAACAGATTTATCAAATGAAGCATTAATGAACACATTAACAGCATCAATCTGAAAGATCTCCATTTCAAAATAAGCTGTTATAGTCATTAAAAGGCAAAATATCTGCACAGCAAAAGTAGCAGCATAGATGTCATGTTTATTATTGATATTCAGATCTCTGTGAAAAATGAGCCTTGTCTTATAACATTCCAAAAAACCATTAACATCAAATTTGTACATATAAATCCACATTAAAGAAATTGAACATATTTCTTTCAAGCTCTCTACTTCTTCAAAGCATTTCTTCATTTGTAGCTTCTCCATTTCCACATCCATGGTGGTCTTAAACTCATCAGCATGTGGATGTTGCAACATTGAAAAATAATGCTTCAGAGACTTTGGAAGATTCTCTCTGTGAAGTCTAGAATTCATAATTGTAAAAGCTGTTAAATAGCTTCTATAAAATGAATCCAATTGTGCTGTTTGCTGCAGAATCACTGTATAAGCTGTTTGTCTGTCAATTCAATCTGCATTTTGACATCTTATTCTAGCACTTCATCTAGAAGATGGAGGTTGCTCATTCAAGCTTGCTCTGACTGAGTCATTCACCACTTCTGTGGCAAAACAATTGGCTGTTGAAATTCCATCATTAGTGCTTACCATCTCTGTGGCAGAACAATTGACTATTAATTGTCTGTCATTTGTGCTCATCACCTCTGTAGGACTAGCAGCAGAAAGTGTAGTAGATATTACATCTTCAGACAGCTCAACTACAACATCACTCACTGCTTCTGTAGCTTTCATGACAGAATGATTGACTGTCAATGAAAGTTGATCTAGTGTCTCTATTTCAGTTGATGGCATTGTTGGATCATCTGAAAGAGATTGAGTGTATGTGTCTGAAGCCAACAGCTCTGATGTTGGCTCTGATGTTGACAATGTACATGTCTTTTCTGATTGGTCAGTTACTGTCTTAGTCATTGTTTCCATCAATCTTATTGACTGATCAACAGTCTTGTGACTTTCATGTGATGTATTCTTCTCAGAGTCTTCATCTTCACTGTCATGCTTGCTCAAGCTCATCTTGTTAATATCACTTACTTCAATGAAAGATATTGTATTCAGCACAATGAAGCTCTTCTGTAATAAAAGCTCACTGCTAATCTCATTAGAATTGAATAGTGTATCTTCATTAAATATAATGTCTCTCATTAATATAACCTTTCATCATACTGAAATCCAAATGCAAAAAATATTTATTGATTCATATTCAATGAAATATCCAACTTTCACTCTAGAAGTCAGCTTCTGATTTCTTTCATATCATGCATTCTTAATTAAAGAATACACTCTACAGCCAAAAACTCTTATATGCCTAATTTCAGTTAAAGAAGTTGCAGTTCAAAGATATTTCTCTAAGAATTCAAGAGAAGTGTTTCAATTAAGATCTTTAACTGAAATTCTGTTTAAAATATATGCTGCAGTCTTGACACATTCTGGCCACAAATTCTCAGACAAGTTGGCTTCAATTCACATTGTATGTGCTGTCATCATTATTAAAGCTCCTGCATGTTCTGCAGCTTCATTTTGAGCTGGGGTGTAGAATGCTGAACATTGAACAACTATATCATATGTTTGAGCCAAAGCTGCCAGTTCTGACTGCATAGAGGTTTCTCTGTCAATTTGAATAGCCAAGATAGTCAATTGATATAAATTGAGAATTACCCTTATCATTTTTGCTGTGCACATCAAACTTTCAGATTTTCACTGCATCATTTCCACATAGTGCAGGTGGGTATAATCACAATATAAGTGAACTGCCCACCTATCTTTATTATAATCTGAAGCAAACTGTATGAGATCAACAGACATCTTCATGAATGAATGCATAGATCTTTCCAACAGAATTCTGCATATAATTTGCTTTGCTTTTGAAAGAGCACAAGATCTGCACTCCACCATTAGAGAATCTCAAGGAATCTTTGTAAATTTCACATCAGTAGACATCTTTGGAAGATGAGCCAGAGACTTTCTTTCTAGATGACCAAGTCTCAAATGTCAAATATCCATTGTTTCTAGCAAACTGAAGACCAATGCTGTCAATGATTTTTTAATTAAATCTCCACTCAACAAGGCAGTAAAAACACTTCTTGTTATACTATCTGTTGCAATGTTAATAGATCTGTATTCAACAACCATTTTTCTCTCTTTAACAGTCAAATTGAACAAGATATCCCTTGTACTGGCATAGTAAACTGTAAGAGACTCATCATCCAAATAACAACTCTTCACACACAGCAATCTGTGCACTACTAGATTTGTATGAAAGTCAGAAACATATAGAACATTCTTTAGTAATATCTTGCCAGCATCTGTCAGTGTTTGGATATAAACTTCAACATCACCATATCCATGGATTTTACAATGAGTATTTCCAACAAGCACAATATCCAAAGAACCAGCATCCCAGTAGTTTTGAAATCTTGTAAAATCATTGCAAATATGTGCATCTGCACCCCCATCTAATATGAAGCTGTCCCATAATGAATAGAGTTCATATTTATTGCTCATGTTAGTGGAGTTAAAAACCATTACAGAAGCAAAGATAGTTGGATTAGGAGATGCCTTGTCAACAGCTTTGTTAGCACCACTGTCTGTCACATCATCTGAAGTGCTAACTTCTTCAGTATTATTTGAATTCTTCAATTTCTTCCAATTTGCAATCTTTTTCTTTAATTTCCTTTCATTCACTGGATTCTTCAATGCTTTCTTAACCTTATTATCAATTTTTGGATCCAGTTTCCAGCCTGTTGGTTGAACAAGTGGATTAAAATATGGGCAGTATGCCCAACCATGTTGCTCTCCATAAAGACATGCAGAGTTTGTATTTCCATTATTCTCCCCCAACAGCTTATTTTGAATGATTCTTTCAGTGGAATATGCTGATGACTTATTACTTTGACCTGGCTCAGTATCTTTCTTTAACAACTGATGAAATATCTGAA